TTCTTGATTTTATTTCCGTACCTATTTCATTCTGCTGTGTAATTAGTGTACCAAGGTATTTTAACTGCTGCACTCTTTTGAATTTATAGTTTTCGACTTCTAGGACCTCGTTACGACAGCCTATTTGTTCATGTCTTTGCACGACCATATACTCAGTTTTCTCAGCATTAACTTCTAGGCCTACACGTTTAGCAGCATTTATGAGTTTTTTTATTGTTCTTTAAGTTTATCTTTGTTTTCTACCATCAAGACTATATCATCTGCATATGCCAATATTCCAATATTATTTTTTCCTAGTTTTACTCCTTCTTTATCTAAGGCAGCGTAAATAATACTCGTACAAAAAGCGCGTACAATGCGACTGAAATGACTCGACACTGAAATGAGAATTTTGGCAGTTATGTTTTTCTTTCGTGCGACGATAGTATTATCATGATAAAATGTTCCGACGCGCAGCTAGCTGGAGCGAGACTCAAACGACCGCGATACGACGAGGAGTTTCGTAGGTATCGAGTACAATAATGCGCGATGAACGTCGGATGATCGGACTATTTAATAAATATAACAGCCCGGATTTTTGTGCAAATCTTCTACGGTTCACCTAGAATGATTTTGATAACAAATGTACCGACACGCTGCATAGATTCTTATGGATATTTTTCAACTTTTGTGTGTATAAAAATAAAATAAAATAATATACGCTTATTCAAAAATATTTCTTCCATGAATATCCGGGCTTTATTTATTACTATTATTTATTAGAGTTCATGAGTCGTAACTATTTAAAAAATAAATAAATATTCTGTTCGCTTATATAAACCGATTTCCATACAATAAGTAACATTGTAGGTTAAGACGTAGGTGACCAGTTCACTGGCTTTCCCTAGAGCAATTGTTAAAAACAATAAATTATACTATTTTTAAAATGCGTACAACTGTTTTGTTTTTTCCGGGTAGATGTCCGGAAAATAAATTTCCATTAGCTATTTTGTGTACGTATACATGTAACATATAACACATGCACACGGCGCGCATTGCAAAAAATCGCAAATGTCACCAAGTCGGATTTTTTATTTCTTGTTCCAACCACCGGCAATCCCACGGTAGGCCTGAGTATATGGCACACCCGTGTAAGTACATTATAATCCCGTATCTAAACGGGAAAAACGCTAAACAAAAATCACGTCCGGTACAACACAGGGGATTATAATTTATAAGGCGACCGTGTATGTTTTGTGGTTATATGGTATCCAAGCGGTTAAGTTTTTCCACGCCATAGTATACAACGCACCAAGACCCTTTTAAGTCGATAGGAAAACACACTCTATGGAAAAAAAAAATCCACAGCCCCGTCTAATCGCTCTCGCGTGCGTCGTGCTTTACTATACAGCTTAACCGTAAACGCGACATCTCGGCATAAAACTAAAATCGTACATAAAAGTTGGTACACTACATAATATTATACGTATCGAGTACAAGTGTACGTTTTTTTTTTTTTTTTTTTTTTTTTATTACTGTCTAACTATGTATACACGATACACCAACAAAAAAGTAACAGCGATACCACGCGATTTTTATGAAACAAAAATGATAATAATAAAGTATTATTTTAATAGAATTTAAACGGGAACAGCTCTTGTATGCGTATAACATATTATACGTACACCCGATCTACATAAATTATAATAACGTCACTTCAGAACATTTCAGACGTTCGAATGTGGATGACATATTTCGTATGCTGTTGGTGACAACTGATAACCATGTTTTTATAAAACGAGCATTTGAATACTGGTTCATAGTTTCCATTTCAAATTAAAATTAGTCCAAGTTGCACGTGACACATACAAGTATAGTATAATAGTGTTATTTCTCGTAAGCTTATATTCAATCGCTCACACGCAATTCATGATCGCTGCGGTGATTACCATACACGTTTTGAATTATATTGATTCAACAATTGCATTTGACTTTAATATCTATGGTTTACTGAATTTTCCATACAGATAGATCGTCTTTGGAGATTATAAAATTACACGTACAATAAAGTATGCTAAAGTTCGTATATTAACTTCATTCGATTTACAACAAATAACCACATAATCGCAATAATAGAGAAATATCACCACTGAATACTGAAGAAAAACAGTTTTAGATAAATGTAATCAAACATAATTGTGTATTATTTTTACATCATTATAACAAAACTTCAAAGTATATTTCTATGTTATGTTGAATAAATAGCGGAAGAAAATACATTTCATAAAATACTTTTTTCCTTAAATCTATTGAATATTAAAATTATGATCCATAAATCATATTACAAAAATCCCAATATTAAAATTTATAACTAAAAATGACGTATTAATAAATAACAACTACTTGATGTCCTAAATACATATATTTTCATAAAATGTACTATCATATTATATGATGGTCAAACTTGACCCCTTCAGTCCGCCACTGATCATATATTTCGAATAGTTAATCGTGAAATAGATATATTTCTAACAAATTTAATTGAACGGAACCTAAATGGCTGTACCTACTTAATAGACAATGATATATATTCTAACTCAGCTGGTAGTATTTCAGTACTACATCATGAAAACATTATACTTAGTTCAACCTTATTCTACATAGGTTGGAAATTAACTTTGCAGAACTTAATCGCACTTTTTCCGTAACACTATTTTCTTCTTAAATAAAATAAAAATATTTACACTTACATTATTACGGTCTATTTTTCTTATGGAGAATTTGAAATCGTTCAAGCCAAATATTAATAAAACAAAAGAAAAAAATTTAAAAATTAATAAAAAAAACTATTCATTTTTATTTCACCTCTAGAAAATCCCATTTATATAAATATACAGATATAATAGTTTATAATAGTTGTTAGCTACTCGTTGTTTGACAATAATAGTCCTTCCACGAATATATTATATTGTTATACGAGTATTCTTTTAAGAGGAGAAAATGCGTCAAAAAATATAATAGATTCTACATTCTGTACGTGTATATTTTTTTTATGTCCAAAAAACGACGAAATATAAGAAATAATAGGATAAAAAAATCGAATTTCACTGTCCACTTGTAAGGACAAGTTCAATAACTTTTTGCGGTATGACCATTAAATTTCGTTAAAATGTTTTATTTCTTTTATGTATATAATGTCAGTAAGTATACACTCGTTAGCACTGCTAGTGTTTTTGATTGCTATTCAAACTGCTTAACTTCAACACATCGATAACCGTATGTATATATATACACCATATAATAGCTGTAGAAATTCGTCACTGCTGAATTGGGTATCTAACTATGGGGGAAAAACGTATTACAGTTAATACATAATAACAAGTAATATATCCATATGTTTGAATCATGTTAATAGTTTAAGATGTGTTAGAATCAAAAGTAAAATATAAGTATGGGCTGAAAACATTTAATAAAAATAAAATAAAATATTTGAAAGTAAAATAACATTAAATTCAAACAAAACTGCTGGACGTTTATGCTATAAAAATAAAAACTTACAATGCAAACAATAACATTATGAATTCCTTCATCCGTGATATGGAGTAAAAAAATATTATTATTTCAAAACAGTCGTATATACTGTAAGTAACCAGTCTACAACATGCTAATAATAATAAATATGTATCACTGGAATAATCCGAACTATATTTACGCACACCTACACTTTTTTAACGAAAGACTTCGATCTCGTTATTTGTATCATATCCTAAACGCAACGAATCTGAATAATGCAATATAAAATAGTATGTAATACGAGCGTGTATAAAAGTAATTTGAAAATAAAAATATATTTTTCAAATAGTCCGTCCGATGGTTTTCGTTCGTCTTGATATTCAAATATCGTACCGTTTCGCGTGTGTACGATATAACCTCTTTTAAAAAAAAAAAAATTAATTTTGTAACTGACCGAACATTGAGAAAAAAAACATAATAATATTCTTCCGTTCATTAAGTTTGCACCGGAATAATAAAAATAATTATCAACAATTTCCGAATAACGTTTATTGTCGTAAATTTAATCGTAAATTACACATGTAAATTACATATCGCCTAATCAACAAATCGTCACATTAACGGATACACTATTTACATGATAATTAATCTAATATTATGCATAGTTTTTAATTGTAAGTGTTATGTATATCGTTCAGACTGTGCTCCCTGAAGAAATGATCGACAAATAGCGATGTAATAAGAAACCTATATGACCAAAATCCACGACATAAGACTTATCATATGTTCTGTCGTTGATTACGTGAATACAATAAGTAAACACATTTTAAACGTAATACTACCGTTTAAATAATCAAGTAAAACGAAAGTGATATATTTGGATGTATTAAAAGTTCAACTTGTGGACACATATTTAAATATAACTTCTATATATTTCTCGTATTTCAGATCTTAACTGATTACTATTTTTCGATGTATTTACAATTTTCTGATCTATTACTTTTTTCTTTTCTTTTTTTACTCTCTTAATGCCTCTTTGCTAGTTGCTACTTAACCAAAACAATGAAATGATGAATAATAATCAAGACAGTAGCTCTATAACTAATCGTAATAGGTACAGTTTCCATGGAGAAAAAGTATTGGCGAGAATAAAAGAAAAGGATAGTCGGATTATGAAAAGGAAATTGAAGAAATTGAAGATGTAATGTTTATTGTGACGTATAAAATATCTCTTGAAAGGAACATTTATATAAAGTATTGCAAAAACATAGTGGTATAGTCAGGATTTATGGTGAACTAAGGACAGTAAACAATTATAATTCAAATCATATTGTTATCATTAAGTATTATTTTATTTATATATATATTTTAATTCTATAAACAAACAAAATATATAAATAAATAGTATAGCCAGTATAAATCCATTGATTATATGCAGGCTGCAGTTCCAAAACTATGTGCATTTAGAGTTATGAGTTTTATTTTGACTAAAAATATTATTGTTTTAGGAAATACTTTTGTGGCGAACGTGGCGCTGGCAGACCTGTTGATTAGCGGCCTGGTCATCCCTGCATCGGCCGTGGTCATTCTGTCGGGTCTACAGGACTCACCACCAGTGTGCCAGTTTCAATGGTTCCTATCGATCTTGTGTTGCCTGGTCACTGTGCTAACTATGGCTGCAGTTGCGGCCGAAAACTACGTCAGACTTTGCTTGACCCCCGAATGTTACGCCAAACTGACAGTGACGAAAATCACCACGCTCTTATTCGCCATATGGATCGTCAGTTCGATTTTGGTCACTTTACAATTCATCTACAAATTGGGACCTGATTATTGCGCCAAACGGGTACGACGAGTGCGTTTGTATTTTACACTAAATAATATATGTAATATAAGATGCATAACATTTGTTAAAAGCAAAATCAAGTGTTTGAGACGAGCACGCAAGTCACCCTGGTAAATTATTCGTAAATCCGACACAAAACGCGTACCGATCACCGTCCGAATCTTATGCGTTTTAACACTTGACGAGAATCACCTTCATCTAGTATAATTACATCGTACCGTCCTTCGCAATGTTGGTCTAAAATATAACCGCACAACACGTTACTACGCCCCAATGGTAACTGATCTTTTATTTATATCGGATAGACGTTATAGTGGACTGATGTGTGTGAATGTTAGGGTTGTTTTTTTGAGATTAAATCAATTACTATTACTAATAAGGCAGAATAATATATGCGTTTATAGAGACTGATTTTCTGTTAAACCGCAAATAAATTAAAATTAAGTTCCTGAACTCAATGGTGGGAAGAAATAAAATAGGTAAACCCGCTCACGAATAGATTATATCTTACATTTTAGTTTGCATTTCCATTACCTACTATATACTAGTCTAATGTGAATAACGTCGATGTTTCAATTTTGTGCTTTTTTTTTAGCGCTATAGTACTAAATACACGAGAACTGTATACAACGGTATATGGCAATCAACAACAAACTATGTATTAATAAATTGCGTAACTACAACTAAATTATTAACGAACGTGCGAAATGTCGAAGCCTCTACCTGCAGTACAGGTACTTAACCTGAATATCATAATTATTGAAATAAACAACCAGAAACGTTACCGAGACAAGGGTTACATGTGAGACGTTTAAATACGAGTATGTCCCTGTATATACATATCATACAATTTTGGCAACCGAATAAAAAATGTCTTTTTAGCGAAAATTACGCTACGAGTGATATCCAAGTGTGTTTCGTTCATTAATCTAATTTTTCCTCGGTGACAACAGACGACCTTTACCGGGTGTTATTACACGACATTATTGTTTGAAATATAATATTTTAGAACGTGAAACCCGTTGAATCGACGTACGTCACGAATTAATTTCGTTAATTGAAACGAACGGCATGTAAAACGATTATTTTAGATTACAATATCAGATAGACAATTCTCAGTACGAACAATAATCCAAAGTAGCGTGGATAGTAAATATTAGTATTTGCACATTGAAAGTGTGTGTGTGTGTATGTAAAGGTATATATATTTTGTATTTACTAAAAATGTACGCCGTAGTAAAAACATACCGTTACACAATCAGTATCGTCAGCTATTCTCCAAAAAATAATCCCATATTCTGTGTAATTGAATCCCATTTTAATTTTTTTTTTTATTATTAATTCAAATTAAATGTTTGAGCATATTGAATTCTATTACAAGTCTTAAACTAATTACAATTTAAAAATGATAACGCGATTTGAGATGTAACAAATAAAATTAACAAAAATAATATTAAGTTATTAAGTTTTTATAATGATTACAATTTTAAGTTTAATCTTCATCATCGCTGACATCGGTTAGGAGAAGTATCTTGTGGTAATTTTGGTTTTAATCACCGGTTTTTTGTTTTGATTCCTAAGCTGCAAAACCGTGCACCATCAGATGTCTTGAAGTTGGTGTGGAAATTTATAAATTGGGTTTTTATCTACTCTTTTAGGAAAGAAATTCTTGTATCATTATGAATTTGTCTATTATTCATGCATCATGGAGCTTTTAGACATATTCATAATTAATTGAAACTACGCGAAAAGCCTGAAAAAATCGTTTGGTAATAACTGTAATAAATTACATACATTTCATGTTGATACCGTTAAGTGGGTAACAAAATACATAAACTTAATACACCGAATTTCAAATAAAATCAAAAATCAAAATTTTAAAAAAATAAATAAATAATTAATTTGCAAATTGTTTGCTATTTTCAATTGTAATGTAAATTAGTTGTTATGTGAGTGATCCAACTTCAAGACGTGATATATAATATGGTACGAGTTCACTGTATTTAAATTGTTTGAAACGTGCACGAATAAGTACGGAATGTAGTTTACTCAGCTGGTTATATTATATTCATCCGTTCTTTACAATTGTTTGCTAATCATATTGTTGTATCCAAAGTTTTGAATAGGTGAGAAAAAAATAAAAGATTTCCTTTTTATCGAAATATGTATTATGTATACACACACTGATGCATCGCACGGGACATGATATTCATCACTCGAGGTGCTCAAAACCTTCAGTTATATACTTTCGTTGTGTTTCCTTAAGTATGACGAACCCTGTTATTGACGATGGTAATATTATGAGAGCAAAATTATATTTACATTTTCCAAACAATAACATTTATAAGGAGCAGCAATGACAACACTAAATATATATATATATATATATATATATATATATATATATATATTTCATTTTATTTTGAAATATATAGGGGATTAGTTTTTTTGACATTTAACAAATAATAATAACAGGTTCGGAGATATTAATTATAAATTTTCAACAAAAAGAATTATCAAGTTACAAGTAACATAATAATATTACTTAATAATAAGTAATTAAGTAATATATATATATATACTTAGGATTTGGATTTTTGATACGATATAGTTATTAATTACATCTTCTTCTACATTGTTGTTTATAAATGTTCATTAATTGTGTTTCAAATACATTTATAATTTGAATTGTTTAACTATGTATTGTTTACATAAGCTACCGGTTTGTAGATATATTGATAATGTATAATATGGTTTATAGTGGTTTTCCGGTTATTTGATCAAGCCCATTACATTATACCTATGTGATATCGCTGTATATCAGAACCAATTAATTTGCATACTAGCAAACTTACTATTTGTTTAGCTAACTGAAATTATCGAGATTACAGAGATACAAGATCTGTAAAACCGATCATTCAGAATGACGTGTAATATTATGTGAACCCTGGTGTATGCGATACGAAGATGTTAGTTACTGTAGAATAATATCCGCATTAAAATAATAAATAAAGAGCATAAATAAATATTTATTCACGTGTTCAGAGTGTCCCACAGGAGTTTACATATCTATATATTGCTGCACGTACCATTGTCTATACCTAAGCGTATATAAATCATCTTAAGATATCTCTAAATTGTTTGTCATCGTACTATCACTACTATCCAACGTATAAAATATATGTTACGACTTAACTTAAACATAACGACTAAAACAGGAAGTGGATATGCAGAAAAATAAATGTTAACGATCAGAAGAATAACTAAAGAACTTGAACATAACGATTTATTAGGTTGGATGCGCTGACCACAATACACTATGTTAATAGAACTATGTATAGTGATATATACAGTGGTGTACTTAGATCTGGATTTTGGGGGATTCATTTTCAAATTAACAAATAGAATAATCTGAACGTATTAAGACATATCGCACATTTTAAAAGATTATCCATTATTTTTAATTCACATGTCATAATATAATGTGTATTGAAGGTTGAAATTATTAACCTAACTTGCTACTTTTATAAATAAAAAATATTATTTAAATAATTTTTAAAACATTATCTTTCTATTATTTTCAACAAAAAAAATCGATCACCTCACTTTTAAATAGATTGGTATTTCTTTATGGATACTAGGAGCCAATCCATTTAATTGATTTTTCCCCCTTAGAATTCCTCAAATATGGCTTCAAACGTTTGGATGTTGAAAAACTCCGTTATACACTAGCAACTACAACGGGCTACATAGCGCAAATTTTAAAATACTGATCTATTTTTATACCTAAAAACAATATAATTAATTCGTAAAGGTAAAATAAATTTTAGTTTTCCCTTAATGTTGAGAAAAAAACTACATTTCATTAGAAATAAATCCTTCCTATAAATTCTTGGGGGGGGATTTTATCCGCAAACCCTCCCTCCATTAGTATACCACTACCTATGTAACACTACGAATCTGTAGAGTTGTAACTTAATAAATATTATTCTAAATATTCAAAAAGTCGATCTAAGAAAAATAGTGTTTTTAATAATTTTTATACAGAAGTCGAAAAACTTAGTAGTAATATGATAACATTTTCAAACCATCCTTGAATAATTTTCAGTATTTGATCTAAAAGTGAACTTTAGAAGCAAGTTTATAAAATTTTAAATATAAAATATCCTAGAAAAAAAAAACTGTTGTAACATAAAGTATTCATAAAAGCTAAGTTAGAAAAAAGGAATATGCACTCGTGTTTGGTTCTTAACATTTACAAAAAGTAATTGCGATTATCGTAGGTATAAAAGTTAATTTGACTAATTGAACACGTTTTAAAATTGCTGGGCCACAACATAGCTTGACTTCAATACGTCCGTATTCACGACCACAGCTTGCCACTGTCGAACAGTTATAAAACAGGGCGACGAACCCTTAGTGAAATAATATAATCTCGATGTACCTATATCGGTCTTAATAATGTGCAATCGGAAGAAATTATTTTATTTCGTTTTACCCGAATCGGCTTCAGCAGTGATCGGGCGTACGCACCCATGACAGAAAATATTACCCCGAGAGATCCGTACTACCGGTCCACCCGGATAACGTCCATGGGCGTCCTCAAGGGGGGGACAAGACGGGGCACTTGCCCCCCCCCCTGGAATAATGTTATTTCCACAGAAATATTTTTTAATGTTTTAATTGTAATAATAATACCTACCTAATTGTAATTTTTTAATTCATAATTTTAATAATGACGAAATATAATAATATACTATAAATAAAATATATAAAAAAATTTTCATTTATTTTTTAAATTAATTTTGCCCCCCCCCCCCAGAAAAATGTTTGGGGACGCCCATGATAACGTCCCGAATGCAGGTGCACAGGGTACTGTTGTGTCAACTCGTAATGCGTTCTAAATTTAACGCGGACCGTACGAAAACAATGTGTTGCAGGTCAGCGACATCGTGGCCACCCAGGCACTGGTGGCCGGCGCCATCGTGCTGGCGCCGCTGCTCATCACGGCCGCGCTGTACATGCGCATCACGTACCAGGTGCACGTGGCCCGGCTGAACCCGAGTTTCAAGCCACCGCTGGCGTTCAACTGGGACTACTCGCTGATGCTGGCCAACGCGTACAGCTTCGTCATGTTCATCGTGTTCTGGGCGCCGTTCGCCGTCGTGCTCGCGCTGGCCACCGTGCAGAAGCTGTCCGCGCAGGTGTTCTACAACCTCGCGTGGCTGGCGCTCAGCAAGTCGTGTTTCAACAACCTGGTGTACTGCGCCGGCAACCGGCACTTCCGGAACGCGTACGTCAACCTGTTCCACTACTGCTGCTGCAAGACCACGGTGACGTTCTCCCGGCGGGCCCGCGACGGCGCCAGCCGGCCGTCCGGCGACGTGCGCGTGCACATCATACCCGGCTACAACATGTACTCGTACACCAGTCCCACGCGGTCCCGCGAGTCCGGCTCGTGCCCGCTGCAGGGCAGGCCGCGGGCCCGGGCCAACGGCGGCGGGTGCGGTAGCGGCGGCGGCGGCGGTGGCGGCGGAGGAGGCGGCGGCCGGGACGTGTACGAGTTGTAAGCGCGCCGCCGACTACCGCCGTCCTACCACCACATCCTATCGCCACTACCGCACACGCGCGCGTCTCGTCGTCGTAATAATAAAAATAATAATAATGATCACTATTATTATTCGTATTATTCGTGTTCGTGTACTCCGACAGGTTTCCCCTCCTATCCTCGCGTTACACATGTACCACTCGCGCGTTTTACTACTACCCCTTTAAAAAATAAATTTAATTTGTCCCAACAATTAAACAGTACACGCGTTACATACCCACGTTGTCGAATGACGCATTGTGTCTTGCACCAATGACGGGAGATCGGAGATTATTCGCGACCGCGGTCGGCCGACCCTGTAGCGCTTATACCGACCATCACTCCCCCCCCTCCCCTACCTTCTTCCAGCTTCCCGTGATCGTGCGAACGGCTCGCACCGTTTAATACAGTTCGCCGTTGTCGCGTGCGATTCTAAAATAGAGCCGTCAATCATCGGGAGTACAAAGGATACGACCGGTCAGTACGTGACGCGACCGCGTCTCAATAATACGCGTCGAACTCGTATATTTATAATATTCGCTTCTCGTATTCGGAAAACACGTATATATGGTATTGGTGATAATAATAATATACGGCATATGTGCGCGCGCTTTGAAACCGCGAGATTTGGCTCGAACGCACGTCGCGCGGCTGCAACACGAAACGGTGGCGACAAAATTAGAACTCGTTTTCTCTACAGTCTCCACGTCCGCGGTCTTTACCTGTACGCGTTATCGTCGTAATAATAATAATAATAATAATAATGGTAATAATGGTAGCTGACGGACGCGGTATTTCGTTATTTTATCAGGTCTCGTTTTCAACCCGTTTCACCCGCATCTCGGCTCTACGAGTGATCGTTTCTAACCATCGTAGTATTGCACGCTATAGAAACATATGTCTTAATTTTTTCTCTCGCGCTTATCGATATTATTAGATATCGTGTGTGTGTATTCGATTTGTGTTGTGTATTCTAAACAGCGATTCTATATTATATAATATTATTTATTAGGTACTATATAATAATAATAACATTAATCCAATTTAAATATAACGTTAATACTATTAAAATTATATTATAATACAAACGATGTACATTATAGTCGTATGATTAGTTAGCGTGACACTCTATGATAAGTAAATTGTTACATTATAAATGTCGTGTTCGTACATTCCGACGTGGAACTCGCCCATTGCTGTTATACAGGAAACAAATGCATTCCATCGATTTGTAAAATATCATAAAACACATGTATGCTACATGATATTACTATATATATTATATTGTCTACTATACCCGTCCACTGTCCCGAGCCAAAAAAGCATTGTCAATTATAAATAGTATATATATAAAGCCTATTGCATATAATATTATATTAAACCTCGATAGATATACACAAAATTTTAAATATATTACTGCTCGCGTACATCGACCATTGCTGGTCACAATAAGTATCGTATTTTATCAAAATCGGTGCTTGAAGTTGCGGAGTGGCTACGGGGGAAAATCCAATCCCTTATTTTTTCACTTTCATCCCTCTAATTGTTATATCGTCCAAAACAATGCGTCCCTTTTTGAACAATTGTTATTTCAAAATGAACATTAATCAATCATCAAGTGATTGAGATGTCCTTACAGTTGTATCTAAATGTACGAACTCGTATTGTTATGATTAATATTACCAACAACAGGTTGTGTAAGCAAAAAATTATTTATTATTTATATAATTACGAGTATGGTAACATACATAGAATACACCACATATAAAAAAGTCTATTGCATTTTACTCCCCAACTATTTACCGTCACATATCATACCGCTGATTATTTAACAATTATATATATTTATAAGCTATAAATTACTTACATTTTGTCGAAGCGGTAGGATAGTATATCTATAAAAGAAGGCGGCGAACGACCAGTCCGACAGCAGTATATATTGCAATATAATAATTCAAATTTTATTATATAAATAATAATTATTGTATATATACATATTTCAGTTTAAGTTAAAATACATACCATATAATGACATTCTAACTTTGACTTTGTCGACATATATATATGTCATATATATGAGTTCATTAAATTTTTAGTATGTGTCATGCAGAGGCGAAACTAAAAATTTTTACGCCCGGATAAAATGTTAAAATTAGGCCAAGACCAAGAATTAAATACCCTTCTCTACCATTTTATTTTAATTCTAATAATTAACATACAATCATACTTATGGAATTTTAAACACATTATCAGTAACAAAGTTAAAAATATAAAACTAGTAAAATAAATAAAATAAATAATTAAATACAAAAATTATTCTCTACAATTTTACATCCGGGGATGAAGCCCCACCTTGCTTCCCCTAGTTCCGCCCCTGGTGTCACGAACAAAGTGAAATTTAGGGTGATGTACGATCTTCCTTTTAAATTTCAACGGTTTGAAATAAAATCCATGAGGATGACCTGTAATAATAGGCACTATAAATATGTACATATACAATTAATTTGGAATGGCCTAGCAACACGGTAATTAGCTGTCACTCGCTTATAATGATAAAATACTGCAATGCGTTTTTCACCTGTTAAAATGTACCTTTAAGGCTATAATAATTCGCGTGTCAAGTTCAAAGCTAGAAATCTTATAATTTACTTTACGGAGTTTAAAATGCCAAATCCATATTACTATTTTATGAAATTGCCGATTTCATGAAATCAGCAACGTTGTCGCCGAACACGTGAAATCGGCAATTTGATTAACAAATTCACGAAATCAGCAAATTTTGATTGCTGATTTCGTAAATTAGGCAGCCTTTTCCGGCCGATTTCACGTATTCGGTAACACATTATTACGATATAATTAAAAATAGTGGCTTATAAATAAATAATAATAGTACGCGTGCTGATCGGCATTACCACGCCGTAATCTTTATTACCAATGACGCTATGATACGTACAAGTGCACATGTAAAAAAAATAATATATGTAATTCGATGTGTCACCCAGGACATACATGCCAAAGTGTTTAAATATAATACAATTTTTTTTTATTTACTTTTTTTACACATTAAAATGTATTTATTATTTATTATATTTCCGGATTTTTACATATTTATTTATATACATATAATATTTTTTATTGCAATTTGATTTTATAAAATTTCCAGCGTTTTATTTATTTATTTAAATTAAATTATGTTTTAAAATTTTTTAAGAAGGATCTCGCCGATTTCACTCAATCGACAGTGTTATGCAATTTGAGTTACCGATTTCATGAAAACGGCAATTTCATGAATTCGGCGTAACATATATACTAATACAACTCGTAGGCAAAACATCTAACAGTTAGATGCTTTGCATACGAGTTCACTTACGGTAACAAAAAGTAGATAACGCCAATTAAAGTATGCATAAATGTGTCATTATAAAAGAAAAATATACAATCCGCATGTAACTGAACAGTAAAACCATGTTCCGATCAATAGACAAATTTCACATTTGTATGTCAGACGTCAATTAATTAAAATAAAAGTATAAACTCTATACTATAGAGCAACACTATTGAAGGGTTTCGTTTGATTATCAACATTTAAACTGCAAAGTTTCCTCGTAGACAAATTTTAAGCATTGTTCAGAGGCACGATATTTTTTTAATTTAAAACATTATAGATGAGATTATCAACAGATCATTTGTGTAATCAAAATAATATTTTGGACAAGGATAATATACATATATTAGGTATCCTCTTCTGAAAAAAAATGTAATTTACCTAATTCTCTAACATATGTTACATATGTCACATATAGTACATCGAAAACTTAAATAAAACATAAATAATGCACATTACTACATTATATTTACATGTGAAAGTAGATTTTAGAAATAATACTACTACCTAATATCCACAAAATTCCTTAAATGAGTTTTGAATGTTTTTATCATAGTAGTTAAGCTTGTATGGCTTACAGTATTTATTTTCAAAATCAAACAGATTACAGCCCATAAAAGCATGTAAATCATGTGTAAATAAGAAATATGTATTTCAAAAAGTGTACAAAATCAAAAGAACGAGTTATTTTGAAAAAAAATAATTATTTCTTAAATACTTACAAACAAAAAAATACAATATATACAACAAACTTAAGAACAAAATATTTTTTTATGTAATTATATAAATACTAAGAAGTGTTATAAGAAAAACAATTTTTCGATACATTTCAAAATTATTTTATGAAAGTAATAGATTATAATTAGATATAACATGCATAAGTGATGTAAAAATTGAGTGAAACAAATCTATGTGGAATATAAAAAAGTATTAATACTAAAACAATAGAACAATATATTATTACCTATTAATTTATATAATAAGATTTATTATATATTTACTGTTGTGTTTACAATTTAAAACTATATACAACTTAAATGTTATAAAGAATTATAAAATGTGCATATTAAAATTATAAATTATAACTATGACCTTAAACCCTTTTTTAGTAACTTTAACATATGAATAATAATAATATATGAATATTATGACATATAAAGTACATAAAGAATATTAACAATATTTATGTTTAATAATTATTAAAATTATAAGATAAGAAATAGTATAAATCGATACAGATTTTTTAAAATTATATACAACTTATTTCAACCAATTTAAGATTAAATGTGTCAATTTCGATTTATATAACTGTATGAACATTTTAATCGAAAGGTAAATTATGTGTATTTATAAGATATATAGAGTTACCCAAATTAATTATTGTAATAAAAAATAGATCTATATTATGCCCCTCACTTAAAAAATATACAGAACTATGTACGACATGGGTGATTTGTTTTCTTAAATACTAATCAATTTAATTTATGATTAAATTTAATATCTACCAATTTTCTTCTAAAGGTTATTATTTGTTTAAATACAATACTTAAAATGCAAATTTTATTTACTACATATCATTTTGCGTTCAGATTTACACAGGACAGATAACATTTTATTATGTAATAACAATATTTAACTAAATAAAACTCATTGTAAACATAAATCTCATGAAATAATAATGGGACCATATTTTTTCTACTGGAAATTTTCAACACCAGATTGCCAAGTAAAGTTTAATTTTTGTTTTGTTTTTTTAAGTATTAGTCGTTTTGAAAGTTGAAACTTAAGTGTATTGTTTAAAATCTAAATCTGTGATACAGTAGAACGAAACGATTTTTGAAATTGACACTTTACTTTAAAAGGGTAATTATTTTTAACGATTTAATTTTATAAATTTAACAATGTCATACTATCTACATAATATGTAAATAAACATAAGAAATATTTATTTCGCTCAAACATTATTTTATTCACGATTAAAAAATCATTAATAACTAGTAATTTCTTCTTCATAATTTACTGCATTTATATATAAATAAATAAAATTTAACTATAAATATAACAAAATAAAAATCAGATGATTAATTAGATGTAACATCAAAAATCATGGAAAAAATTCAGTAGTTTAAAAATGAAAACTTTAATAATAACCAGAGATATAACATATAATCAGTCTTTTGGAATCCATTTTTCTGATTGAAAAAAAAATCAATTTAACAAAAGGCATGTCTTAAATTATTTGACAGTTCTAAAAGTTATACCATCATACATTTCGAAGTAAATGTAAAATAACAAAACATTTAAGATACTTCGGAAAAATTGTGATACAATTATAAATCTTATAATCGTATTATTTCAATATTGTAAATTTTGTTTGCATTATTATGAGTTATAAGCTATGTCTAGAACATGGATAAATAATATTATTTCTATTCCTTAAAAAATAATTTTAATATTTAAACTTTTATATGTTTGTGCATATTTAAGCAATTTTTTATTTTTATTTTTAAGAAAAGAAAACTGTAATTTTATATTAAATATTTAGTGTATGTTGATCTTTAAGAAAAAAAAATATATAACAAGAAAATTATCAACAATTAATTTACTTATGTACATCGATACAACTATTATAATACTATATTAAATTAAGATGCTTTTTTTTGTGTATGACTAGCATAATAATGCCTGTTTAAAAATTGGAAGTTATCTAAATAATTATACAAATATTTAAATATTTAATTTGTTGTTAATTTGTATCCTATATCAATAATTGATGTACAATTTACTTTATTATTATGTTCTTAATAAACTTTATATGTTTAAGATTAGGAACCATCAATAAATACAAATAGTTAAACACCGAATTACTTAAATTAATATATAATACAAAAATTCAGTTTGTTAAAATATAGCATTTAACTAGAATCAGATGTGTACAATGAATAGTAAATCCTACATGGTAAAAATTATGTAGAGGGCAACATAGGATTTTACAAGTTAATAATTAAATTATAGACAAATATACAAATATAAAAAAAAAATAATGACAGTTAACTAATTACATATAAATGATATTAACTTGTGATCTGAATGTTAATATAATGAGACAGTAACTAATATGTTACTGAGTACTTCATTTAATTGTAAATACTTAGATATTAAATAATAATTTCATTTTTTATTTATTTTATGTAAAGTTTAGAATAATTAATAACACTTTTTAAAAATGTTTATTCCAGTTCTATACTTACAGTTTTTAATGCATCAATACACCATTTTGGATAGTTTTTATTTGGATACATATTTAACATGAATTTCTGTACAAATTTTGGAAATTTATTTTCTTTAATACTATCTCGAATGGATTTCATTAACTGCATTTGATAAGTGAGATTATGCACTGACAATAAATTACAAGAAACTGATTCTGTACTGACAATCTGATGCAAATATGCTCTAGTATAGGTTTTGCACGTTGAACAAATACAATTTTTTTCAATAGGCTCAAAATCCATTTTGTATTTATTATTTTTTAAATTAATCTGACCATGTGGAGTTAATGCACAACCAAATCGTGCCGTTCTAGTTGGAAAAACACAGTCAAACATGTCAGCTCCTAAGGCACAACAAATTACTAAATCTACTGCAAATCCAACTCCCATGACATACTTGGGCTTATTACATGGTAATAACTGAGAAGATAACGAAACCATTTTCCAGAAGTCATCTTTAGCTTCTCCACCACTGAGACCACCAATAGCATAACCATTTACTTTTCTTTGTAAATGTAAATTGCCACTAAGTTTCCTTAAATTATCTATAAGACCTCCTTGAACAATTGGAAATATATTCTGTTTTTCAGGATATTCATGAGCACTTAGACAGCGATCTAACCAACGTGATGTTCTATATGTAGCTTCTTCCATTCTTGCATCATCTTTTGAAGTAGTTGGTACAACATCATCCAACTGCATTATAATATCAGCACCAATTGCATTTTGTATTTGAATAGATTTCTCTGGAGTTAATAAGCTTTTAGTGCCATCATAGGGCGATTTAAAATTAACACCCTGTTCATTAATCTCGGCCATATGTAATAATGAAACCATTTGAAAGCCTCCTGAATCTGTAAGTAAAGCACGATTCCAACCCATAAAATTATGAAGTCCTTTGGCTTTTTTCAATAACTCAACTCCAGGACGTAATCCTAAATGATAGGTATTTCCTAAAATAATTTGACAATTTATATCTTCTAACTGTTCTAGTAAAACAGATTTAATTGACCCCTTGGTACCAACTGGCATAAAAATTGGTGTTTCTACAGTATAATGTGGTAATTTCATAAGACTTGTACGTGCTTTTGTTGTACTACAAGTAGCAATTACATCAAATTGCATAGCTTTTTCCATAATAACTTATAAGTTTGAATATATTCAGAATATAATTTCCTACAAATAAAAATGTATATTATAGGTATACCATATATATATATATATATAGATTGTATACATTTCTATATTAATAATAAAAATAAAAAAAAAATTGAGTACATAAATAATAATTATAATAATAACGGTTAATGAAAATTGGTTTATAGTGAACATACATTTTTATTTAAAAAATTGAAATCCAAGTATCTTTATTCAATCTTTATTGCACTACCAATGAGGTCTTGAATCAAACACCAGAGAAAAAATTCCCACTTTTATAAATTCGCTCATTTAATAAAATATTTATTAAAATAATTAAATAATTAAAAAAATTTAAATGGTTAATACTTGTAAATTAATATAGAAATAAGTAAGTAGATAAATAAACTATTTGTTTATTTATTTATATATATTGAAATATTATTAGTAGATGAGAAAACAAATGTCATAATGTAGTAATTAATATACTTCGTGATTTCTTTTAAATTCATTATTAACACATAATATCATGCACGTATAAATTTAAGATCTAGGATAGGAAATATTTATACTGATCAATGTTGGATCATAAATTCATAACCAAACAATTCCTAAACATATATGTAAATATCTAAATATGTATTGAAATGCAAGACATGAATTATTATTGGAAGTTAATTTCTAAAAAAAAATTGTTTAAAATTTTGAAAAATACTTACACACATATATTTAGAGGTTTAGTAACACAACTTTGTGATTTGGTTTGTCATAGCAGCAGACAATTTGCGAAACGCTTTCATCGGACATAAATTATAAAAAAAAAACAAAATACGAATGCAGAGTCGTAGGAAAGTACATTAATCAGTTGAAAGGATAAGAAATTAATTTTTATTATTAAATTTCATAGCACTAAATTTATATAAATCCAAATGTAATAACGTATTTACTAATATTATAACTCTTATCAACAATATGGTGCACGCCGTTATCAATATTCACCCATTGGCGTCTGTAATACACCATATGGAGTTCCAGCACCCTACGGCGAGAATCAAAACCACGTGCGACAAAAACCCGTTCGATCATTACCGCTAGCCCATAGGATAGCGTAACCTAGTTAGGTCACTCAAACCATTCACACTATACTCCGCTGCCACGAGAGACCGCACCTCTATCGCGCTTCACTAACCACCCGGTTTGTAATCGTGGGCCTACTCATTGGCGCTCATCGTATTATTATAGTTGGGCTTTGTACACGATTTCGGTCGCCGGTCGGGTGCCGTCTCTCGTGGCGCGGATTATGAACAGGAAGCTAATTTTAAATTTTTCAAAATTAGTCCGTAGTTCGGCCGCTGAAAAGATTAAATTTATTTATTTCTTCTGCGGTTGGTCTTATATAGCTAAAGATATAAATAAATTTTAAATTAACATTTGATAAGACCCCTTGTATCCTCAATTTCTTTGCACGGCAATAGATAATAAGGTTGCAGAACGACTGTAAAAATGTGAAGCTCAAAAGGTATATGGTTTTCACAGCAGCATACAACGTATCTATGTGATAAATATATTAACTAGGTACATTGGACATCGATTATTGACGTATTGGATATTAGCAAGTGCTTGATTAACTTAAATATTTAAGAAGTGACCAATTTGGCTGATTTTTTTTTCTTTTTACTTTGTTCAAATATATTATATTAATCTTTTTTTTTATAACTATGTTGACGTATTCTCATAGATAAATACATATTGAACATTTCTGAGAGTATTTCACTTTTATGTTATTTACAATTCCATGTTATTAATAAAATATGATAATTTTGTTGCATATCAATCTGTGTTTCTTCGAATACCGTTGGAGAATCTGCCATACTTCTCAAAACTTAACTCAAATGATATAATTAAAGTGACCATGAAGATTAGTAGGGATTAGATAACCTCTTGTTTTTTATTCATAAATTCATATTTGCGCGGTAAAGGCACAGAATAGATGAAATCTTTCATCTATTTTGTGGTAAAGATATTTATTATCATTTGTTGTTATAGCCTATATAGATATTAAGTTCATGAACGAATACTTCATTTGAACTATTCACTTTGATGAACTACCTATTCTGAATTGTTTCAGTACCTGTAGCTTAACAGTTCACAGTTCGAAAAAAATGGTAGCATTATTTAAATGAAGTAGTTCGCAAATTTTTTTAAAAATTCTCTGTGGTTCGTTGTTCGAAATCCTGTAAATGGTAAACAGCTATTTACAATTAGATAACAAATATTTAATTGTTCATAAGTAGTGTGAACTACTACTGAACTGTGTACTGCTGTACTAATAGTGATAAAACGAATAGTTCATTGCCGCCAAACAATAACAGTATGATCAATAAAATTAGTGAACTTCGTGAACTTAAGAATAGTTCACTTGAATTATTCACTTGAATGAACTGTAAACTAATGAACTATTCACAGAAATGAACTAAACTTCCCATCTCTAATAGTCTAACCGTGGCTATAATCTATATTATATTTTCTGTCGGTAGGTTGCACTTTAATCTGTTCATATTAGTCACAGTACTTTTCAATACCATTCTGACATAAAACATAATATAATTATAATATTCTATAATTTTGGCTTGCCTCTTCATTATGTTCAGCATAATATATAATATATAACACATAATATTACGTTCCGCAACCTTATTATCTACAGCCGTGATTATTAATAAAGGGTTTTATTCTGTGATAATACTCATATCCTACTAAATACAAATGTTATACAATTGGTCGGCAGGAATACTGCATCTAAAAGAACCAAATGTACCCAGTTTTCGATGTATTCCAAAAACATTTCTGTACGCATGCGAAGACAATTAATTAATGATTTTACAGTGCTGTTTTTCGTACCACAAACAGTTCACCAGTACGAACCGTAGGAAAAGGAAACGGATAGTACCTAATTATTATAACATGATTAGACAACAACCACCGCCGACATACCTAAGCTGGACGTACAATAATTCGCGTTTTTCCGTACGCTTGCACTGGTCGTTATCGCCGTTCACAAGCGATAGTGAGCTTCGTTGATAACGGTAATTTTCAATTTTGTAATTCGTCCTTACACTCACGTTTCCGTTAATTATTTCCCCGAAAGATCCATCAGATTATACACGTGCATTTGTCCGTCGACACGAATATCACATTTTCGTTGCCGTTACGTCGATCACTTTCGATTTTGAGAAACTCCGGGGAAATGTGCGGTTGGAACACGCGAACAAACGATAAATAATCGTCGCACGAAAACGGAATCACCATGTCTCCGAAGTAAGTGTGTCTCATTCTTCTACGTGTATGAATTGTGTAACACGTGTGTGTCCGTATTGTAGAAAACAAACTCGTCGTGGAGGATTAAGAGGTCGCGGTCGGGGTATGCCAAAGAGGAGAGGACCAAAGCCGCGACAGCCCTCTTCACCGTGCGTAGCAACTGCTGACGATACTGATGCGGAAGGAACGTCTACTGATGGTAATGCATTTCCGAAAATGATTGTGTCACCCACATCATCACCACCCACAAAGAAACGTATAGAATACAATGAAGAAAGAGAACTGTCATTACCTCGACTTAAACCTACAGTTATTCCAGAAAATTCTGCAATACTTACACGTACACATAACAAATTTTTTGAAAAATAAAAGCCGTGTTTTATTATTTACAAATAATTTTATTATTTTAGTGTTGAATCACGAAGAGGATTCTGAATATATAATGACAGATGATGAACTAGACCATATTCAATGGGATCTCGAAGCAATGTTAACTTCATTGATTATACGTAAAAATACAATTAAAGATGAGCTTGCTACTTTTGCGTCCATGCAGTTTACTCGTTCTTTAAATAGAACAGCAAAAAATCCTAAGCTTCCCACAATTGTAAGTTTTGATAATCGTGTAAAATTATATCTATACATCTTGTTTTACTCTAAAAAAAATAATTTAATCAAATATTGCTATTTTGATTTAGTCAATTATTATACAATGTTTATACTTATGAATAGGGAACGAATTTTAATTGAAATAAATATTTTTATGTAGTTTAAATATCTGAGAGTTATTGACATATATGTACGTTTCATTTAATTTTGAATGAACTGATGCTAATTTTATTTTAAATATTTTACAAATAAATAAATTATAATCAAATATTTTACTAATAAATATACATAATCAATTTTATTGTAGAATTTCCGTTTTTATTTTAATATTTTACGATGGACAAAAATATATGATTAAGGCCGCGCACACATTGGATACAAATTTGTTTTGTACCAAAAAGGTACGAATACTGGTCATACGAATTGGGTGCGCACACTGAACTTGTTTTTGTCCGTAAAATAGTCAGTGTTTTGGTAATATCGTGACATCCTGGTACGCAATGGGTAATCCATTTCCGACGTACGAACGTTAATGAAATCCGGACAAGTTCGGATTGTTTTCGTACGTCGGAGCTACATGTATGTATACGTACGAACAACTCGCACCCAGTCTGCGCACTCGCATAGTATTTGGTAGGCTGAGATCCTTCGTGCGTGTACATACAAGTTCACACAAATCAAATTCGTACGAAAACGCATTCAATGTGCTCGCAGCCTAAGTCTGTATATCTTATCTAGGAAGTAGGTACAAATTTAAAAAAACTTGCAAAACAATTTAGCACTTATTACCACCAGTTTTAAATTTTTAGTTGATATTATTTCAAAATTAGAAAATTCTTAAATGGCATTAATCAAGAGCTTAGAAATAGTAAAAATGCCATTAAGCAATTAGAACGCATTCCTGGAAAAATTAGAGTTTTAATAAACTCTAAATTACAAAACATATTGGGAAAAACCCTAGGATTTAAGGTTGTAAAGTAGATAGAGAAATACTATTAAACAAAACTCCAAAAATTAATTTAGAAATAGAGTACAGTCCAAAAGAATTAACATGTATGATATATGCACTTGTCACTTCCTTTGATAAGGAGAAGCCATTTAGCCATTATAAAGCAATACTAAGATCAAATCGCCATAATTTAAAATTTGAAAATCTCAAATTATATATCGTTTCTAATTGTTTCTCCCATGAAGAATATTCAGATGATTCAGAATAATTATTTTTATTTTTGTATTATGTATTATTTATAAATTATAGTGAATTATATCTTATTTTCAATTTCAATATTTCAATATTATAAATAAATATTTATAAAGTAATAAACAAATATATACTTAAATATTTTTAATTTTTTACTAAATTTAAATCCGTTTCTCATGATAAATTCCTACTGTAATTAAATGTTTATTGTACTTATACTAAGTAGTTTCATAGGTTTAATTGATAAAATTGACTATTATTGTTTTAATTTTGCAAAACTTTTTCAGAGACCCAGAGCTGCTGCAGAAATATCGCCTGTTAATGAATGCCGTAAGATTCAAGTTGAATTTGATGCAACTAGTAAAGTAAAAGGATTGCAAATTTTAATTAAAATTATCTTAAATTTACATTGCAATACTATTGTATTTTAGGAACTGCCACCTAATAAAACTGAATCAGCAAATAAATTTTGGTCCTTGGTTGAACCTTATCTTGCTCGTGTAAAGAAAGAAGATCTCAATGTAAAAAAAAAAATAATTTTTTGTAACAATCATTCCCTTTAATTTAAATGTTATTTATTTTTCAGTGGTTAGAAGATCTAGTCAAATCTTACAGTCCCAATCAAAAGTTATATGAAGTTCCACCTTTAGGTGAACATTATGCAAAGAACTGGGCTAAAGAAGAGTTAGAAATGCAAAAAAGTCAGTCTTCATGTTCTCCGCGACCAATTTCTAAAAAGCTTAAACTTGCCGAGCGTGTGTCTCCTGAAGTTGTGGAATTAGTGAATAGAGCTAATGCTGCAGCGTAAGTAAATTATTAAAATAAAGTTAGCGTGTATACAATTTTATTAGCTTTTTTCTGAAAAAGAATTAGTGAAATGTGTATATTAAAAAATAATGAAACACTTGGTTTTGCTAAAAAAAATAAGCCTACCAATAATATTTTGATTTTACTTGATTTATAAATTGTATATATATTTATTTTAATATATAAGTGCCTTTGCCTCTAAGCATTACGATTTAAGTACAACTATACAATATTAATAAAAATATAAAATCATTAATAATAATAATATAATGTTACCTAATGGACAAAAAATTAATTTAGTATTATAGTATTACAAACAAAGGAAAATTAATTTATAAACTTAAAAATAATAATAAAGATAATAAAAATAATTTATGATGTGACAAAGTTAGTTATAAGATTTGAAAGTTAGCGATTATGGATTCAGCAAGTATGAGCATATGTAAAGAGATTTAGTATTCTAAAAAATAATTGTTTTCAGGATATTATTTAAAGGGGAATTAATGGAAAAATTAAATAGTTTATTTTAGTTAAGTATAAAGTGAAATAAAATATTAGAAATAGGTCTAGTTAAATTATTTTCGTTGTGTTTGCATAAGACTGTTGAATTGAGTATAGATGGACATGAACTTAGCTGTGACTTATAAAATATTTGTTAACACAAGTGTTAATTACAACTATTATAAATATTTAAATAATTTTATATCTTAACATACAAAATATTAAATTATATAATAATAGCGAATTAACTATGTAAAAAGTACAGCAATACTAAAAATTTAGGATGTTAATGCCATAAGGCAATATATCATTGCACAGTATTGCATATGTATGCTTAATTTTAATTCAGAATATACCGTACAAAACTATTTGGATTAAAAAAAATAGATTTGTCAAAATTTTAATTCACTCATTTTTATTTGTATTCACCAAACAAACTATTTTTGTATTAATATCATTTCTTATCATAATTGAAGCAGTCATGATGGTAGTGTATTCAAACCAATCTATCAAAGAGTTGTAAGTGCTCTTTTAGAACATTCTCATATGTCTATTGAAGATCTTGAGGAACATTTTCCAGAATATGATGGTAAATACATTTTATTAATGTTTGTTAATTTTTAAGTTTATATTGATTGTAAATAAAGTTTCATTAATAAAATTAAAAAAAGTTACAATAATTCTACATAACAATTCGTTTAAAATATTGGATTTAAAATATTTTATTTTGATAGTTCAATTTTTTTTTCTACTCTGTATTTGATTCCTTCAACTCTACAGTTATGTAATAAAATATTGTAATTGGAATCATATTAATTTAATTCAAGATGTCGAAGACAAACCACAAGAAATGAGTAATGTTTGCCAAGAGTTTTATGCTGAACAAAATGTCAAGAAGCAACTTTATAAATTAGGACTTATGGGTCGTCATTCCAAACCAGTATCACAATCAGTAGATCCAAATCTTTTGACTGCTAAACCTGATGAAGTATTTAAAATTTATAAATTGGATATAGGTATACTTTTTATTTATAATATTATTTTTAAGGATCAGGATGAAATTTTAGAAGAAATAAACAAATGTGATGATGCATTAACACAATTACGAGAAATGAACAAAAACCACTTGACTATTTTATTACATCGATGCCGTAAAGATTATGTACAGGATATTATAAATACCAAACTTGAACGCATAAATAATGAAGTATGTCAAATTGATATGTATTATTATTATCAGGGCTTAAAATTGATAACCGGTTTGTAACGAAAACCGTAAATCCTACCGGAGCTGATTACAAACTTTATTAGGAATGGTTTTAAGCCCTGATTATTATATATACATATTAAATATTTAATTAAAAATCTGTTTTATTAAAAATGTAAATGAAATTGATAAAAGTATTCATACAAATTCAAATGTTGAAAACGTTTAATTAAAAGATGTTTTTTTTTTTTTTAGATTTTGAACTTTAAGAGACAGCAAAATGAATCATGGACAAAAGAAAAAAAAATTGCCCAAATTACAGAAGAAGATGATGAGCTGAGTTACTTATTAAACCAACGTAGCAAGTATCTTTTGCAGTTACAAACTGTTAACTCAGCAGTTACTTTTGATCCGGATGCTTTCTTAAGCCCGTCTATTTCTGATGATTCTGAATCAAGTGATGAGGAATCTACCATATCTAGAGTAAAAATCAAAACTGAAATGCCTGAACTTGATAATGATATCAAAGAAAACATTGGTTCACATGATGTATGTAAAAATGAAAAAACTGATGAATATGAAATGCAAGTAAATATTAAGGAAGAAATTATTGAAGAGATGCAAAGTGTAGAACTGAATGATCATGAATTAGAATATAATGATGAACAAGTTGCAATGGTAGAAGTAAGTGCTAATGAAACCGAAAAGACTGTAGATGTGAAAAATGAAACTGAAGAGGCTGATAAAGACAAAAATGAAAAAGATGACCAAACCGAGTTAAATATTGATATTAAAATCAATGATAAAGATAAGCAACAGGGTAAAATTATAGATGAAGAAAGTAGTAGTGCTATAAAACCAAATATTAGACGACGTCGTGGAAAGTCTAAAAACAATATAACAGAAAATGAGCAGATGTCTAAAATTGAATGTAGAAAACCTATTAGAATTAAACAAGAGCCTGTTGAATATGAACCGGATTTAGATCCTTCTGGGGATACAATTGATGGAATTAAAAGAGAACTAAGACCTCGAAATTTAAATGACCCACAGGTTTTTTTTGAACCATATGATGGGACAAGTGAAGATAGTGATTATACAGATTTATCTGATTAATTTTAACACTCTCACACTCAACCTAACTATAAGTACAAGTTGCATATTGCTTTAACTAAGTTAGGTTAGGTCATCAATGGTCTCATTACTTATAATTCATTTCTATTTTTTCTTTAATTCTAACTATTTTATATTAGTATTTAAAATAGTATAATATTTACAGTTTCATAGAATAATTTTTGTACTATTTTTCTTTTAAAATTCATATTAGATAAATTGTCTGTTAATTAAAAGAATGCAACCTACATTCACTTTAAAATTCAATCTTACCTTAAAGACATGTTATGTAAGGAACTTTGCTTATCTAATTAGTATTTAGGTCAGTTTAACGGATTAGTTTATATCCATAAATTCATTAAAATTCTATATTATAGTACAATTCCACTTTATATTTGATTTATAAAAAAAAAAGTATTATTACATTTTCAGACATCAAATTAGTATTTTGACTATAATTTTGATCATCTGGGTCATTCATTCTTAGACAAACTAATGGCTGATAGTGATACAGCTTTATTATTTATTTATCAGATTTAAAAGTAAACATTTTATTTATAGTCTTAATAATTTTATGTCTACATTCTGTTCCAATAAAGAATATACCTGGCATTAATCTGTTTTCATCCAGCTGTTTGTGTCTCCGACCAATGAATCACACAAATCAAGGCCTTCATTTGATATATGCAAAACTGGTATATTCTTTTTATGGAATATAATATATTCAAGTATTAATTATTTTTAATGTTGTAAGTTCAAAATAATAAGTGAAGTTCTTTGTTTTTTAATCAATACCTTTTGTAAATACATGTTAAAATGTTTATAATATTTCGTACATGAATAATTTTTTTAATTTAGGTAAAACTCTTAAACAATTTTGTTTTACAAAATACTAATCAATACATCTAAAATACAGTTTTATTTTAAATATTAAGTTTTAAAAATTAATTTACTAATACTAGCTCTAAAAATATAAATTTGTGTCATAATGTGTTACACAATTTTATGACATTGTAATTCTGTAAGGCACATAGTAAAATATTAAATACTGATGTACATTTATTTAAATTAGATGTTGAATTTAAACTTACTATAAGTGCTTTATTTTAATCTTTTAATTATCTCAGGTAAAATTTGTCAAATTTATTTCTATCAGATTATACATGTTGATTCACTTATTCATTAGTGTTATAAAATATTTTTATTAAGATATTTGATTACACATTTTTTAGTATAAAATTCTATGTGTCTTTAACATATTAAAATAGATGTATTAATTATATTTATTCAATCACAATAATTTTATAAATTAATTTTTGTTTCCTTTAACTTTTGTTACACGTTCATATTATTAAACTTTGTATTTTATTCATTCTGAGATAAAATTGTTATTACAACTGAATGTTTTTTTTTTTTTTGTAAACTGAATATGTTATTACTCCGATTTTTTTTTTTTCATTTATAATGTAAAGTATGTAAATTGTAATAATGATATAATAGAACTAATAAACAAAGTCTCACAAGTGATACTTTTTGATTAATAATTTTAATACATATATTTTTAAAGGCTGAACAGATATTAAAAAACAATATTATAAATAATCTAAGTACTAAGGAGCAAAATGTTCATTAATTAATCTGAAAAACATTTCCAAAAGCTGTAATTAACCAATTTTCCTTGACAATAGAACCTTGATTATCCAAGGAATTGGTGGGTAAGAATCACACTAGAAAATGAAAACTATGATTAATCAAGAATTTTTATTTAACAAATACAAATTTAATTTTTTTATTTATTATTTCATTCTATTTAATCTATGTCTTATATATATATGTATATATATATATTCATGTTTTAAAATTATCGGGGATTGAAATTTGATGTAATCAGTCTGTTTTTCACTGTTTAAAATGATTTTTCTTATTTTACTTCTAATTTTTCTTGAAATAATGACATGGAAGTCAACATTTTCTTGCTCGCTAAATTCAAGAAGATATCAACTACTCGTATTTCCATAAATCAATTGATAATGTAGTCTACACATTGTTTATTAAATTAATATTATTTATCATCTTTAATCTGTATTGTAGCAGGCTCATCAGGGACTCTGGTTATTTTATACATTTTCTCTATTGAAAATTTATACCCCATTCCACACACACTGTTACATGCCGTTAAGTCAATTGGTCTTCTTGTTGATTAAGAGTGAAAAAGTGTTAAAATAATAACAACTATAAATATTCCTATTATTGCCAAATTTTAACATAAAAAAATAAATATTTCTTCATGTCTAAAAAAAAAAAATAAGTCATGATTTAAAAATTTTTATGTCCCCTCGGCTAACAAAGTCTAAACATGCCTATATAAATGTACCATTACCGGCGTCGGTTGTCCAAAAGAACACGCTTTTAATATGCTGTATTACACTGTAATTTGAGTATAGTAATAATTTTATATTATTATCACAAGGTATTATAAAATGTCTAAATTTTAACAGGTTGATTGGCAGACTTCGATTGCACAACCACTACATCATACTCATGATTGAGGTTAAGTGTTGTTGTTTAAAGGCGCCGATACATTTCCAATGATCTCAAAATTACCTTTAAGGTTTTAAAGTTTGTACAAAGCCGATTACACTGTGGGTTTTTTCGGTCGGCCACTCGCTGTACGATTGTTTTTATTTTTTTTTTTTATTTCAAAGTTGAAAATTCAAAACCAGTGCTCGACCTGGCAAAATTAAAGAAGAGGTACTCGACTCTGTTTACTTTAAAAAAAAGAGCGTCCCTAAAACTTGTTGAGCGTTATAATTATAAAGTAATAATAGTAAGGAGGCGCTAACATTTCTGAAAATTAGTTGGAGTACTCCACCCCTCTGCGTTCACCCTCAAGTCGAGCACTATTCAAATCTTAAATATAAAATTGTGTATCATCAAAAAACTTACAGCAAAAGTCCAGAATTATCCACGTATATGGGATATAAGTTCAAATGAATACATAAATAGGGATTTGAAACATTCATGTTTGTTGAAAGTAACCGAAGTTGTGTACCAACACAATCCAGCATAGGATAACCTTTCAGCTGCTGAAAAATTAGGAAAAAAACTGATCTAGACTGAAATACTTATAGTTTGTTTATATATGTTAATTTGATTTTATGATTAGATATATTTCGTAAAAATCGACCAAAATTTTACTATTTATAAAATAAATTTTAAATTAAAAAGAAATCATCAGCTTTTTAATCATATTTATTTGGATGCTCTGTTTTCGATAACCGACAAAAAGCGTAGCTAGTATGAACGGTCGTTTTCGGTCGCTGTTTTATTGATTGTATTTTATCAGTTGAGTTTTATTGCTAGTCACTGCTTATGTCTCAAAATTATTGTATATTTTACAAAATAAAGGTGATATTTCAGGGGGGAGTCATAACCCGTAAATCCATCCCCTGACTAAGCAACTGGTTTCCATAGTACCTACTTGTGTCCTGGAACAGTAATATTATACTTATTGTAATAAGGCGTACACTAATAATAGCGTAAACTAGGGGAGGCCGTTGCCTTCCGTAGAATAAATTAGGAGAGACAGTGCCCCCTTTGATATTTAACATACCTTGTTTTAAAATAAATACAAAACAGCAGGTTATATTTATTACTATTTGTATAGTTTTATACAATAATAATCAGGGCTCATAACTTATAGTTCTAAAAAAAGTAGTTATAAGCGCTATGATATGCTCTTAAAAATATTTATATAAGCGCTTAATCATGCACTAAAAATACAAAAATATATAAAATAAAATTATCATGTAAAAAAACACAATTTTCATTTGTTATTTAAAATAAAATTTCATTTAAAAAACATATTATGTATAAAAAAAAATTTAAACTCCTATTATTAAAATTCCGATCGCGTTTCTATATGATATAAATAAATATATAATTTAAACCAAAAGAAGAAAAATTATTTAATTAACATGAATTAATTACAAATATAAAAATTAATACTACTATAATTACTTTTTATCATTAAGAAAAAATGTTTTAAATGCTAAGAAGCTGAGTCTGAAAAAAGCAAAATAGCAATTATATTTTGAATTATGCAAAAAAATGCAACATAAAATTTCGCATTTAGCTTCTTAATTATCTAAAACAAATATATAGCTCACTTAGGTATTTCTAGGACCTCTCAAAAAATATGTAAATGCTATAAGTTATGAGGCCTGATAATAATAAAAATATCAAAGATTATTTATGTTCGATTAATTCTATTATTTAATTATATTGACCACCGTACACTAATATACAACAATTGGTAATGTTCATGGTGAAGTAAATTGATTATGGTAATGTAACATACATTTACTAGTAAGTAAAGTAAGGTTAACTATATAAACTAGTTGATTTGTAACAATAATTTGCTCCCCCTAATAAATTTCCAAGTTACGCTCATGATAACAATATTGCCAACACACACGTTGTCGCTCACTACCTGCTCCGACCACGAACGTGGGTCAAGGTCAACGCGATGTAACCGGTGATTTTTTAAATGCATAATTTTCTTATTAATTCAATCGTTCCGTCGACCTTACACGTGATTCCAATATTTACGTTACAAACAATCCATATATTTCACTGAATAATAATTTTTTGTCGTTCGTTTTTCAACTAACAGAATGTCATTAAATTAGAGGATACACACGTATTATACGTGATGGGCGATTCCTGAAAGTAAATCAATTTAAATCAGAATGAAAAGTTCGTCATGAGAATAAATGGTAGTGTCAGCACTGTGAAAAGATTGGAAATCGGATCAACAACTAATAATTAATTCGCATAAAATATCATGTTAACGGTTATATACACAAAAAATTAATCGGATTAACGATTTGAATGAAAAAATGAATCGATTTCTTATAAGATCGGATCATGGAGATCAATTCAAATAATCGATTTATCGTATAAAAAAATCGATATTTTAAAACATCGATTTAAATCGCCCATGATTATTCACTACGCAATGATTGTACTACAGATTGTCCAATTTGAACAATTAATGTTACCCGTGCGCAGGTCCCTTGATCGCTTTACATTTCAGTACATATTAAATTATGATCTCGAGGAAATTTCCTGAATCGCAGTGAGTACACCTACTATATATGGATATGACTGCTATTGTATGTAATTCGGTAGATATTACTTCTCATTAATTAATGGCAGAATTGGGAAACTCAAGGAGGTAGAAGTAAAAATATGCACTTCGGGATTGTTATTATTATTATTATTATTTTTTTTTTTTTTTGGTTTATTGGGCCTTATTAAGACCATCCCGTCTCACAACCAAGCTTCCATCCTACTCTATCCAATGCCATATCTCTCCAATTGGAAGCACCACCTAAATGTTCAACGTCCTTCTTTATATTGTCTTCCCATCGCATTCTTGGTCTTCCCAGAGGTCTTTTACCTACAAGGAATTTGTTATTACTTACTACTGTTTTTACCTTGTTTACTTATGCTTTTATTTTTATTTGTATATAATCGCCGTATTGTTTGGCGTTTATCTATTAATTGTTATAATATTCATTATAATTACTACAAATTGTGTTGTACTATTGGGCTCCTAGCCTGTTCATTCATATAAATAAAATAAATAAATAAAAATATATATATATATAATCAATGATTTTACTCCTTTCGTCACAAGTAACTAATAAGTACTTATGTTTAATAATTTGCTTTTGATCTTTTATAATTCTATGTTTTATTATATTGTTTTGAATTACTACTGAATATATATTTATGTAAATATAATTTACGTTATAAATACAAATATACTTATATGTATATAAAAATTTTAATGTATCAACAAATAAAACACCAAACTTTATAGTAAATATAAAATTGTATTATAAAAATAAGGTATATGTATAATATAGGCGTAATATAACAATATTATAAAAGTTTAGGCATCCCTCCACTTATTTTGAGCCATTTCGACCACTGATTATTCCTCTAGTATTCTAAGTACCTAGGTAGCTTCATTGGAAGCCCTCCTACATCGAGTCAATTTTCATGTCAAAAAAAAAAATCTTTTACTAATTATTACTTGTGGTTGATGATATAGTTGTATAATTCATTGTTAAATTAAAAAATATTGAAAAAAATGTTAGAATTAATAATTTTTCAATATTGTCAAAATTTGAAGCCAATAATATACAAGACTTGATTGAGATATATGGGTATATGGGTTTGTAAGGGCATTCATCATCAATAATACAGGGAAGAGGACATATGAAAGGGCTCTAACTAACAAAATAAATATAATATAAATTCCTAATTATAATATTTTATGTATAAATGTATAATAGACTCGGCAAAGTTAGGGAGGAAATTACATCCTTGCTCCCTAATGGACGAACGTGGGGGCTTGACATTCTGATTACGCCACATCATCTGTGTGGCAATTACTATCCAGTAGCGTAAGAAAACCTAGGCGCTAGATAAACTTAGAAAAAAATGCTTTTTTATCAATTAAAAATTTGATGTGATGATATATTTTTTAACCTTTAATCTTATAATTTTTTTTTTTTTTAATTAAAATGTATTTATTCATATGCGGTGGAATATAGTAATGATAAAAATTATAAAAATATTTATGTTATTTTAAATTCAAATGAGTAAAATTTAAATCACTAAATATTTTCAGATTATTCCGCACCGATAACAATTAAATTTCATAATTATAGCGGATAGACCTTTTCGCTTTAATCTAATATTGATAGTTACAAAGTTTGATTCGCACGACTAAAAGTCGCCTAAACTCTAATTTAAGGGGGGAGGAGATAAGATTTTTATAATTTACCAGAGGCCTTCGAATGAAAAAGGTTGAGAACTACTGTTCTAATGTTTACTTAAATATTTCCTATTGCAGGGAGTAGCTGCATCAAAGTGATATAGACATCAGTTTACGACCGGCAGCATATGAATCAAGTTTTTTCAAATTCCAAAGAAAAATGAACAAAATCGTACTTGTTTTTACCGTTTTAGCTGTAATAATTGCATTGGTCGATTATTGGAAATTCTTCAAGGAAGTGGAACCTGAAGTAATGCCGGAAGACGTGTGGTGGGGACTAGAATCTGATCGCGTTAATTTTGACAGAAACACGTTTCACACACAAATTCTACCATTTCAAATAAACATTTCAGACAGGGTAAATAATAATGGAGATAATCATGTGTATTAAATTAAAAAAAATGTCTACTAAAAATACTAATGACTATGCGGTAATATGGTAATAATTTTCGATTAATTACCTTTCACAAACGAGAACTCCATTATTCGATTGTATTTGATATATAATAATAATAATATAATAACCTATATATATAATCTTTAAAAAATCTATTAGTGGGGAAAAAATAATCGCACAGTATTAATTATTATATAATTGCATGAAACTTTACATGTGTAATAAGCAAAATTCGAAGAAAATCTATATTTGTATTATCGTTTTGTGAACCAAACTTATAATTTAAAGACAATTATTTTTTAGTTATTCTTTAAGACAAATACCATGCATAAATTGTAAAATTTGATGAAATGTTGTTATATCTAGACTACCCCATAACTTCCTCCTTCTGGAATTTATCATTTTGAGTAAGTATACGGCTGTCAATCAGCGACTGTTCATATGATTTTATATACTTTTATCGTGAAACATTCGATACAGTAGAACGATAACCGATAAACAGTATTTATTATGATGTTTGATATAATCTGTTCCTTAATAATAACTACAACTTAACTATCGAAGTGTAAATTATAGATTATAGGAGACTTGAAGGACCGACTGTCCAAGACCAGAAGTTTAGCGAAGCCTTTGGAAAACGTCAACTTCGAGTACGGCTTCAACAGTGACCGGCTGTCGGAGATCCTGGACCACTGGGCGAACCGTTACGACTGGACGGCCAGACAAGCGTACCTAAACGGATTGCCGCAGTTCAAGACCCGCATCTACGGCCTCGACGTGCACTTCGTACACGCGAAACCAGCATCGGTTGTCCCTGGTGGGAACGTTCAGACCGTCATACCGTTACTCCTGCTGCATGGGTGGCCGGGTTCCGTGGTCGAGTTTTATGAAATGATCCCGTTGCTGACCGCCGGGGACGCGCGAGGGATCGCGTTCGAGGTGATCGCGCCGTCGTTGCCCGGCTACGGGTTTTCGGAACCGGCCGTCAGACCCGGCATGGGTCCCGCGCAGATCGGTCAGATGTTCGTCGAACTGATGAGGAGACTTGGCCATGGCAGGTTCTACGTGCAAGGCGGCGATTGGGGGTCGATTATTGCCGAGACCATATCTACAATTTACCCGGATAGGTACTTTGGTTAGGTTAATTGTTTAATGATCGTACAAATGTGTATTTATGTCACGTGTACGACAACGGGTTTTAAGATACTTTTTTTGACCATCACGTCAAATTAAAATCGATTGTCTGCCCATCGCATAAGCTGCACAAGGGTTCGAAACAGAGATGTCAACGTATTGTTCTCACATGACAAAATACAGTATCGTAAATATTGTTTTATCCCTTTTCTCTACTATAAAATTATATTTTTGTCAAACCATATAATTACACTATTCACCTACACAAGGTTAGGCAAATACCATTAGAACAATTTTTTTAAATTGTTTTTAAATTCTATAGAGTTCGCGGTATACATTCCACATGTGGGTGCTCAATAATTTCGTAATTGACGCTATACGATTTCACTCAGTCGATAGGTCAGTCTATAGAGTGAAATAATTCGATCAGATATTTTATTTCGCTTATATTGAAACACACACTGACTTGCAACATTTTCAACCACGAAACAGTTTTAACTTCCAAGTAGAATTCGTGTTTTAATTGTTGACTAACTGGGAACCTATTCGTATTTTACCCACGGACTCTACCAGGACCCAATTTTGCCTTTGGAAATCATCATGTAGGCGTCCTTGTTTACGTATAGTATATAATCAATGGTTCCGGAAGATGGTGGTAAAAAGATAACTATTTAAAACCGACGGCTTCTATAATGTTCTCAAACGTATAGTCTGGCGCGTACACAAAAAAACATTTTTGGAGGCTTTAGGTTATATGCTTTCATGCTTATACAAACTCACTTTTACTCTTTAAAATCTTATTTAATATATTTCCTTAATTTTGGGGAAGGGGGGGACTTGTACCATAAAACCTCCTATTATGTATGCGCCTGTGTATGGCAATAACTACCGAGCGTCCGGATCATTTTGAAAATTAAATTTTGGCATCAATAATTATTTTATACCACTTATTAAAATTTGACTATCAGTTATTGTTATGTGTTATCTCTTAGGGTTCGTGGTATGCATTCCAATTTTTGTTCAGTTACTTCGTTCTTGACACTGGGCGATTACACCAGGTTAATTTTGGGAGCGTACTGGCCCTCGTTGGCGGTCAGTTCTGAGATAGAGAAATCACGAACATATCCGCTGAGCGAGTTGCTAATGTCGTTCCTAGAAGAGACTGGATACATGCATTTGCAAATGACCAAACCGGACACAGTGGGTACGTTAATGTATGAATATGCTCATAAATACGTTATCAAACTGCAATGCAGTCGTATTATATAATAGCTATAGATTTGTATTTTTTCGTAATTCCAACAGGAGTTGGTCTGACCGATTCGCCGGCTGGATTGGCTGCTTACATCTTGGAAAAATTCTCCTCGTGGACCAATTTAAAAAATAAACACTTATTGGATGGTGGTTTTTCCAAATACAATATAAACGCACTTTTGGATAACGTTATGATTTACTGGGTAACCGGATCCATAACCACTTCGATGCGTCTTTACTCGGAGTACGCCTCTAAACATTATCAAACTCTGCCGCATAAAAAGTACGTTACGGGTACACTCGTTTCTCTATACATGATTTGCATCGTTGTATATACTTAGGGACATATTTATGTTATCGTTACAGGGCCAAAGTAAAAGTGCCTGCAGCTTGCGCTTTGTTCCCAGAAGAAATGGCCATGGCATTGAATCTAAAGAAATTCCTTAAAATAAAATATATAAATCTGGTCAGTGCTACGGAAATGAAGGAAGGCGGACATTTCGCTGCATTCGAACAACCCAAACTGCTGGCTGAAGACATTAGGTCATCGATTATTGCGATGGAAGCAATTCAAAAATAAATTTAACCAACTTTTATTTTTCATATACTATATTTTTAAATTTTGTACGTTTACTAGCAATTCGATTACTCTGAATAAATTATCCCATCAAAGTTTTAAATTCAAAAAAATTGAAATTTGAAAGGCATTCTAACGTGTAATAGTCTCTTTCCTCTTCCTCATTACTCCTAGTCTCGTATTAGATGATATTATTATTAAGTATTAGATGTTTGTATTTGGTAAAATGGAAATATTTTATAAATTTAATGGGACTAGGCGTTTGAAGTGGCGAACGATTAAACAGCTGAATAAAGTAATCAATTATTTTAAACAAGCATGTATAATTTCATAATTCTATGATCATTTAATAACTGAGAAATATTAGATATTAGTTAAAAAGTATAAATTATTACCTACAATTTATTTATTTTACTATCTTTTTCATATATTAGTTCGCATTTTTGCATAATGATAATTAGGCTTAGGGACTTCTAGCATTTGCATACTTTTTTTAATTATTGTTAAATATAGCAGAGTGCGAAATAAATTCGTTTTTCAGTGTCATGATATCAGATCTAAAATTTGAATGTGCATATTTTTGCATATTTGATAGATTTTGCAGAAGAGTGCATATTATAAAATTGTTATGTTTATTTTGCATATTTTGACAATTTTTTCAAATTTTACTATTTAAAATTAAAAACTATAGATACAAATAAAATATATACATATTTCAACTGATCGAAAAAAAAAATGTACAAAGATGACTTAATACTTCCAGTAATATGCCATCTTCAAACTACCTCTCATATCTCGTTATAATTTTTGTGTAAGTATAAATAATACTATAAGCCCGTATCGACCGTATAACCCGCTGGATATCAACTGGATAACGATAAAGATAATAGTCGATATAGAATAATAGATTATTTGTTTACTGTTCAGTTCAATCGATTATTATCCGTTGCTGTTTTTGCGTATCGCAACCACTCAACGTCGAATCATACTTAAAACGTCGTACGTATATATTTTGTAACATTGTGTAATGCCGAAAGTACAACAGTCTACGAGTAGCCAACTAAAAATTTTTGTTTCGGAGTTTAAAGATACATTTACATCCGATGGACACGTTTTATTTCATGAACTATGTGGTATTTCTTTTTTTTTTTAATGCATAAAAATGCTTATTATAATGCATATTTTAATGATTTTAGTAGCATATTTGTGTATTTTTTAGAGCTATAAGTCCCTAAGCCTTATGATAATGATTTATTGATTTTTCATAAATATAAAAGTAAATGTGAATTAAGCAGTAAATTTCGAAAATGCCTGGTGTATGACCGTAAGTGATTTGATCTACTCGACAAAATATGTTAATAGTTAACTGTTTCCTCAGTATTAAAGGCTTTTTATATATATTTTTTTTTCATTAAACTTACATAGTCGCATTGCTGGTTATTGTATTACATATAAACGTTAGAAACTTTTTAAAAATGATTTAAAACTATTACAACTCCAACACTTAACAGATTACTTAAACTTAAATATTTTGCGTTAAGTATAAATTGTTAAATAAATTTATCGACACATGAATTATCCGCATAGTATGCATAACATAATTTTGATTAACGATACACTATTAATTCGTTTGGTCTACATTTATTAAATACAATTATCAATAGATAAGTGTCATTAAATATTATACAATAAAAATCTGAAGTTACAAAATCAACTGCAAACCCTAAGAGTATATTACTTTTATTTTTTTATTATCATTTAAATAATTTTTTTGTATTTTGTTGTAATATCATTTTTTTTATATTTTAATGATTTTTTTTATAACTAATTGCATGTATTTTGTAATATATAAATTAAATATTGATTTTACATTCATATCATTTATATTTTTGTATACTCAATAGGTACGCTAGACGCCAGGTGTTACTTTTTTCGTAGTGTGTTACTTTAGCCGGTGTATACAACTACCTGTTATCGCTCGGCGGCGGTAGCCGTGGTATAAGCCTCTATTCGTCGCGTTAGGTTTGAAATTTACAGCGGCGAAACCGCGGAGCTCAATCATTTGTATGCGCGAAGGAGTAGCGCTCTCTCAGTGGCCGTACTATATAAGAGGTAAAATATATTTTTATATAATCTGTGGTGTAAGGTGTAACTTATAATAATTTTTTGTGTTTTTATATGAAACCTATCTACTCACGTTGACAAGAAAAAAATTGTAATTAAACTGTTTAATAAAATTGACCTGTATCATTATTTGGTATGATATTTTAATTGAACAAAACACTTTGAAATTGTATACTGTTAAACCCTAGGAAATACATTTTAATATGTTATTCAAAACAAACAAGGTGCATATTTTACGTTAATTGAGGGTGGAAAGGAAAGGTCTGATATTGTTAAGACAAGTTAGGGGGGGGGCAGTAAAATGATTTCGTCCCGGAGAACATATATTCTAAATGCGCCACTGGCTCTACCGCACTTTAAGTACCTGAAGTTATACTTTATACCACATAGATCATACTATATATATAAATTTCTCACTGGTACATCGTGAATTAATATATTATACTCAGTATGCAGTGATAGTTTGACGTTATAAAATGTAATTAGTTACCGTTTAATTACTGATGTAACCATTAAATTTAGACCACAAACCGAAATTTGTTATCATATTTCGTGATCAATGTTATAAGGACGACCGACTTAAAGTAACTTTTGATTTTTCCAATAATATTTTTGGTTACTTGTTTCTTAATTTTTAATATTCAATACGTATTTAAAACAATATTTAATTTATTTAGATTAAATTATATTTAATTTATTTAAAAATTAATTATTCAATCTATATTTTTATTTATAAAACAAAAATTTTCTATTTTTTACTAAAATATATAGCTTCCTATTTACTATTGATCACAGTCATATTTCACGGTTTTTAAAAAAAATTCAAAAATATAATTAGTGCAATCAAATTTTATAAATTATACTTAAAATAGAATTGTTGTGAAAATTATGAAGAATGACGAGTACAAATGTCCTTTATACAGGTTACTATTTGTGTAATGAATTATGGTTGAATTTTAATTAAATATTAAAACATTTTAACTCTAACTAATTATCTTTCTAAAATATAAAATATTTTTTGATATTTAAATTAGTTTAATTAAAGTGTTTAAATTATTTATTGATAAAAACTATACACATCCTTCGATAATTAACAATTTATCCCTGAAACTCGTCGTTGCTTAATATTAAAAAATTACTATAATTAATATTCTTATTTTTCATCCCAGTTTGTCATGATTTTAATTTCATGCTACTAGTAAGTGAGCAATCTATTTTGTATATTAGTACATATTTATTCATGCTCAAATTAAAGACTTAATAGATTAATTTCTAATTTTGTTATAATGCCAAACAAAAGTGCCTGCAATTGTACTATTTTCCCAGAAAAGATATATATAATGTTGAGTCTAAAAAAAATGCAGGTAGGCAGGTTAGGTTAGGCAAGTATTTAAGGTTATTTAAGGTATTATAAGGAAGGCAGGTATTTCGCTAAGTCGAACCAGTGGCGTAAACTGGGTGGTGAAAATGTGGCACTTGCAATACCACATCTAAAATGTGGTGGTGCAAATATATATATTTGCATCACCAGAAAATTATTGAAATTTGTATACCTATAATATTATTTTCAATAGCCAAGGAAATCAGCATACTAAAAACAAAATTAGATTGTTTTTTTTTTTTTATTAATATTATAATAATAAAGGTTTTATTCCTAAAATAATTCAAAATTTATTTGTTATTTAAAGAAATATATGGAAAAATATATAGTTTATTCGGATGAATTTTACTCAGGAAGTTGGAAAATTGGTGTGTTGGAAATTATAACTTGAGAATATGCTGCTGCACCACCAGAAATTGGATCCAATTTATGCCACTGGTTCGAACAACCCAAGCTTTTGGCCGAAGACATCAAGTCATCGGTTGCCGCAATGAAAATTATTAAAAAATAAATTGAATAACTTAATCTTTTTTTCGTACTTAGTATTCTGTATTTATAATTTTTAGTTTCAGAAATTATTTTTAAATTCTGTCTAAGGTATTCTTTGGTAATTTTCGGTCACCAATTATCGGAAGCGATTCTAGTCTCATCGGCTTTTTGGTGATGTTTTCGGGTGATATGCGTCTGTGTCCTGTAAAATTGAATGTTTTATTGAACAATTAACGTCAATGGAGTTCGTTAAATAAAACAAAAAAATATTTTACGACGTATCAATACGTCTATTCCATTTCGTACCTTTCCACTTGTGGAATGGTCTACCAGACTCTCCGTGGGATTGTATCAGTAACTCGGTGGCTCGTTTTGGTTTAAAGTAATTACCGGCGAAATCGTTTTCGTTCGACTTTTGATACTTCTGGAACATCAAATAAGGTTATGTTAATAATATTAGGGTGCCGCATATATTTTTACAGTGTGGTTCATCGTTTGTATGTATGTGTGTGGTGCAAAATAGAGAAAACAAATGAAAATGTATAAAAATACAAGTTCATTTTTCAATTTATTGAAAGCTACTAGTGATGACAGGATGCGTGATGACCATATCACCTGTTCGTATATGACGGGCACGTCTGGCGATGACGATCTCCTACTGCTATCCGAACTGGAAGATTTGTCAAAGGAAAGACCGGCCAACGTGTTAAATATACCCAACGACATTTTCCTCCGGGCGTTATCGAACGTGTTAAACGCCGCAGTGTTGTTGGTGGACTGCGTTAACGTGCCTAAAAGAAACTCGTTGTGCTGAAGCCATACAAGAAAAGCATAAGCAGTCGAAACATATACAAATCGTATCTACGCTGTCGTATAAACTATAAACTTTGCATATATTATGTTTAAATATATATTTCCAAGAAGTAAGTTAACACGCATGTTGCGTATATTAACTATACTATATCAGCGCGGTTAACTATTATAAAAAAAAGAGCAAAGCGAAAACAAACTTTTTAAGTTGAGGAAAAACGAAAGAAAGAAATAAAAAAAATAAGGGTAAATCACGCGAAAATCTGTAAGTCGCACCACGTATGGTTGCTTTAATTAACCTGTAGTGGATGGAACGTGTACATCGCCAATGAATTTTCAGAGTTTTCTAATCTACCTGGCGCCGTCAGCGAGTTAACAGGCTGCCTTCCTGATGACGCACCTACCCATATCATAAAGTTCACTGTAAGCACCGATAATGATCCTATTGCCACGTACTTACCCGAAGCCGGCGGGAGTTTTATCCTTGTCAGGTCCGGCAATATCCAGCTCTGCGCATCTTCATCCCATTCTGCGTCTTCTTTTAACCTCTCTAGATTACTAAAAATAAAAATAATAATACCTATATCATTTCACCCTATATCATTCGTAAGTGGTTGATGAACAGTGAAGTTTATACTCCTACCTGTAATTGCATTCTTTCGAAAGTGTTGGCACGATTTTATCTAAAATTTGATTTTGTAATTTGATTTGACGCTCCTGTTTTCTAATGGTTTCCAGATAGTCCGTTCTTTCGTTCTCAAACTCACTTTGGATGTCCGCTATTTCCCTATCAGACGCTTTCAGCTGAAAATCGAAATGTGATATCCCCCACAACCCAAATTCGTCAGCACTACGCAATTTTACCCAAATAATTTCACGTTACTTTTTGTTTGTACTTCTTCAAAACTTCGTTTTTGACCCTCAACTCTTCTTGTATATCGTCGTACACGCCCAACACCAGGTTTGGTCCCTCTTCGGTCTCGACATTGGCCAACGCTTTTGCCAACGCGTTCAACCGCCTCTCAGCAGACTTCTTCTTGCGCAGGCGACGTTCCTGAAGTTCTTTGTCGTTAACACGTTCCCCACCGACCATACTTTCTTGTAATTTCTTTAACCTAAGGCCAGGAACTATATTTACAATTTTCACGTAGTGCAACGCAAGGCAAACCTTTTTAGTATTTCTTGTTGTGATGAATTCAATTCCACTCGATTACTTTTTAACGCTTTTTCGACGATCTGTTGTGGAGACGAAGCTCTATCATCATTCTAAAATGTATAACTGACATTCATTATTATGAATTTGATAGTAAGTTATTGCATAAAATTTAAGATGTTATTATGCATAACCATCCCTAGAAGTGGGAAAAATAGGGCAAGTGCCTTAGAGCATACAAGTATTATGGAATTAGAGTACCCTATTTATAGTTTAATAAAGCGTTTTATTAGATTTACGTACTTGGTTAGAGATTTTTGCCAAGTTTTTATCGTATTTCTCTTTTAGCACTTTTAAATCAGCTTGCATTTGACACTTGGAGTTATACTCTTCTTGGTATTTTTCTCTAAGTTTAATCATTTCATCTTGATACTCCAACCGCAATTTTTCCTTTTCCGAAATGTCGTTTGAGCCGTTGCTCATGGGTAACTGTGCAGTAGATGCTTCCAGAAGTTCTTTGAGTTTTTTTATTTGTTCCTGATACTGACGCAACATTGTGTCTTTGGGGTCTTCGTTCACATGCGGTTCGTTATATATATTCTTGGCACGATTGGCGTACCTAAGTGTCGATAAAGTTTCATCGTAGTTGTTGTCTGCTGGCGACAGACAAGCTATCATAAGTGTTTTCGTGTTACCGCCAAGCGAGTCCTAAACAGTCAATTCATGCGCGCAAGAGAAATTTAGGTTTATTTGAATTCAGTTTTCTAGATTACTTATGATTTTTTATATGTATTCTCACTTGGAGTAGCCTGGTGAGTTTTGAATCTCTGTATGGTATGTGTTTGGCTTTACCGTCCACTAAAGCTGATATGACGTTGCCTAAAGCCGACAGAGAGAGATTGATTTTCGTAGCTTCTTTGAGACGATCGCCTGAGGCTCCAGTTTTTGCCTGTCGTTCACTACCAGCTAAGTCAACCAGACACAGTTTACCTCGCTTGATTGATTTTATGTCTTCCACATCTTGTGACATCGACATCATTTCTACGGATATTGTGAAAATCGAATGACTTCTGGACGAGTCGGCATTCATCATAGTAGCACCTGTTGCTCTATTCCTCCACCCTTTTTCCATTAACTTTTGACACTCGATCACGTCTTGTACGGCATGATGAGATAACTCTGTAATGAAAAATTTGCAATATATTTTGATGGAGTATATGAATGATCACGAAGACCTATGATCCTGATTTTTATAGAATGAACTGAGTATACCGTTTACATAGACTCCTCTTTCGGGACTCTCCTTCAACTCCAGTTTACGCTTGGTATCCGAACTCAATAGATCTCTCACTTCTTCGTTGTAGATTTCGATGTAAGATGCGAGTACCAAGAATTTCACGTCATCCGTCACAGATATTGCTTCAAAGACGTGTTCGAAAGCCCTTGGTATAATTCCTCGCTGGTTTGGTGGAGAATCTACGCCCTGCATCGAAAAACTTTTGCCACATCCGGTCTGTCCATATGCGAACACCGTACAGTTGTATCCTTCTAGAATACCCTATAAATAATTCGATGATAACAATTAAATACTAGATAATTACCGTTTTTTATGCGTTCTAGTAGTGTTTATTGTTTATATACCAAAGCACATCTCACATGTCATATACTCACTTCGATGAAAGGGTACGCAATATCGTTGTATATTTGTTCCGTGTTGAAATCGGGTCCGTAAACGCCATCGAATGTAAATGTTTTCGGTGGTGCCGAACTGTCCGTAGGGTTGACAATGGAACAAGTACATTTTTCTGAGTCTATGAAGACCACGTTCTGAAATATTTTTTTACAATAACATTTAAATAGTATTAGAACCAATAGATAAATACATTACACGAAGTATGCAATAGTACTCTATAATAATAGTTGGAAGTTACTGATCATCCTTCCCCTCCCCTCCGAAATTTTTACGGAATTTGGTTCAACAAAGAAATATTGTGTGAGTATGAAGTGAGATAACAAAAAGGTTGAAAGTGTAAAAAAACCTAAGCAGAAGTGTATGTTACTATTTTACTAAATGTAGGTCGTGAAATATTGCAAGAATAGGGTTTGCAGTACTGCGAACAAGTTATATTTTAACTCGCTCAAAAATCGAAAACGAATATTATGTAAAGTAATGGTTGCTTATCATTGTCACGGTTTCATTTATGCGAGAATATACAACAATATATAAGTATAGACGTAATAATAATATTACGATTTCTCGCACCACGAAAATAGAAATATCTGAAACAATATGAGTGTTATAATATTATGTAGTACACGGGTATTACGACTTGGCGAGAAATGAGCCGTATCACAAACGAGTTAGTTGGTCGACAGTCTATTTTCGGAACCTCCCTTGCTCAGTAGTCTGCAGTAAGTAAATAAAAAACGACTACGGTATTTCGGCCACGTAAAGCCTCGTGTACGATGCGACGGGGTTGAAGCCATCAACACACGGGATTGTAGATGTGCATATTGCGTGCCTCGAGTATTTGTGTCCATAGGTACTTAGTCATGGCGATCGTGAGCAAGGGTGGTGGGAAAATTACTATTAAGGTTTATAGGTCACGGTGCGTATTAATGTTGTCGAGAATTTCGCTGATTGTTATAACATCATACACTCTAAAACGTTACTCTAAAATCTCGTTAAAACGAATATCACGGCGGGGCCAAAAATAAATTCCATTTTATTAGGATAAATTGTAAATTTTAATTAGCATATACAATTACTATACATTTTGTGAAAGTATTCACACAATAATTGTATGATTTTCCAAAAACTGTCAAACGTTTGCGTGTGAATAAATGTTGAGCAATTTAAAAATTAACCTAATTACACTTGTTACACTTTAAGTATGACAGTAATAATAATAATTTATGTAAAATAACTATATAAATGATGCATGATATTTTACGAGATACTTAATGAAGTACATCCGATCAATTTAAAAAATATTTTACATTGATAGTTCGTTTAGTTTTGAAGAACATTTTGATTTTGAAACTCATTATACCTATTTTTATTAGAAAAAAATTCATTTTATGCATATTTTTGTTTTTAAGATGTCCGTCTTGCCTATTTATGAAGTGATTAATTTAACATAAATTTATATAGTCGAGTGTCTTATTTTAACTTAATTACTACCCGTATTGAGGAACCGTTGTTACCTATATCCGATTCTCACCTTACTATTCAATGCCCGTTCCCTTGTGTTCATCGGCCGACATCTCGCTATGACTTTTACATTTTCTGAAGTCATTTCAGCACATCAATTCTGTACGAAAACAATTACATAGTACAATATTATATACGTTAAGACTCAACACAAATAGGTTTGTAGGTATCACATTATATTATAGGGAAAAGCTCTTATTTATTGAAAATGAAATACAAATATTATTTAAAATTATATTAATATTTTATATTATTTAAAAATACATTTTATATTATATATGTTGTAATAAATTCAATTTTATTTTTTATCATTATCGCGTATAAATATTGACTAGATTCATTCTTTTTATTACATCAGACTCATCCGGTTAGTAAATGTTCCAATTTATGTTTATTTTTTTGGCATGCAATTCGGATGAACCGATGGGACTATGCTTTACGTAAGTACTCAAAAATTATTTGAATTTAGGATTTTGTTATTTTCAAGTATACCATTTCTATAAACTATAAAATACTTAGGTATTTTAAATAAATTACTGATTGTAAATAGTTTTTTTCCCTTCAAAATTAAGATATGAAGAAAGGGTAAAAGAAGACGTGGAAAAATTAAACCAGGTGAAGATTGGAAGGAATTATTATTAGAAAAGGAAAACTGGAGGCATATATACTGGACGGCATGGTCTTGAACTGAAAACCATGCAGAACAAGAAGAAGAAGAAGAAAAAGAAGATGAAGAAAAAGAAGAAATATCTTTTTTTTTAAATAATTTTCTACAATTCTTATTTAAAAAAACATATACACTTAATAAAATAAAATTAATTAAAACCACATAATTTCACACAAAACATACTTCAATACTTGTACATATTTTCCTTATATATTTTAACAAAAACTAGCAATTAATTAAATAAATATTGCTCATGATACCTTTTTATTTATAGTAGTAATAGTTTAGTATACCTAGTAGTAATCTATCATTTTAGTATATATAGTATAGCAAACTTATTTAAAATGATTTTTGTATCAAGTGACTTTGCTAAATTTGCTACATTTGCTCTCTCAATATCTAAGATGGCTAAATTTGATAGAAATTTTTTCTATATTGATATTCGGGTCCAATTAATTCTCCTCGCGGCAAAAATAGATTATACATAGCAAAATGTATTGGTAGACAAATAGCAACTCGTAATAATTTATATAAATTCATATATATACATTTTTATATACCTACACTTTTTTTAATTAATTCAGAGCACTTCCTTCTATTATTTGTAATAGTATATTTTTTGCTACTGCCACATCATGTTTATTTTATCTGTTTTAGTTGTGTTATAGTATTATTATTTATTTAAGTAAGTGAGAAACATCAAATCTATAGTTCAAAAAATCAAAAATAATTCACGGATGTTTTAAATTATTGAGTTTATTTCTTATGTTTATAAAATGAATGTCATTTAAAAAAAAATTAATTGTATTGTGTTCAATAAAATCCATATATTAGATATAGTTAGTTTCTAACACGCCATTTTAATTTTTTTTAATCGGAGTTTCTTGATTCACATTCATAATGGGATAGAAAAATAAGTAGATAAATTATAAACAATTAATTCAAATCATTGATATTTGTATTAAATATTGATTAATTCCAAATAGGATGTGAAGATAACTGTAAAAGTTAATTACTGCAGCCAAAGCTAGCGCCAAAATTTGATTGTAATCAACAAGAGTTATAAAAACAAAAGATTGATTTTAGAATTGAAGATATTAGAAAAAAATATAATTGACAAAACATTCATAGACCGTGGTAGTGAAAAAATCGCAAAGTGGACCTGTTAACTGTTTAACCACTAAAACCAACTATCAGTGTATTATATTAGCTAAATTAGCTATATAACATACAATTTTGAATATAGATGAATATTATAAATGAGTACTGTAAATAATAAATACTATTAGGTGTACGTGGACTAGGTTGAACGCGTTTATAGAGGGCAGGTGACGAGGCATAATCCCCTCCAGACCTTGACCTGTTCTTTATATGTTGTATTACATTTTACAATTGTACAACGATTGGTCTGGGTTTGAATTTTTACAACACAGCAATGATTTTGATCTATCAATATGACGTATAAAATAATTTATTCATTATAAACTCTATCCAAGAACGAGCAAATTAGAGCTCGTTGGTTAATAACGTTAAGTATAATAATATCAACGTTGAGATGTATAAATAAATTATTTTATCCACCCTATGTGAAAATATCTAAAAGCACACACTCGTTTTCAAGGTTATCATAATTGATTTCAATTCATTTGTATAGTATAGTACCTATATTCTATATATTGCAGTAATTCGTAAACCGATTTGTTATTACTATTGCGACCGATTCCATATATGTGTTGTTCGCAATAGCGCTGAACTCTGGGTTCAAGTCTGGTCATGACTATATTTTTAGGGTGGTGAGTGGTGCCATGATGGATACTGTATGAGTAATAAGTGAATTAATTCAGTTAACTATAAATTATAATACGGCCCATTTAATAATGACTATTTAAGACGTTTAAGTACCTAAATGCAATCAAAAATATTAAAATAGATAAAACAATTTTGAGATAGGGTGAACTCGCAAACTCTTAAGATACGTCCTTGGATGGGGTGGGTTGTAAGTTGTAAATCAGTTGACTATTGACCAGACCATTCAAAATTTTGTTCGACATCACTGACTGTTCATTCCAACGACAATGTTTACAAAGAAATTCAATAACAATAATTGTATTTGAAGTTATCGATCATGAGACTCGTCTAAGGCCGTGCCTAGGGTGTACCTAGTGGTATGATAGATTATTATCTACATTTTTTGTTCTACCTATACAATTTGAGTTAATATTCATAGGCGTAGCCCGGGGGGCCTCAGGATATGCAAATACTTATCCTGAACACCTATGGAAATAATAATTTATGTTCTACTTTTTTGGAAATTGCTAATTTTCATTATAAGTTCACTCTAATTCATATATAGGTTTCTTGCACACTCTGAATACGAAGTCTGGCTACACCTATGGCTATGTCGTGCACCCAAAGGGTTTACGACGGGTAGTGAAGGTCAGAAAGTTGACAACACTTAGACGAATTAAGTTTGACAAATATTGTTATTTGGAATATTAATATAGACAAACACACTGTAAATAAGATAAAGGTATAAAGGTATAAAGATAAAGATAAAGGTAAACAGTACAGGACTAGAATTCTGTGATAAGTGACTCCCGGTGCCTAGTGAGCAGGTGCCTTATAAAGCAGTGTTCCTACGTCATAGCCCTTGGAACGTAAGTGGCATGATGCGGTGTGACGTTATAAAACGTCTATGATTGGCCCATGTCGTATGACATGATGCTGAATGTACAGATTAAGATGATGTAATATGGCATACTCATTACATTTATATTACTTATATTACTCTATAATTGTTGATTATTTCTTTTATTCATTTAACTAATACAAAATAAGTAGTTATATAGAACCTTCTGTTCTTATATAGTCTCTTGATAGTCTATAGGTATAAAATATTTGGTAGAGGAAATGGGGACTAAAAAAATAATTCTTGGCATCAGGTGCTAATTATGCTAGGCACGGTATTAAACTCGTCTAGTGAAAATAAACTAAACACTTTTATTTTATATTTTCCAATAACATCTATACGATGATTCGCGTACAATTTAAGTGCATTTCTTACATTGGCTTGTTCGATTCGCATCATCTTATGATAGAATGTATTTACAGCATAGCAAAATCGTTAGAAAAATTAGGTAATTTAAATAAAGTATAAATATTATAGAGTAATTATATTGTAAGCAAGACAAAGCTTGCTGTTTCATGATTGATAAAAATCTTCTGGTTTAAAATATTGTACATTTTAAAACGAACTGGTTGTAGTTAATGGCAGTTTAAACATTTATATTTCATCAGGGCAGATCGAATAAAACCACACATTTACCCCGAAAAAATTGTTTTTTCTTTGCTCGATTTATTTTAAAACGTTTAAACATCCAAACTGTGTCATTAAATTTGATCATAAATTAACTTGTATTTCAAACTTAGATTTACTGAATCAAAATTAGCCTAAGTAACTTAGTGGGTTAGACTTAAGAATTTTCATCTTAAACGTCGATCATGATTCATATATAGTAGATTCATATAGTTTCAAGTTCGTATTGTATCATATACGGAGCTTAATGTGCCCAATGTACTCCATAGGCAATTTCATATTATCAGCATTGTAAATTATGTGTAATAATATAAATTATATCATATACGATCACAGTGGCGTATTTTGAGATTTTTTTTGGGGGGTGTCCTGACTCCTGGCAATACTTTATCTCAACAAATATTAGCATAGTTTCATCACGAATTCATACCTGATTATAATACATCTTAATACCTTACATAAATGGTAATTTTTTAGTAAAAAATCAGGATATCTACTTAAATTTTTAATTATTGAGCAAAAAATAAAATCGTTGTAGGTACTTCGAGTGTACTGTACACTGTACACAGTATATACTTTATATCGTCGGCCTTTGCTATAGTAGTTAGTTGACAATAACTTGTATTCGAAGAAAGATAATAAGGCGATAACCAATAATACGGCTCACCCAACATCACGAAACGATAAAACAATTCTAAGAAAGAAACGTAGTTCACGGTTTACTGCGAAAGTTCAAATAATATTTTGCTAATGAATAGTACCTATTTTTTTGTTTTAAATGAAATATACATTATTTAATTTTCAAAGCAGTTTTAAAATATTTCGTCATTCGTCAACAATACTTTGCAATACTTCAGTAATAAATAGAACTACAAAAAAATTGGGGGGGGGGGTTTTAACCCCCAGGACACCACCCCTAAATACGCCACTGTACGATCATATACGTATCAACTATTTTTAATATATTGTATTTTTAACTTAACAATTATTTATTGTTATCATGTAACAAATATCTTGTAAATATAATTAATTTAGGTGAAATAAAAAAAAATTAAAAATTATCTGTCTATCGACTAATATCGACTGCCATGATCATGTATGAAAAACGTTATAATTTCGCGCACCACATGCGGTGTTTTTACGTACACACGCCCTCGCACGCATGTGTACGATCGATGTTTACACCTGACCTGTGGTGACGGTGAAATTGTTTCGCGTAAAATAATATTATACGTGTGTACGGAAACAAATAATTTTGCAAATAATTTCGGTTTGTCGATGACCCAATGACGACCGATTGGATACAATATATTATACATAATATGTAGGTACATGAAATGTACGGAACGACATTGGACCGATAGAATCGATAACTTTTTATATTGTTTAACAGTCGTGGTGACCTGCATTATTCGTGTACACCAACATTTTGGACATTATAAATGTACAGCGTTGAGTCAATTTTGTGATTGCGAGAAGGATAAAGGAGGATATACTACTGTAACATATTATATTACTTATTTCGCATGCACAAGAACGACGCAACAACCGTCAAGCCAATTTACACGTTTCCATTGCATGATACGCAGTATGGAGCAGAAACATTAAATCGGCAAAAATTGTATAACAGACAACCGAACACATCTAAAATACGACTAATTGTAGGTGCGTTTATGTTATAGTAGTTGTGGTGTATTATATACAGTATTTGCGGACCTAAGTATTTTTTTTTTGCACTGTATGTCATCGGCATTAAAACGACACGGGACCATACGTGCCATCCAATGTGTGTTGTTCAACTTGACATACAGTATGGTTTTTTTTTTCCAACAGTTGCCGAGAATCGCGCATTTTGAGTACAAGGGTAGGAGGATAATCTCAGAAATCTGAAACTTCCATTGCACACCCTGCTCTCACTTACTCTATATCCCTTTTAAATCGCACACGGAGAGAGCTCATCGTGAATTGCAATAGGTACTTTTACGCCATGTCCAACGTAAACCTAAACCACGTACGACATCGCATCGGACGTATTCGCCGCACTGTTCGAAAAACAAATCATTTTGTTTTTCGACACATCGGAAGCAACAACGGACGGACGTATTATCGGACGCAAATTGATTTTGGACATGCATGTGTTTGCCGTAATAAAATGCGTCAAGTGCGTTGCGAAAACGAACACATCGGAAGCAATTCGGATTTACGTTGGACACGGCGTTATACTACCAGTTAAGATGGATTTTATAGTAAAAATGGAAAACAAATTTTTGAGTTTTAACGTCTTTATATTTTTTGACTTTTTATCGCCCATAAGATTCTTACATTGATAACCGTTGTTTTCTTATTTTTCGAATCTTTCGAACCTCTACTAAACCGAATACCGTATAAATTTGATGACGAACGACTATAATATAGAACGGGCAGATTGTACTGTATTAAATAATACGTGCAATAATTTTCAATCGAACACACGTTTTAGCATAGTGTAGTGTAGTGTAAAAGCATAGTGTAGAACATTTTAACAGTTTGTAGTAGATATAGGTATTCTTTTGCGTACGAATAAAAGCTGATAAGTGACGGTTATTGTAATTTATTTGTGATATTATTGGCGCGTTCTGACAACGAAATACAAGATTACTAGGTACATTATTATAATTTAAAGTTAATGAACGCACAACTTTTGCCTCTGAGATTCAGAGGCATGATCCAGTTATGGTGGAAAATGCATAAATAGTCCGACACAGTTCAAACATTATTCACTCGAATTTACCCAATAATGACATGTGAACACGTTCGATGGTAACGTACCAGCACAATATAGTTATACAGATGCCTATATTTACATATAATTACACTGCGAGTGGTTTTCGCATAACATCATTCGATTAGTGAAAATCAATAAAATCGTAATATGTTATTATCAAAAAGCAGTCGACTCGTTATTGTACGAAAATGTCAAACATAATACGCCACACATACAAGGTACTTCGGCTACTATACATACGAATTTAAGCTATTATGTTAAGTTCCTCCCCTCTTCACCGGTATCCCGTACAAAAAATCGTTTGTTGTGTATTTTACAAATACATACTCACATACACACACACACACAAATATATATACGAGTATGTATATAAATAATATGTGTGTGCGAGTGTAGTACATAGAACAACGCGCATGCGTGTGTATACCCATAGCCTATTGCCCACTTGTATAATATTTTAAAATGGCAAACTCCAGAATTATTTATTGCGAAATTACTGTTTGGTACGGGCGAAAATTAAAACAGTTTTAAGGGGGACAAAGCACGTAGTGTTTTCCGTGCATTTAGACAAAAAAAAGCGAGAGATGTTAAATTTAACATAATTTTCGTAACCAAATATTAATTTAAACTACACGTAAATATTTCTCATATTTTCCTCAAGACAACTAGGAAGGCGATTTTATATTTTTTCCCCCAAAAAGTAATAAAAATCATTTGATTATAAAATTGTTTTTATAATTATTTCCATGTTCTTTGTTTTTATTTTAAAAAAATAAAACCATAAATAGAAAAAGTGCTTCCTAGTTGTACTAGTCAAGGTGTTAAGAAATTAAAATCAGACATCGAAAAGTTGAATAAATTTAATTTCCCTTTTTGGCAATTTTTGTAGTCTTATAGAGAAAAAAATTAAATTTTTCGTAGTCCGTAGTCCTAACCGACACTCCTTAAAATTCTTGTAGAAAACAAACAATTCTTTTAGTCTTCCGACATGTTATTAAGTTAATGTATTAGATATTTGCATACATTATTTCTGAATTTTTTTGGGTATATACAAAAAATAATTATATTAAAAGGTTCTTTAAAAATTATCGAAAATTTAAAATACAAAATAATTTCGTTATTTTAATCACCATCCAAACCAACAATAACTCAAATGTGTCCTAGAAAAATTATCTGTTAATATTTTTTTATACTAATATTAAAATCGTCATCGTATATCGATTTAAAATGAAAAACATAATATTTTAATAACAATCTACACCTACTAAGAATATTGAAGAGCACTCATGTAGTCATGACCGTGGTAAGGGAGGGTCGAAGGGGGCAAGTGCCCCCGGGCGCCGTAGTTTTTTAAAAGTAAGGGGGCGCCTTTATCTGCACTCAATATACTACCTGTACCCAATGGCCCCGTAAAAAAAATTTTGCCCTGGGGCGCTGAAATGTTCGACGCGGCTCTGCATGCGGTCATAGGACGATATTTAAACTTAAAACAATTAATCAAATCAATAACTACCAGTTTATTACTTGATTAATTATTACACAATTGGATATACGTACAGACTCTAGGTACTCAGGTCAGTTAGTCGGTTAACGAGAACGCTTTATTACTCGTCTGAAAATATAAAATATTTATGTACTCTCATTGCTTGTTCTCGTACTCATGTAAAAAATGACTTTAAGTTCAACGCATCACCTATGCGATAAAATTAAGGCAAAATAGTTTTGTTCGGGGTATAATAAATTATAAAAATATTCATACCTGGTTTGACGATTTCCGAAACCAACGTATTTATTTATTTATCAGGATGAATTGAATAGCTCGTTCAAAAACGCGATATAAGCAAACACAAAATGTCAGAACATCCGATTTCTTACACGGTAAACAATCCGAAAACGGTGTCAGAATGAAGCCTTGAAACTATGAATTATTATTATAATATAATATTCACTAAGGATATTTCGTAGTGAAGTCTGGAAGACTGTAACGGAGTGAACGCACGTTAAACTAAGCTCGGAGCCTTGTTCAGACTACAGGTGGTGTAATAAAATATGTTCGACATAGTGTGATGTAGCCGACTGACGATGTACAAGAGTAACCATGGACTACGGATAGGGCGAATTGTGAGTAACACGCACGTACATTAGCCAGTGTATAATTATGTAGAAATAATTGGTGATACACAAATAAAAAATAAATTTGAATTTTATAAACCACTAGTACAAATACCAGGTCTCGTCCGTGAAAAAAAATATTTATCTCTATGTTAGATTACTATAAGCTCATAAAAAAAAAATTATAACCGTCGTTTTCCTTTTAATTTTTACCCAGACTTAGGACTGGTAGCAATTTTTTCTTGCTAATACCATTAAAATTTTTTTAGCTTTTTATTTAGTTGTCCAGCGGTGAACTAATCGACAAATTTAACATAAAAATGTTGTACCGTTTATTGAAAAATAATTAATTTAAACATAATAATAAAACTATTTTGAAATAATAAATTTGACTTAAGAGACATACCTATATAAAGATAGACCTATACTTAACCCTGGGTTAGGTTAATATAAACCTAGATATAGAAATAAAGAATACTAAGAAGACTAATAAAGAAACTAATATAGATAGAGAAATAGATACTATAAGAAAAAATAGAGTATTAGGCCTATTATATAGGTTATAAAAAATGTTGATTTATGTAATAGGTGGTTAAATAAGGAAAGTGGGGTCTATATAGGCATTAGATATTATAAATCTTAGTAGTCATTAGAAAAATAATTGATAGGACACATGGAATATCATAATGCAACGAGAAGTATGTAGTGGAACTCTTAAAAGAACTTACTGCTTAAAAGAAAATAAATACGGGGAATCTACTCTACAATCTAACAATCCTTTTAATAAGTTAGCACCCATAATGTGCTTGTGCGCGCACTCCGCTAATGAAGCTAAACCAAGTTGATTGGCAACTGGAGTGTAGTCATAAGGTACACAATTGATGCCCAGAAAGTGCTGGTAGTGCTGCTTGGCTAGCATTGTTGGTGGTATGAGGATTGACGCGGCACACGTGGTAATGGTGGCGCGTACACGTGTCATAAGTGAGGGTGACGCACAAATGTTAGAAATATTACTATACTAATATTAACGATAGTAATAATAATACGTAATAGTTATCGATCACCATGTATATTAACTATTAATAATTAACAGATGAATAAAATGAACAAGTGTTTAAATTCAAATAAAAAAAAGACAGGACGAGGTTTGTCTCCGTACACGGTATCGGAAAAATAGTACGCATCACAGTTCAAATGGTGGTACCTAGCCGACGTCGCCGCAACCGCTCGCGTCACCTGTCCGGTAGTTGATGACAGAAAAAAAGGCACAATCGGCGACTGAAGTTTTAGTAACAGCTGCCCCGTCAGGATCTAATACTATGGTACCATATTCAATAATTAGTCAGACTTATGACTCCTTTAAAAGAGGAAGTTAGCTTAGGATCCTTAGACAACCTTATTATATTGTCCAAAATTCTAAGGAATCGCACCTTAAGGCTTAACAGAAAAATATCTTAATATGGCGATCGGAATCAAAGTTACTGGAAAACTTGAAACTAAAATCCATCATAATGAAAAAATATAGAATCGTGAAAATAATACAATGGGAGGAGAGGATCCTAATGAATGCCATGGCTTTACAGTAGTTAGCTAAATTCAGAAATTCAGATACAAACCTAATATTTCGAAAAGTTTAATAAAACTATCTAAATCACATTAAATTTTTATCTTGAGATGCGGGGAATGGTTGATGTCTTTAATAAATTATGTTACATGTTTATTATACCTCAAACTATAGATTTTATTGTCACTAGTAATAACTTACAAGATAATAATGAATTAAGGATTTTTAGTATATATTTTAATTATTTTAAAATTAAATGAAATTAAATAACATTGCAAATTAATTTACCTACTTATTATTTTCAAAATCAAATTAACTATTTCTTTCATAATAAGGACTAATAAGTCTATAAGTAAAAGCAGGGCATTGAAAACAAAATAAGTTATAGAAAGTATTTTATATTAGGTATCTAAAAAAAAAATAGTTAAGACACATACACAAGTATACAATATAAAAAATAAAAATAAAATAAAATTAAATTGTAAATTATATTAAGTCTAAGAATTGGAATGGCAAACTGAATAACAAAAATAAATTGTTCAGTAATCAAGAATTATTTGAACAATAAAAATATAAAGGTATAAATTCATGTCAAATTTAATGCTAAGTTTTATTTTTTAAATAAATAAAATTATTAATTAAAATATTTATTATTTAAAATTTATATAATACAAAATAGCAATTTTCTATACTCAAAAATCATAAAAGTTAAACATTAATAGACCTAACAACATTTATTAAATTCTAGTGAGCAATTCAATTACCTAAGTTTTAGTCTTAAATCAGTCTATTGATGAATTTTAAAATAACATTTGTTCAATAGTTTTTTGGTATATTTTGTACAAGTTTTTATTATCAATATATTATTATTAATATTATTATAAACATATATAATAATCATTAACACATAGAAAATAATAGGATTTCAATACAATTAAAATAAAAAAAAACTCCATAAGTAGTACATATTTGGAACATTCAACCATCTACATTAAGTAATGTTTATAAAGGATCAAATCCTTAATTCGAATAGATTAAAACAAAATTATGAAATGCAATTACTTTAAAAGCATTAAAATTAATTATTAACAATTTGAGTAGTAAAATAAAATGTATTTATCTATGTTTTGATTTTTAAATTAACAAAAATATTTTGTATTGACAAAAATATAAAAATGTCATACAAAAATATCTTATCAGATACAATCAAACTCTTGTTTTTACTAAATTCTAAAACTAATATATGTAGGAACCCATAATAATCACCCTGAAAACCTGAACATTTTGGGCTTTAGACCTTATTGTTATAACTTATGAATTATTATCTTCATAAGATACATGATATGTATTTGTATTTGGCACATTAGACAGTTGGTTTGTTTCATCTTGTTTATCATCCTGTAATTTTAAAACAGTTTAAACAACCTCAAATAATTGTAATAAATAAAATAAAAAAATATATCAGCTTTTTCTATATTAATTAAACATACCAGTGTAAATGTAGATTAATAAGTAAAATATCTGTTTTAAGGAATATTTACTTCGTTTTGTGTTTCTTGAATAAGAGATTCAGATTTTAATTTTAAATCATTTGTATACGATTTGGTTCGATGTCTGAATCGATGAGTGACTAAAAATTGACTGGTAGCAAATCTTTTATTACAAATATCACACACGTATGGCAATTGGCTATCGTCAACTTCATTATGTGTTGCTATGTGCATATCATAGTAATGTTTTACTATGAATGATTTACCTACATTTTTTTTTATAAATATTAATACTTGCACAAGTAGAGCACAAATGTGTATAATTAATGACTAACCACAAATTTCACAGACAAGAGGTCCAGTTACTCCATGTGTAGTACGATGCTTGTGGAGATTATCTTTCCGGCTGAAATGTTTGTGACACAAATCACATCCATACAATCTTTGGCCTGTATGACTTAACATGTGTCTCATAAGATGTTCTTTACGACTAAATGATTTTGAGCATGTCTCACAGCTATATGGTCGTTCTCCTAAACAAAAAATGACCACCATGTAAAATAATAAAAAAAAATATATATTTTATTTTTTTTATCAAAAATAGATGCAGATAAATCTTAGTTAAAGATATTTGAGTTATAAAAGTTATAAAATTAACAGTTACATAATAAATAAATTAAAAGTTGTGCAATGATAAAGTAACATTATGTAAATTAAAAAATCATAATATCAAATATATAGAATACTATAAGGTTAAATTATATTTTAATTGATATCCTATTATATAGGTTTCACAAATACATAACTATATCAATAATAAATAATGTATAAATAACAAAATGTACAACCATATTTAAAAAGTTTAAAATATTTATTTATTATGAAATTTACCAGTATGAAGTTTTCTATGTTGTATTAAATGCTCTTTTCTTTTAAATTTTTTCTCACAGACATCACAAGGAAATCTTGGTGGCATCATATCCCTTGAACTCCTAGTTGGTACATTATGAATACTTCTATTACTAACAGCTTTGCATGTTTGACTATGCATGACAATTTCTTCTTCACTTTCTAAGACTTTTCCACAAGCGGTACATGATGCAAGCGCACCATCTGAAGGTAAAAACCCATCCATATAAGTTTTCACCTCATCAGACACTTCAGATTTACTATGATCCAAATCTGAATCTTGTTCATTACTACTTAAAATATATTTTTAATTAATAAAATAATACATTGTCAAAAAAAAAAAAAAATTGTATCTAAAACTTAAACTCACTCAGATTTATTAAATTGAAAATGAAGCATTTCTGGTTCAACAGTTAATGGAGTCACATAAGCTAAGGAATGCATGTTCATTTCAGAATCTTCTTTATCAAGACTAGGAATATCCTAGAAAAAATATTAATTTCAATTTTATAAGCTTGCTGTAAATGATGGTAGTAGGTATAATTTTTTATAACAGGTTTTTATATTTTAATCTTTTACAAAAAATTTCCCAACATTTTTGTTAGTTATAAATATTTTAAACAATAAAAATTCAAAACTACACAATTATAAGACTTTATTGCATAAGACATAAATACCATTTAGTTTTATCATCTTTCCCTAAATAATATTATGGTTCTAATAAAGGACTTTGACTTCCAGAAAAATGGTTAGTATCATACAAATTTGTTATATGTTCATTGGCACAGTCATTAGGATTGACATCTGTATAATCCAATTATTCTAAATAATTGATTTATTCTGATTTTCTAAAATAAAGGTGGCCTCTAAGTCATTAACAATTGATCAGTCAATACAAAATATTTAGAGCAACTTTAAGCAGTTATTTTACATTGCAACAATTTAATCAATTGTAATGCTTTTCAGTGCAATAACTACCAAACCTACTAATAAAATTCATGTTCATATATAGTCAAAAAATATTTACTAAAGTATATTTAGACATATATCGATTGAAGGAATAAATTGTATTAAAAGATTCAAATTATAAATAAACAAATAGTTTTCAAAATACTAGTGAGGTGACCATGCTCACCACAATACCAATGACGGATTAAATTTATATAATATATAAAATCATGTTATTTTAATAGTATACCTCAACATCTCAAATTGAAGGAATAATGAGCAAAATTGTATAACCTCAAAAATATAAATGAAATTAATCATTTAATAAAATAAAAACAGATTATTCCTCAAAAACCGCAATAATTAACTAAACAATAACTATATTACCTATTATCTTAACAAGTAAATACTTACAGGAATAGAATAAATTGTTTGAACATTTTCACTAGCATCATTTTCATCATTAGATGAATCTGTTTGAGCCGATTGATTTGAATTATTGGCTATAGTATAATTGTATTTCATAGATTCAACTCCATTAGTTGTACTAGTTATAACTGGCTATTTTATAAATACAAATTTAAGAAACTATAAAGAATACATATTTTTTGTTTAAAATAACATTTTATAAAACTAACCTGCATATCATATTTACAGAAATCTTGGTATTGGCCATTCATATCATTAACAATTTGTATAGAACCAGATTGGACAAGATTAGATAAACTTTGCATTGTAAGCATGGCTGATGAATGATCAGAATTATTTTTAGTTTTCTGACTAACAGAATTGTCATTAGAATTATGTTCTATTGATTCTCGTACATAAACCTAAAAATAAATATTGTTATTATTTATGAATTAAAAACTGATTATGAATAGGTATTGGGATAGTTAACCCATATATGCCTGTTACTGAAGTAGATATGTAGGTTTACAATATATTTTATAACATTGAGATTAGGATATTTTAATAATAGTAAAAACCATTAAAAAATAAATAAGCAGATTATTACAATTTATCTTAGCTAAAAAACTGCTGAATTACTAAATGCATAGCTTTATACTTCTAAAGTAATATTGACAAGCCTTTGTGGTTTTTACCTAAATACTGTAATGAATAGTAACTATAAGTATAAAATATAAATTTATTGTTTAATTTAACTTAAAAAATATGTTTTCATTCATTTATAATAAATATCAGTCAATCATTAAACAATATATGTTTTGACATCATAAAATATAGTTGTGACTTGTCAGTATGAATAAATGTTCAGCATATTATTTTATATCAATTTATATTGATATTTATCTTTGAATAAACATCAAATTAAAAATTAAGATGTTATTTATGTTTACAATATTATTAATAGATATTAGTTTTTAAAAAGTATAAGTTTTGAAGTATTGTATGCATAAAGACACATCTTATAAAATTAATAACTTCATATGAATAACTTAAATCAAAACCAAGAAATTTTTATTAAATTCTACTTACTTTTCCTTGGCATTTTAATTGATCAGAAACACTTAAAGTTGCACAGTAACTTTTTAACATAGACTCAGTATTTACACATTGATCTATGAAATCGTAAAATTCTTCTATTTTTGTTACACAGTTTTCACATATTCTTTTAGGTAAAGTATCATTTTCTTTAATCTAAGTAATAAAACAATTATAATTATGTTATTATTTTTATTGATTTATAATATTGTAATATAAATTGAACTTGTTTAAGATACTTATAAAGAATAAAATATTGAATACTTTAAGAGTTGTTTTGTATACAGTATATAATGTATACATTTAAATTACATTGGACAAAATGCACAAATGTTGTACAAAATTATTGGTAATAATTTTTAAAACCATACCAACCTGTATGATGAAGATCATTGGTTTTCAATCTTATCGAATTGTAACCCCCAACTTTTAATTATTTTTTAATGTGATCCTTACAAATAATAAATAATAGAACATGAATACTTTTTTAATACATATACTTAAGTAAATAAAAAATGCATAAATAAATAATATGAAAATGTATAATAACAGTATTTTTTGTTTTTCAATGGGAAACTTATATTTTAATTTTTGAAATTATAGTTTCAATATAAGGTTTCATATTATAAACTGCTACTCTTAAGTCTGGTTTATTAACTGATTATAATATATTATATTTGTGATTGAAATCATTAAAATACATGTATATACAGTACTAGTGTTAATAGAACTATTAAATGTCAATCCAATTAAAATCAGTAATCACAATCACTTATCGTTAATTATCTGTTGTCAGTCAAGATTATGATATACAGTATTTTATTCAATATTATTGTACATTCGTAATAATTAGATTAATTTTTAAAATATGATATTTTAATATGAATAACCATTTGTTCATTATTTTTAGGTACCTCCAAACTATCTTTTATGACCCCCAGGTTGAAAACCATTAATATAGATTATTCAAGAAGTATATTTCTACATTTAACGCATGAATCATTGGAGTCAACAAAATTAAGACATGGGTGTATTTCGCCTAACTATTGATCAATCATCAGCATAATTCAGAGAAAAAGATTAAGCACAGTGAGACGTGAAAACACTTTAAAAAAACAAACACGTTATTCATTAACCGGCAGAAATATCACTTTTGGCGCCCAAAATAAACAACGAATGGCAGCAATACAGCATGACGCTGCATCCTGATAAATTAAAAAAAAAAAAAAAACGTCACTCCTCACCTGCAGGGGGATACATTTTTGTAGCTTAGAAGGTAGCTGCCGGTCGCTGCTCTCCGGGCTCTTGAACAGATGATGCTTTCTTCCGCCCACGCACATGCAGAGCCTGCATAAATCGTAAAAGTCCACTTTCTTATAAATACTCATCGTGTGTAGGTATTGCCGACGACACGTGTACAAATCGATTCTTTTAAGCCGTTCGGACAGCGACGACGTCCTGGAAACCGGACGACCACGCCATTAGCGTATAGCAACTCGTCGTTGTTGACTGCCGTGCGACGAAAGTGCGGTTGATGTTGTTGTTGTCGTAGTCGTTGCCGTAGACGGCCACCGAGTGCACCACATGCACTATAACCTACTCATCGCCACACGGCTGTCGGTTGATATTTATTGATGATAACAGCGGCGGCAGCTGCATGACATGCACCGCTCGTGTTATGACTGTCGGCTGCCATTTTGTTTTTGATCGAACGGTATAAAATAATTTCCATGAATTCATATTAGTCATATTTAGCATCTATTTCGAAACAGTGTATATTCAACACCCATATTTTTGTTTTGTTAACATTTTAAACTCTAATCTCGATCGAACGTATCGTCATGTGAAGTACAAGGATTTGTTTTTAAATTTATGTTATTGCGTTTTATAAAATTGCATTTTGAATTCAATTCAAAATTATTGTTTGCGTACACCATTATCAACTCACTCATCATTTGGCAACACTGGTAGAACCGTTATCACACCGCATACCCCACCAGTAACATCAAAACTTGTATAAGTACGATTGCCGAAAGCCGATTTTTTTTTTGTGGGGTATTTACTGTCTAGTATTTTTATTCTATATTTTGCATACATTTTCTCAATATTTTCACCGCTATTAATTTTGTTAAAACTGTAATTACGTTCTTGAGTAATTTGAGAATTTTAACATTTAACGAAAATAAAATTATTTAACTTTTATATAAATGCGTTTTATTATAACTTATATTAAATGTTATCTATATGCTTGACAATACAAATAATTACATGAGTATGTAACTTATCACATTACTTTTCTAATTGAGATCCCTTTGCCAATTAATATGCATACGAATTGATTGTGAATACGGGCTTTCACACTTACTATGTGCAGCAGCTAATATTGACCACTAATAAAAGGTACCATTTGATTTCTTCTCTGGTAACAATTCAAGACATACCATCCTCATGTCTAGCGAAATGACATCAAAGGCAGTTTCAGAACCATTAGATACAGCGGCCGTAGCAGCGGCAGGTAAAGCATTTCGAATGAGTGATGGTGATTGGATCTGTCCAAATACTCAATGTGCAAATATAAACTTTGCTCGTCGTACACATTGTAACCGATGTAATAAAGAACGTGAAGATTTACCAATAAAAAAAAAAGCAGGTGCTGAAATTGGCAAGGCTGCTGCTGAAAAAAGTAAAGGACTTTTTTCAGCTGATGACTGGCAATGTAGTAAATGTGGTAATGTAAATTGGGCACGTCGATCTCAATGTAATATGTGTAATGCACCTAAATTTGCGGATCCAGAAGAACGTACTGGTTATGGTGGTGGTTACAATGACAGAGGAGTTGTTGAGTATGTAAAGCGAGAAGAATCAGATGATGAATATGATGAGTTTGGTCGCAAGAAAAAAAAACAAAAACGAGGAAATGGTTCTATAAGTGAAGATTCTAATAGTCAAAATGGTAAAGATGAAGAAAGCGATAGAGGAAAAAATAAAATTTGGTCAAAAACTGTTGTAGAAGATGAAATAGATGATGATGATGATGATGATGATGATGATGACGATGATGAAGAAGGAGATCTTTCAAAGTATGATTTATCTGAATGGGATGATTTAGCAGTTTTAGTCAAAAAAGATAAATCAAGATCCAGATCAAGATCACCTATAAAATAATATTTATAAAAATATCTTGTAAGTAGTAAATATCTTATCTTATGTTATCCTATTTAAAAAAATTATTATGATTATTTATCTTATTAATTGTACAATTTCAATAGCTAATCTTATATATATGTTGATCATTTTGATTATTTTCTTCAAATTCAAATAGCATATGATTGCTCTTGTAGATCTATCTAATTCAGTAGTATATCTTGGGGTAGGTTAGATTTCCCCCTTGGAATATGTTATGAGTGATGTTTTTATTATGGTATAAATATATATATATATATATAAGTAATAAAATAATATAGTATTTACACATGTGATTCATCCAATTCATTGAGCTTCATTTATGCTACTAATCCAATTAAAACTATCAAGAATAATTTACTATTTGTATTTCAAAATTTTGAGAAATTGCACTATAACTATGTATTAAAATAAAAAATTTTAAATTAACTAATTTTTATTTTGTCTTTCAGTTGCTGCTGTTTCTGAAATTGTTGACAAGTCTACATGAATATTTTCCAACCAATCCATTATCCCGCAAATATAGTTAATAGTTTATGATGTTTTTTTTAACTCTATTTTTAACTTTTTACTGTTACATATTTTTATTTTGTCATTAAATGTATTGCATTAAAAACCAAATACATACTTAATCTAAAACTATGTCATTAATTAAGTTGTACAGTCAGAAATATTTTAAATTATTCCAATCTTATTTGTGTGCATATATTTTAAATAATATTTCATTATTTTACAAACGGTTACATGCATTTTTATTCATAATAATCTTACTATTTTCGGAATTTGTTATATTTTTCTGCTGAAACATTGTGTAAGTTGATTGCAGTCAGTATTAATATCTTTATGTATAATATTATATTCCTGTGTAATAATGAACCCTATTAATTATTTTATTTTACTCAGAATAAATACATAATAATAGACAAAAATAGATTTAGTTTAGGCTGGTTTGATTTTTGTTTACTATGCATTTTTGAATAGTTAGAACTATATTGTTCTAAGTAAATATGTAGTTAAGTTAAACTATTTACTTCACAATGTTCAAAACTTCCATCATTTAGTATAAAGTCAAAACTATTATTATGAATTATTAATTTATTTGTTATTGTCAATTTGAATCTTATTTTGTTCTCAAATTCAAATTAAATTAAATTAAATCTTATAATTATCAAAATAATTAAAATGTTAAACTATAAGTTTAAAATTTCCTGAATTTTTATGAAACATTATTCTTGCAAATTAAAATAATTTAAAATACATTTAGTTCTTATTATAATATATACTATTATATTTCACTATGTTAAAAAGTTTTTTAAATAGTTTTCACAAATCCAGACTACATAATATTAATTATTTAATGTCTGAAGTTAAAATATCAACTTAAAATTATAACATAATTTATATACTAACACAATTTTAATAATTGCCATATTTATAGTTTTTATTGATGGACTAAGTGTGTTATATTTTGATAATTAAAATCCAAAATCTAGTATTTATTTTTCATTTGAATAGAAATAGATTTTAAGTTTAGAAAATATAAATAAATAATAGATGTTTTTCAATGTAAATTATATATTTTATTTTGGTTTTTATAATTTTTTCAACATGAGCAATTTAAATACTTGCTTATATTTTAAAATTAAAATCTTTTTCTATCTTATATTGTGTATATTTATAAATATATTGACTGAAATTACTATATTTGCATGATAATTTAATGTAAATATTTAGATATTGTTTTCTATGTAGTCTTGATTATGAGATTTTGAATTTCATATTAAAGAAATTGAATGGTTGTATCAGTTATTCAGCCTATAATTTACATAGTGATGCATGATTAAATGTAAAATGCGTCATTAAATGTGTTGATTATATATTTTAGAGTAGTTGTATGCGCTGGGTATCTACTATATTTTATATTTGATCAATACAACCCCAATAATTGTTGTTAACGAAAATTTATTAACATGTTAATTATAGTTTTATTTATTTTATTTTCATGAAGGTTTTCAGCTGACTTAAATTGTTATATTGGGTTTATTAGGATATTAATCTGTGTGTGATAAATTAATTTAATTCTAGTCTAAATAATTGGCTTTTTTTCCTTCTAGGAGAAGTTTAATTAAAAGTTTCAATTAGTTCAACTAGTAAATCAATAAGTTTAATATTTATAGGTTGGTCATTATTAAAATAAATCAAAAAGTTTTTAAATTTTTTTTAGTGCAATATTTATAAAAATATTGTTAATGATCTTTTTTTATTAGTTTCATTTTCTCATATCTCATTGCTCTAAAAATATAGCTTAAATTGTTTTCTACGAACATAAAAATAAAATGCATAAAATGTTACGGAAATAATTAATAAATTATACAAAGATGTAGGTTAAGATAATGTACCTAATTTTAAGGGCCATCATACATGCTAATCTAACTCAAATTTAGTACACTTGTACGAAGTTTGAGTTCGGTTTCATACGTTCAAAATTATCTAATCTATAATCTATTTATCTATCTAATCTATCTATATCTGTCATACTAATGCGTATTAATCGGTACCTATTTATATAATCTTAACCATTGACTTTCGGTATTTAAATTGGATATCTAGGTACGTTCTACTATTGCCACTATACGAAAGAAGAAGCTAATACAAATAAAAAAATTAATCAAAACCATTACTTAAAAAATTTAAACAGTATTTATGCTGTATTAAGTAATGAAAATGCTTATCAGATATGATTATGGGTGCCTATTAGCCTACATTTACATACTTCTCAAATCCGTAGTGCACACTTTCAATTTCGGACTACACACCTTCGGACACCCACTCGAGATTCAATGAAAAGTAGGGGATTTTTAGAAACCTACTGGTATCTAAATACTAGTTAATTTATTTATTTTAATTTTACATGCATATATGTATACTTGCAATGGTAAATAATGCAATTCCTTATAATACTGAATACTTCTCCTGAATACTTTTTTTTATATACTGCATTCAATTTATTAATTACTTCGGTTATCACATTTTAATATAACCAACAAGAAGAGGGGACGATAGACCCCCTACCAACCCTGAATTCACGTATAATGTTTATATATATACTAACTTGGCAAAATTAAAGATGGGGGACTCTGTTTGCTTAAAAAAAAATTGCGTCCCCAAAACTTATTAAGTGTTATAATTATAACATTATATTAGTAGGGGGGCGCTAAAATTACAAATAATTAGATGGGGTACTCCTTCCCCTTGCGTCCACCCCAAATCGAACACTGTATATATATATATGTACTTAAACGTTTAACAATTAATGAGAATAATTCATTTATATATGGATGAATTATTTTCATACTGCAGACACAACGTGGTTGTATAAAAATTGTACGTAATAAACGAAGCATTTTTTTTGTCAATTAAAAGTTTATTCAAATAGATCGTAAAAATAATTAGGCTCTTCCTTACAAGTTTTTTATAGTATTATAAGCTATAAATATTATAATGTGAGTGTACTAAAGAAAAATATAAGAATTCATCACGTTACAAGTACCCATGTGTATTATTATTTATTTTATCGATTAAACAAACATGTGTCAAACATAAAATAAATATTGTTAGTTTTTGCTGCTCGCACGAGCTTTCAATACTTTGGTACTTATAACGTGACATCGCCTCCACTCAATCGTTATTGCCAACGGCGTGACGCTGCTATACCACAATAGCACAATGGCGATGTCCTCGGACGTGTCACCGGTGGACTATCTGAAGGAACAACAACAATTGGTCAGTGTACAGTAAGTTATTATACCACACATCAGTGGATCAGTGGCCCACACAGAAAGGGGGGTTTAAGAGGTCATAGTAAATTATTAATAGCACGACCCTCCCGCCAAAAAAAAAAAATCATGTGTGCACTGCAATACATACACTAAAAATATATTTTAAGTAATTTATCATCAAGGGCAGGGATGAGCAATTCAAAGTTACTAGAGGGTCAATTTTTAGAAAATTAAAATCTAGCGAGCCAGAACAGGAAAAAAAAAGTCATTCAAAATATGAATTTTAAATAGCATTTATATTTATATACATGGTAATAATAAATTCAACACACACTACAGCATGATATGAATGATATGAAGAAACTAAATAGTACAAACAGCTATGGTTGAAAGCTATACTTATACATAGACGATAAACTTTAAAATTGTATGATGTAATTTTAAAATATAGCACGAGCGGCCAGATAAAAAAGGCTCGCGGGCCACCAATTGCCCACCCCTGGTTTAAGAATTAGTTTTATTAATATCGTGACTACATAGTTAATTGTGTTAATTAATTAAATGGTATAACCTATACGCATACGGCAATACACCCAATGTGATTTGATGAAAATATCCGAAAATATAAGTACAAATTATATTTGATAATTTTTAAAGAGTATTTCATTCACTGAGACAAGAAAATAATTTTTATTTGTAATACAATATTTTACAGTCACGAACATTTTTAATGTTATATCAATATTTAATCATTTTTCAAAATATTATTCACAAATATCAGTATTTATTACTTAATTAATTAAAATTGCCAGAATAAATTTTAAGTATTTGGATGAAAAGATCTAAATCATTTGATTCCGCTTTTTGCAATTTGTTTGTGAATTCGACTATTTTCATGGTAATTAAATACCTATGTAGCTTTTCGTAAAAGTTTCTTAGCATTAACTCATAAATTTAAATCTTATGTTATTATTATTATTAAATCATTTTCTCCTTCTCCCCGATAAAACATTTGGTTGCCCTATGGCCCACTTAAATAAGGCTTACATGTATATATAATTATAGATTTTGTTTACAGCAACCTCGTGGCAATTCGTTCCCTTCGCGAGTTCTTTTCACTGATGCTGAGTCCTTGACGCTGCGAACGACTTCCATGTTTTTACATAACGCGCACTACCCGCTATTGAGTGAAGCCGTAATGTGTAGTATAAATTTATAATGAATTACAAACGATTTGACACGGCCGTCACAGAATATATCTGTACCGCCGGCGAAATAGACGGAACTGCAGTAGTATTATTGATCAGAGCATATTATAGCAAAAATAAATTTAATATACAAGTTCAATCGTGCGCCGAGCAGAGCAAATCACTTTTTCCTGTATTTAACAACATTGGAGATACTATTTTGATTTTCAAGTATTAAATTGAGCATAATTACAATTTTATCAAAACCAGATTATTCGTAAATATTAAATTTCAACTACAACTTTATTAATTTTATATTTAGAAAAAACTTTTTATATAAAAATTATTGTATTAAATAAAAATACTCTACTCGAATATGTAGAGAAAAAATGGTGTTGCCATTTAAAAAAAGTATGTTGAATTGAGTATACGCGTACTGTCCGGGTCAACAATTTGAAATTTATCTGAAACTGTGTATTTTGGTACTCTCTTTCATTTCTCAAAAACCCTATTTCAATACAAGGTCATTCAACTGAAATATATAAGGTACGGTTTCCTAGACGCGACGGTCTCTCTCCCTCTGTTTATATGTATTATTTATTGACCGATTTCTCAAACGCGACCGTCGCGTTGCAACCAACGTTTTTCGGCGCGACCAATGACAGCACCGGTCCGAGAGCAATGTTTGCAACTGTCGCCTGCGATAATGTGGCAAAATTAACTTTTTCTGTCAAAGAAAAGAAATTTATTAAAATAATTAAAAAAAACTCGGTTCTCTACGACCTCCGAATACGTATGTGTTTACCAACAATACCAATTATGCAGTTTGGAAATTCCATTTATAGGAAAATTCTTCAGCTTTTTTTTTAAAATCAATTTGACTTGGGCCCGGCAAAAAAATTGGAACTAGTTTGTGTTTTAAAACTGATAGAGTTTGCTTCACTCTTATTCTAATATAATCGTGACATATTCGAAAACCAAATGAAAGCGATCAAAATAATTCTTCGGTAGCCATAATCTATAAAAATTAGTAATTAGAAAATGACTTAAGTATCAATAAGCATTAAACACTTATACATTTATTCTGAACAAATTTGCGATAAAATATGACCGCAAAATTGTAAATATCTTATATACAACACTATGACGTATAACTTAGTAACTTATGATGATTAATATAATAAACATATGAAAATTTAATATATATCAATATAGTGTTGTAAACGAATATCAAAAATAAATATTATATTATAATTCATTATAAGATTTACGTAAATTAAAATCCACAATTTAATAAAAATTATTTTGAACATTAATAAGGGTGAACATGTCCCGTTCCAGTAAAAAAATGCAGGGTACGTAAAAAAAAAATAGTAAAAGAACTCAGTCCCTCTACGCCCCCCCCCCCCCAACATCTGAGCACTGATTATAAACGTATATTGATACATACCAAAACTACAATTTGTATTATGACGAGGGGCAGACTGAGTATAAAGGTGACTGGAGGGGGAGTCAACTGGACCTATTATTATTACATTTTAATTAATAAATATTTTTATATAGGTAATTGTACTCAATTCATCCGAATTCGGATATTCTAATAGTAAGTGATTGGTCTCTTACCACTATATAATACGGCGTATACTAGTTGGGTCTCAAAGACCCTTATTTAGTCTAGTTTGGCCCCATTTTTTTTTCAGGTAGTACACTAGTTGGGTTCTTCGATTTTATAAGTACTACTCTAGTTGGGTCCGTACAAAAAAAAATTTCGCTTCTCATTTTTATAGACCAAAGACTGTCAGTTATCCATACATTAGAACACAGGCATGATTTTTTTTTTTTTAAAGTTTCTTATTTATGGTAAATAATTATTAATTGAAAATTAGAATAATGGTATATGGTAAATAAATAAATAAAATTATTAAACAATTTAAAAATGTACACATTTGGTAAAAATTTAAATGGTGCATTTACAAACAGCTTTTACAAACTCAAACCTATTAATTTTTTAATATTATCAAATGTATCAATACTTGTAAATTACAGGTTTTAATGTCGTAGTAGTCGGACCGAACTAGTATGTTATGATTTTTATAGCTGGACCAAACTCGTATGTTATTGTTTTTATTATCGGACTCAGGCCCTGATTTACGCAAGTGCAGATGGAGCATTTGCATTTAGCCCCTAATTTGTAAACTGAAAATAATAATAATAATAATAAATGGAAGTAGAAATATGTATATATGTGGAATAGATTTCTATTCCACATAAAGGTATTTATTAATTGACTAATAATAAATAAAAAGTATGAAAATATTCAATAACATTTTATTATCACTATTTGTTTATTATGATTTATTTTATGTATTTTACAGTTTTCATTTATCATTTTGTTTTGTTTTTTATTCTACTATAATTTAAGTTGTACCGTTTTAATTGTAATATTTTAAAATTGGCTTTATAGTTTTTGGTTATCGATTTTAATCAATTTTTATGTGTATGACATTGTAAATAAGTTTCCGACCTTTAATTTATACCTAAAATTAAATTTCAAATTTAGCAATTAAATTTTTTTATATGATTTCATTTTAATATAATATTTCTGAGTTAAAGATCTATGAAATGGGACTCTCAACAAAATATTCGTTGAGCCTTCGAGTGTTGATATAATATTATTAGCTTCTTAATATATTTCTTAATAAATATACTGTTACGGGATAGGCACATTTAATTTATAACAGAAATATTGAAAACATCCGTAAGTCAAAATCATAAGACTTTTAAACAATTTCCTTTTAAAATGAGCCAACCCTCAGAATGTATCTTTAGTGGCTACATGTAAATAGGTCACTACGGTAGACACGCACGCGAACCTGGTGGTCGTGAATTGTATAATTCGATGTAAAATAGTAACAATAGATTCCATGGAGGTGGTTGCGGTATGTATAGCACCGGATAGGTACAGCAGTGCTATGAAATAGTCTCCAGAAAGCCGTGGCCGTTCAAAAGTATAGATTATCTAAACACTAGATTTTAATTAAAAGCATTTATGTAAGAAAAAAATAAAACAAAAATTCCAATAAAATACTTAGGAATTCTTGAATTTATACGGTGTGAATCTTTACAACACGTGCTACGTCAACATGTCAGTCGGAGATTTGAACTTTACAACGGTAAGCAACTACACTCGTGTAATACTATATACTTACTAAAATGTTTTCTGGAAGGTCTAGACCCCCCTAGCACTCCCTTTACGCTGTGCTTGAGACGTACAACAACGTACGCAAACGGCAGAACTAAGATTAAAATATTTAGTGGTGTATTGACGGAGGGGAGGGGGTCCTGGTCTCGACCATCCAGAAGAAAAAAGGTTCAAAAGTCATAAATGACTACAAAGTTACAGAGTAAGATAACATTAATTTATATCATGTGCTTATAAATAACTCTTAATTGTATTTATAATAATAATAGAATAAAATAATTATTGATTTATAACTTATACATAGTTTAATATAAAAAATTACATAAAATAATTTAATCCCTCCTCTCACCGTAAAAAATAAAGTCACGATGTACTACGCAATTAAAATTTTATAAACAATAATGCATGTTCAATCTAAACCAAATTATTATATGCAATCAACAATTAGTTTAAATAAATTAAAGTTAAATTGAATTGTTTATGTTATAACCACGAGGCATTTATAATACATCTATCATTTAGGACATTTTTTATTTTATTATTACAAATTATTGTAGGTAGATAGTCATTTTTAATTGTAAGTAAAATTTCAATAGGAAATTAGATATGGTAATTATATTGTTATTAAAAATATTAATTTATTTTTTACTTCGTTAAAATGCATTTCTAATCATCTATGGCTTTTAGTCAGGAACAGTATAAGTAAGATAATTGAATCAAAAGACAAATTCTTTAATTTTTTTTGATTATTACCTTTTAGTTAATAGGTATATGCAGTAATAATACAGTAACTACCTGTGTGTATGTGTCGCTTTGGTTTCTATGCAACAACTAAAGATAATAGAGTATTATTAGTAGTAATATTATTCTATTATCTATGGCAACACCTCAAACTTATTTATATTTAATATAATATTTTATGATCAATATCAATAATCATAACTTAATATTCATTATAATTGTAAATGAAAATATATGTATTCTAATACTGTATGTATCGTATTTATGAACTATTCATATTTTACTGAAACATTTGGTAGCCAAAATTATAACTTTAGTGCTACCTATAATATATGTACAATTATTTACTTTGTAATTCAAATTAATTATGATTTGGTTGAATTGTTTATGTAAGTATAATACAATTGCAGTCCTGAGCACCTACACATTTATATTCATAAGGAATATACAATTGTGAAGTATTTTTATCGGGTCAAATGTTTAAATAGGTACCCAATTAAAATGGATATATATTTTTTGTTTTAGAGTCATTTATTTTTATTAGTTATTAGTAAATAGTTATTATGACCCACTATAAACATTCTATATAGAGACTATACACATAATGGTCATAGGTAGGGCTCGGATTAAATGCTCTAAACAATTTTTAAAAATTCCTTATCAAAAAATGTATTTATGACTTAAAAAGTCTAAGAAATGTATTTTCAAAAAATTAATTTAAATATACATTTACATCATATCATTTTATTTTTGTATTAATGATTTTAAAAATTCAAAAAAAAAAATTTTTGTTTAACTTGTAAAATTATACAAATGTATTTAAAATTATATGTAAAATACACAAAAATTAGTAAAAAATTAAATTTGACATATTTTATCTATAACATTTATAGACTGTGTTAATGCTAATTAATTAATTAGTTAATGTTAATACTATGTTTATATTTCAATGAAGTTAATTTTTTTAGTCATAATACGAGAAATAAGTTAAAAATATTTTAAAAACGTTAAAAATTTCCCAAAAAGTATTAAATATACTAAAAATGTAAAAAATGCCTCTAAAAAAATTTGTAGTTACAATATGGGGTACTTGAAACACATTTTTAGATTGGAAAGCATCGTGTAAGATATTCCAAAAAAAAAAGATACAAATACATTGAAATCCCAACCCTAGTCATTGGTGTGCGCATGGGATAGCCTATAGTATAGGCCCTACCAACGATTCCCAAAGTATGTGTCTTGGAACCTAAGGGTTCTGTGAGATAATCTTAATTTAAGATTCTTAAAGGTTCCACGAAATGTATCTGAATATTGAGAACAGTAATTGTAGTAAACAATAATCTTGAACTATCTTTATAACAGTTTTTGGATTTGGTTTTTTAATAAATAATTGAAGAATTCGGGTTAAGTTGGACTTAAAGACGTTGGGGTTCCACGAAACAAAAAAATATTATCTAAAGGTTAGTTATCTAAAGGCTATTATTTTAAATATTATTATCTAAAGTTAGGAAAAAGACAATTTTATGTATAGTACTATACATAATATATATTATATATTATATATATTAGGATCAACGTTGATCCTAATAACGATACACAACATATTACGGAATTTAAAAAATAAATGAAGTATTCTTGCTATTTTTTATTATAACATTAGATGAAATGTTAAGTGATTTAATTTATAATGAATTCATGTTTTAATCAAAAAACTTTTATTATCATTTTTAAGTAAGAAATTTAATGGTTTAATAAATCTTACAAGCACTGACAATGATTATGCTTGTTTGTCAAAAACATTTGATATTTGTATTGATAAATTAAAATTGAAATTAGACTATTAAAGAATATTCCAACCGCAGAATTGTCAGAGAAGAGGTTTATCAATGATAAATATTATTCAGTGGCTTCAATGGGTTCAATCTGACTAGGCAGATATTTTTATTAATATCTATAAAACAATGCTATTATTTAATACAGATAGTTGTCTAACAGAATGTTGTTCACGTAAGAACTTATTCTAAGCTAAATATTGTATAAAATCTAAACTTCGAGCTAGCATGAATTAAGGAGCATCTTGACATCTTACTATTTATGAGTACCTATCGAACAAGAATTATGTGTGAAACGTAATTATGGGGAAATAATTGAAAAATTCAAAATATTAGTTCCAGGAAATCGCCAATTAACCATAAAATTATTTATTTTTGTGTGGCTGATATTTTTATTTTTTGTTTACACAGTATTTAATGTTGTACTATGACATAACATTAACAATACAATTTAAAACTGTATTCATTAAATTGTAGTACTGCTACTTAATAACCATTACCTAAACTGATTTCCTAAAAGAAAAAATTATGCCCTACCAGTACCAATGTTTTGCGCATGCTTATGGTAATGGTATATTATATTAAACTATACAATGTAATGGTGTTATTTTAATTGAACCACTTGTTATAAGTGTGTTATAATTTAAATTAATTTTAATTTTAGAACAATTCACAAATGTAGTCCGTATGAGTTAAGCTCAACATTCAATATGACTTCAAATGCTAAATATATACATTTTATATCGTTTATGAATTATACATTTCATAATAACGTCCTAACTTATGTATGTATGGTTCGCTGACAGTTTTTTCTAATTAGTTCTGGTTTCACTATTTTGGCAATCAAGCATGTCAGAGAAATTCATTTTTATACAAATCGAAACAAGCTTGTTAAAAAAGAAAATATTTAGTAGAAAAAAAAATTCAAATAGTTATTAATCATATTATTTCTAAGTAAATAGATAAATTCACAAATTCTTAAAATCGTCATTTGTTTCCAAAGGCTATAATGGTTATATGAAAAATAATAATTAATTATATTGTACAACTATATTATCTTATATCAAGGTGAGTGTATTCAATATTAATTATGTTAACCCTTGTTTACTTTTTAGGTTTAAGATATATTTAACTTAACCTTTAGCAATTAATAAATTTGGTTTTCGTGATAATGAAAAGGATTAGGACTGGGAAGCAAACAAATAGCATGAACTCGTATTGTTATTTTATAATTATTATTTTGTGTATTATGTGGTTACACTGTTATTACAGCTTCCAGCTTAATTTTTATAATTTAGCAAGGCTATAGAATATACATTATACATTATGTTTTAAAGGCCAAGCCATTAGATGTCAACCGATATGCAACCAAGAAAACTATTGCTCAGGGGATGTTGGATATTGCTTTGTTGACCGCTAATGCAAACCAATTGAAGTACATCCTACAAGTAGGTGAAAAACACGAGTTTTACAAGCCTCTGTTGGTTCTGATTGCTACTTCTATATTCTTACAAGTGAGTTAGATGTTATCGCAGTTGCATTCAAAAGTCGATATACAGATGCAAGAAGTTATACATTTGTGAAGGGTAATGACTAGGGCTCAGAAGTTGTTGCATTTAAAAAATTTTTTTTTTAATTCAGATTTATTAATAATTAGGTTTTAAATTCGTTCCATGCAAGAAAAAAAAATCTAAAATATTGAGTATAACTTACGATGCAATTTTTGAAATTTTTCAATTTAATAAAAATTTTGTTGATTTTTCTCATCTATAATACAATTTTAGATAGGTACTTATAAATGTTATTAACACGATTTCATTTTTTTTAACGTATATAAAAATAAATAATAGGAATAGGTAGTTAGACCAAATCAAAAATGTGGCTGAATTTTCTTTAAAAATATTTTATATTATTTGTGTTTATTTTGTATGATCAAAGTTGTAAGTTATAATAAAAATTTATAAAAATATGAAAGCTCCTAATAATAAAAGTCATATTCTGTATAATAATAAATATGACACTGCTCAAAATCGGAGATCTTTCGAGTTTGAGAACTTAAAGAAATCATTATCAAGCAGTGCAATCAGTGGCGTGCGCAGGAATTTGTAATAGGGGGGATGTCATAAATAAAAATATATTATTTTCAATCTTTATTCTTTATTATGATACAAAAAAAAAAAAAAAAATGCAATCAAGGCGAAAATTCATCCTTTTGGCATATACACTAAATTCATCTATTAATTGTTTTGAAGATAATGGAATGTCTTGATGTACGTTCATTAACGCCAATCCATTTAACCGTGACTGCCCCGTCGTATTTCTTAAATACGTTTTTAAACGTTTAAGACTAAAAAAAAACCCCATGAGGGGACATATCCCCCATCATCTCCCCCTGCGCACGTCACTTAATGCAATAACTTATACATAAAAGTTTATTATAAATAAAACAAAATGTTTTTAAATAATATTAATTTTGTTTGTAGTCACTTGAAAGACCAGACTAAAAATAATATTTTAATATAAACATACATTTTTATTTTGAAATATTTTTTAAAGGATTCACATTTGTAGTATAACAATCTTAATAAAAAATTACTCGTACATTTTTTTGAAACAGTTATTTTGGTAAATAATAATGTTTATTGCAATTTTTAAGTGCAACTTTGTGTATTTTTGAAGCAATAATGTAATTTTTATTTGCAATTTTGAATATTTTTTACTAAAATTATTACAATTTAATGCTTTTTATTGCAATCATTTCTGAGCCCTAGTAATAATCTTATTCACCTATCGGTTATAAAGAAATTCGAAATATCACGATACCTTTTTTGTTGGTTTCTTAAACCAGTATACTGTAACAATTGATAACAGTAACATTTTTATCAGCTGGTTTGCTGAAACCTAAATAATTTTTTACAAATTCATTGTAACCGATTTTGTTAAAAATAAGTTGTAAACCAATCACTACCCTTTTTTTTTGTCGATTATTGTAAGGTGTTCATGGGAATAATATTTCTATCTCTAAACTTGCTCCGGGACTGTCGTTTTCATTTGGTTGAATACAAGACGTCGTCGCTGTTCATTAATCAAGTGCCGGTTGTGTGCACATTTATGGTGTTCACAATCAATATTATAATAGGAGCATTCGATTCCGGACTGGCTAGCATCGTACCGACTCCGACATTCACCGCGTCCCAATTAACAAAACATAATCTCACAGAAATATAGATATCCAATAGAAATAAATAATAAAATATAATATTTATATATATCATCAATACAAATTGGTTTTAAATTTTAAAATTTATCTTGCAAAGATCAATTTTATTATTCATCAATTTGAAAAGAAAAATTAAGGTATTATTTCTTCGTGTTTTTAAAGTTTCTAAATTTAAAATAGTTAATATATTATCGTTAACAGTATGAAATACGTAAATATATGTTTATACGCTATTATCATTTTGAATCAAATACATTTTTTAATTATAAAATGTTATCAAATAAAAAAATGTATAGAATACAATAAAATTTATAAATAAATAAAAATGCGTTATTTTTTATTTAGGTGCTCATTGGTGGGATATTCTTGGTTGTCGGAGGGCTGGACATTAAGAAAGAAAAGGATCAATGGAAGTGTTTGATTTTAAACGATGTTTCTGTCATCATTGTTTTCCTGATTACTATTATCAATATAACTATATCAGGTTTTGGGTTTGACGTTAGTTCAACGGTGGGCACCAATTTAAAAAAAATAAGTTAAATCATTCATCAAGTGATTCATCACCTTTCACATTTTTATAAAAAAATTACTCGATTTTCAATATCTGTTATTTAAGAAAACATATCTAACAGACAAATGTATATTTAAAAAAATAAAATAGTTAATTTGAATGTAAATGAAATAGTTGATTTATTTTTGTTCTTGATATTGTGTACCAATAAAATGAAAAATTACTCGTGGTAACCAGTTATAATTAATTTTGACATGTGCGTTTGAAAAAATTAAAATATTTTAATTTGAATTTATTTAATAATAAATTCGTTTCTGACTCATTAATTATATTATGATTTCTGATTAATGTTCGTCAAAAACATCAAATCATTGACGACATCGTTGTATCTTTTTTGGCAGCAATACTTTAAAATATTAATGTGAAAAACGAACACGAATTCGATGTGTGTAAATATGCCACGTTTTTGAAGCATTTCCATCCGTATGTGAGTGTACCACAACCGTGGTATCAATGGAATAACAAATATTATAAGCATGGACATGTCTAACATATCTTTATTATTACACCTATGATTACACCGTGAACTACACAGTGAATTATACAATGATAGTGGAATAGTCATAGATAATAAAATTCTGTTATACATGGAAATAGTGCGTCTAAGGACATTTGCTTCTACATACACCTTATAATCACGGTTTATGTTTAATTTAAAATCTAATAAATCCTCTTCGTTCAAAACAGAACAGCATAGCATCAAATATTACATAGATCTATTAACTAAATAGTTAATAGGTCTATGGAATATTATTTATATTGTAATATAATTAACTTCACAGTAAGTAGTAAGGTAAGGATTCAATGCTATTTTTTTATTGTTATCTTTTAACTTTTACACTTTTATTGCAATTATATACTTAATTCTAGAGGACCACTGATTATTGATAAAATAATGTAGGGGTCAGCTAGTAATTTTTGTTAGAGTCTAGAAGATCAAAATAAACAAGTTTCAGAGAAAACAATTATTTTGTTATGAAACAACTGTAAAATATATATAATAATAAAATATTATTATTTTTCATTAATCATTTAATTATTTAAAAATGTAATTAATGCATTTAAGTAAGATTAGTTGACAGTCCTATTTATCTGCCTTTCGCAGTCCAGATTTAGACTACGGTTACATCAGTTGCTAACTGCTCCAGTAATGTAAACATGAATATATAATATTAAATTAGTATATTATAATATTATATATTATGTATTGGTATATATTCATAAAGCTTATTAGTCATTTCTTATCTAGTGCCATTACATAAATAATAATTTAAAATATATAACTAAAAGTTTATAACAAAAGTTGTTTTGCATAATTTAACAGTTTAACATCATATTCTTATATATTTGAACAAATCATCTTACCAACAATAACACATTTACAGAGTTTCTTGTTTCTATTTTTCTAAATTTATAAATCAATATAACGATACATTAATTAAATGTCTCTAAATTGGTAATTTTATGAATTTGATGAATTAAAATGATACTTAAATTCTCTTGAACTAGTTCTTTCGTTCATTATTGACTTTGTGGAATTGGATCACTAAACTATTTCATTGAACGATAAGATATCTATGTCAACATGTCATATCATACACAATTGGACATTATATAAACAACATAGTTCACCCTTTAGTGAACTAGTTTAAATTGTTCACTTATATCAGGGATGGACAACTCAGAGTAACTAGAGGGCCAATTTTTAGAACTTTAAAATATAGCAGGCCATAGTAAAGAAAGCAAAAATGAAAAAAGTCATTAAAATTGACAATTAGCATTTATTTAAATTAATTTAATTTTAAGACTGAACTAATACAATTAAATAAGTGCCTAATACCTATGTTAGCAATGCCAATATGGATATAAATTATATTTTATTATGTTTTAGGACATGCAAATTGATGAATTAACTTTTGCTTTACTTCATTCAATTTGGAACCTGAAACAGAAACTTGTTCTTCAGTTATAACAAATAAAAATATAAGAAATAAGAAAATTGGTGTTAATGACAATAAAATAAATATATTACACAGAAAAAGATCTAACAAAAAAAAAAAAATGTTAAAAAATGATGATAATTCTGTTATCGAAGTTGATGTTCATAATGATAAAATTAAAAAATTACCCGCTAATATAAATTTTTATTTTCAAGTATATTGTAATTCTGATGATTTATCATGGTCTGTTGATGAAAGTTCTTATTTAACTGAAGGTGATTTAGATGTTCCGTTGTTTTCTGAAGTTATTAATGATGAACATAAAAAAAATAATAAAGAAGTATTAATACCTTTAAAAAAATTAGAAAACAGTTTTTCTGGCCAAGAAAACTTAGAAGAACTTGGAATTGAAGAAAATTCAAATTTACCAGTTGCCAAAAAATTGAAACGTTCTCTAGATGGAGATATACCAAACTCTAAAATAATTAACATTGATGAAATAAATCTATTAGATATGAAATTAAAATCTAAGTTGAGGGAAGAAGTGATTTTGAATAAAAATATAAATAAAGACCAAGACATTAATGAAACCAATTTAATTTCTATTAATTCTTGTAAATTACCTGACCTGACTCATTTAACTGATATATATGGCCCTTCTTGCTCAAAAGATTTTTGTAGCTTACCGGGTCCATCTAATTATTCTAAGTCACTTAACTTACCTAACTCATTTGATGCAAAATTAAATGACAGTGCTTCTGATGAAAATATTGTAGAAGATACAAGTTATTTGTTAGATTTTTTTAAGGAATGTTTTTTAAAAGATTCTATTGTACCAATGGCAGTACCTGGAGATATTGAAGTGACGCAATTGGAAGAATGTGATTATTTTAAATTCAAAGAAAAATCTCTTGGATTAGAAAATGATAATGAAAATTCAGATCAAGAAGAGTCTAATGATTTTATTGAAGATTCTGATGTTGTTAACTCAGAAATAATTTATAATATTGATCTTAATGAACATTATAAACAGATGGATATTTTAGTTCAAAAAATTTCTGAAACACCAGATAATTTAACAGTATTACATGAATGCATGAGATTACCACCTATACCTCAAATTGAACATCAGCAGAAAACGTTTTCAACAGAAGAACGCTTAATGTTTAAGAACGGTTGTTCAAAATATGATTATCAAATTGATCGCGATGATTGGACTAAGATAATGGTTAAACGTGCAGTCATTTTTACAGCTCATGCTGGATTTAATATAGCAAATGAAGAAAGCTTGTATGTGTTGGCAGATGTAATGATTGATTATATAAAACGAATAGCTGTTATTATGAAAAAGTACTTTGATATTCAATCAAATTGTTCATATCCTACTAGTGTTGATCCTATTAATCTTACTCTTCAAGAGGTGAGTTTATTATAAGTATTAGTTTTATTTTATTTTTCAGTTATTTTGATTACCTGTTTGTCTATCTGTCTACAGTTCACTAGTATGTCATATTTTTAGTTATTAACTTAGTTTTTATTTAATATTTTTTTAAAAAAAAAAGCTATTCCCTTTGACTAATAATTGAAAAGTGTGTTTAATTATTTTAGTTTACAACTAACTATTTTCATCACTTAAATTTACATCTGATTAAAATTATTTGTATTCAAATTATAATTGTGAACGTATGTTTTTAGTAAATTATAACAAAGTTTTGTAGTACAAGAGTATATACAGAATTTTTGTTTTTCAGTAAATAAATAATTGAGTTCCAATAGATGTTATTTGAGTTATATATAATAATCAAGTTTGAAACTTGAGAAAACGCATACACCTTATCATTTTTTGTAAATTTTATTATATTAGAAATAAAATAAAATGGAGATGTTTATAAATACATATTGTGAAAATTCAATTAATTTTAATAATTTACAATTATAAAACAAATCAAATCATATATTATTTATGTTTATGAAATAAATTTGATATGTTCTTTACAAACATCATAGTTAAAGTTAATTATAGTCTATTTTATTTGGTAAATCAAGATTTTCTGTAGATAACTAATTTATTCAACTTTAATTCATCAATAATTAAAGTGTTTTTTTTTTTCAGATTGGTGTTGAAGGTGGAATAAGAGAATTGTTGCAACATTATAAAAATGATGTATTTGATAGACGCGATAAGCTAATAAACAAATGTCAACATTTGCAAAAAATCATTGATCAGTATATTGAACGTATGAAACTTGATAACAGCATTATAAATCATTATGTAACTAACGAGGATTTTACAGACGAAACTATACCAAGTGAAATTATTTTACAAAATAATGAGAATGTACCATTACCAGATAATAATGAAACTGAATCAGTAGTTGAAGTTAATGCTGAATTTCGATCATTATTAGAAGAAAATCAAAATGAAATCCAATCAACAACAGAAGAAAATATAGCTAATACTGAACTTAAACTTACAGAACCAGTCTTCATTGATAATATATCAGATATGGAACCTAAAATGGATAACAATTTAAAGAATATTATAAGCATTACAGATGATTCTATGGAAATTAGAGATAGAAAAATTAATAATATAAAAACTGTGAACACTAAAATAATGGATATTGATCTTTTAAAACCATTAACTTTTTCTGCAGATAATGATATAATAACAAATGAGAATAGACTTTGTGAAAATGAATGCTTTACAAAATTAGATAAAGAAAAAATTTTAAAAATGTGGAAACCCTCTTGTGAGAGTTATTCAGAACGAAAAAAGAAAAGGAAGTTATTAGATCGAACTGAAGTGGAACAAATGATGGTTAACTTATATCCTGATATTTATCCACGTGCTCCTAAGGAGATGAGCGAATTAGAAAAAGGTTTCGAAATATTTAAAAAGACTCTTCTTGAACGCAAAAAGGCATCTAAGAATGCAAGATCATCTAAAAAAAAGAAAAAAAAAGCTGAAGATAACTTAACATCCAATCAAACAATAATTTTTTCTAGTGATTCAGATAGAAAAAAGGCAATTATTTTGGATTCAAATAACACTAATCATAATTTTCCTGATAACAATTTAAATGTTAGTGATAATGACTAGGTTTTTAACAATCAAAATCATTAAATGATCAATGAAAGTGGTTGAGTAATTATGAAAAAGGATTATTCATTTAAATTAATTGAACAATATATTAAGGATAATATTAGTATTAGTATAAGTTATTAGAGAGTAACATGTGCCATGCATTATTGAGCTCTTTAGTAGTTTGTTGTTTTTATAATTTTTTTGTGCATTCATAGTGTGAATATTGAAAGTGCTGTTTTTATTGTTGTTTAGTGTTATGATTACAACTTCTTATAATTTTTTTTAAGATTTATTACTCAAAATAATATTTTATTTTATTTTAAATAACTTATTTTAATTTATATTAGCTATTTTATATTTAAATTTATTTTAAATTCTAATAAATAACTCAAATTATGTTAATAATTACATTTTATTGAGCATAAAAATAACATTTTTACTCTAAAAATATATTGACAATTTAAAATAAATACTCAAATAAAATATAGTATTAAGTATTAAAATTACTACATTTTTACCTCATTATTTTGTACATAGTTATGATTTTATTTTTATAAATTTGTGTTTTAATTAAACTGCAACATTTAGTAGAATTTCGTCAAGATGAACTACCATAAATTATTTGAAAATTTGATGATATCCAGATCCCGATAGAACTTATCAATGTTGATAATTTGAAAAATGTTGATCAGATTAGAGAAGCATTTGAAAACACATACTATTCAATACGTTCTTAAAAGATACCTAAAAAACAAAAACTTATCATTGAATAATACTTCAGTTAATTTAAGTGTAATATCCTGTGAATGATTAGTTTCGAATTCTTACCCAAATTCAGTAGAATTATTCAGAAGTGGGAAGCATTCTATGATTTTAAAGTAATGGTCTACCAAGACGATGATCATTCTCCTGTTTAGAAATTTTTCTATCTTCATTCTACATTTACTAGTTAGGCTCTAGATTATATAATATACCTATTTATGACGGATGGAAATTATTCATTGGAAATTAAAAAACTTGAATCAAGATACGATAATAAAGATCTGGTAATTCATGCTCATAAGTATAGTATACTCGTAACAATATTTAACAGTTCCAGAGTTGAATTTATATCCTCCCAAGAGCTACCTACTAGAACTTTCACCACATATTAGCACTAAGGTTATGTGTTAGAGGGTATTAAGTTTAACAACAGGAAATTGGAGCCCTTGATTACAATTTTAATAGAATAAATGGACAGTGCAACAAGGCAAGGTTGGCAGCTGGGCTAAACTAATATTGAAGTATCAAAATATACAGAACTAATGGAATTTTTAACTAAGTTTTGTATCACTTTGGAAATTTTTGAAGCTTGAAATCGAAAACCAATTAAAAATGAGTCATCTGATTCATGGTATGAAAAAGAATCAAAATGAAAACAATGAAAAGAACATTTGTAGCAGTTAGTAGAAGCGAATATAAATGCTTATGTCGTTCCAGATCACATAGACTGTTTGCTTGCAACAATTTTAAAATACTCTCAACAAAAAATTGCATTACACTAGTACTTACCTCAAAATTATGTTTTAATTGCCTATCACTGGTATAGAGTGAATGATTGTCAGTCAAGCTTTACTTATAGTAAATGAAAAAGAAAATTGAATGATCATTATTAATTTTTATTTATTGTCATTGGACGTTAAAAATTGACTATTGACGTTCAAATATCAAAATATTTATTGAAATTTGGCAATATTATCGGCAAACAACTTAATAACTATTACAATCATAATTTTGAATCACGTTTCTGTTCGATAGAAATTCTTATTTTTTCGAAGAAATAAAAACACAATTAATAATTTATTATCGTTTTATAATAATTGGATTCAAGATTTAAAATGTACCCTTAATTAATAATAATAATTAGAGCCCTTGCAGTTGTAATTGAAGCGCGGGTGGGTGCCTGGGTATCCTCGGCACCACCTGTGCGGATGCCTGATATATATATAATAATAATTATAGTGTATTATAATGACTATGTATATAACTGGTACATATATACTGTTTAAATCATCAAAGGTGGGTAAGATTTAAGTTAAGAGAACACAAGATCGATAAGATAAAAGATAATAAAGAAAAAAATATTAACTCAGTTTAAAAAAAGTTAATCTACTATTTTAATTAGTATGTAGATCATAGTTGTAATTTGGGGGGCTTGGTTGTGCTTAGCCACCCCCATTTTCGAAATTAGCACCTCCAAATTTGTTCATGTAAATTTACCTTTAAATACTCATTTCTCATTATGTATAGAAAAACAGAGTTTTTATTGTATAAATATATAAATTTATTATTTAAATAATAGTGGTGGAAGTTCGTCCTTCGTCACTTTGTTCCTCGAACTGGATAATAGTAATTGGTAGGGATGCCAGATTTTGAAATCTTTAAACCCAAACCTATCGAATGACTTTTTTTTATTTTGATATGAAAAAAAAATAAGTATATTAAATGTTATTTTCTGTCAGCTTCTATTAACTGGGATAATCTGAATGATCGACCAGGACACCAGAACGAGTGGCAAGCCTAGTAAATATACTGAATTTTAAAGAAATTATAAGTAATTTCCTTATCAAAACGGTTCTGAGCAAAGATTCAGTATAAAAATCAACGATTAATAAGTATATTTTACTATTTTTAGTATAATTATTAGTAGGTTCTTTTTTTATCAACCTGTTTAACATTTTATTTTCTGATGAAGAAAATTATTTATTTTTTAACCAAATAGTTATTGTTCAAAAATTCATTATAATTGGATGGACCAAATTTTTTTAATAAAAAATTGATGTAAAAATAGTAAAATCTGTAAAAATCGTAGGTATAAAAATGTATGCTTATGAAATAAATTTCAGGCTAACGATTTTTTTTAACATTTTTTCAGTATCGGTAAAGAAGTAAGTACTCGTATATAAGTTAAGTGATATTTCATTTTCACTTAATATCAAAAAATAAAAATTTTATTACATAAAGACTTTCAAAAAATTAGATATTTTCAAAGTTTTATATTTAAATCAAATGCGCTTTTTGAAAATGTTATCAAATACGAAAAAAAATATCTTCGCTATAGGGTAAAAGTTTAATTTGCAGCGTAATTTTACCGTTTCAGGACATTTTTTTCCTCACGCCTGGAAAAACTTTAAAGATTTAAAAATATTATAAAAAATTACCTACCTATCTAAAATACCACCAAATGCTAATTTAAAATCTAAAAAGTTCCTAGAAAAATCTTAGACCAGTATTTCTATCCAAAAAAATGTTTAAAAAAAAAAAAAATACAAATATCATTATATTACTATAATATTCATACTGAATCGCTTCACCCAAAATCTAAATGTGATCATGTGATGAAACATTTGTGTTTACAGACGGGTTATTCGTTATACGCGTAATAAAAATATAAAATCAAAGTGAACAATTTATATTTAGAAATATTCAAATATTTACTAAATATTTTAATAACTTAAATTGTACGGGTTGCCGGTATCTATAATCATTAAGGAACATGAAAAAGATAGAAAAGCTTCAGTATCCCCAGTTTTTTCATTGAAATTGCGCCCCTGATGTAGATTACATAAAAAGTGACTGCGTTCTTTAGAAATATCTAATTTCCTAAATTATAATAAAAAAAGGTTGTTGAATTTTTTTTATCATAATATACAGCAGTAACGCCGGTGTTTGAAAAATACTGACATTGTACATCAAGGGACGTCTCGCTACCGTATTGATTTATCTATATAGTTAAAATTATTTATACATAACATTCTGTATCCACGGCCAGAACTTAATACCCAAAGGTGGTGCCTCAAACTACAAAATCTAATACGACATCTGATGTACAGTGTAAGCGACCATTTTACTTTACATGATCAGTGGCGTATCCAGGATTTATTTAACGGGGGTGTTTTAAAATTTAATAGACTTATGGTAAGTAGGAGGCTCTGCCCCACTCCTTCCGTATTATATTTATATATACCATGTATTAATATAAATTATTATATAAATGAAAATTATTATTTTAAACAGTATATGTAAAATCTACAAGTTGTATACAACGTTTATTCAAATTATACTGTAAGAAAGTTTGCAATTTGCTGAAATACGGTCGATGTTTTAACACCCATATCACTCTCCCCCTTAAATGAGCCCTTGTACATGATTATTTAATTTTAAAACTATACACATCTCAAATTAATAATTTAACAAATAGTATTATTTTTATATCGTATAGAAATAGCAGTACTTAAATCATATAACATCAAAACAATACAATTTATAATTTATAGATTTACTAAAAAAATTACCAAATGCAACTTGCATAATAAATAATAATTTATAACTAGTCCTTTATAATTATGTATATAAATAAAAACATAAAAACCTTTAAATATATATTATATTTGCATGGTTTATTTTTTAACATTGAAATATTTATTATATTTAAGTAACAAGGTAATTTCAAAATTTTTAACTAATTAATGCCCCTTTGGAAATCATGGATATAAATATTAATATCTATATCCATGATTGAAATAACTGGACGGTAGTTATAAATATTCAGAATTAAAGCATATAATATAATAGGAAATTCAGTCAGGGCTGTTCGAAAGACAGCGACAATATTATTATCAACAAATTAATAATAGACAACTTTTAAATTAAGGTGGCCCCTTGGATGCAGATTTACTTAAGAATATAATTACGCATAGGTTTAAAATAAAAAAGTATATTTTAAGTATAATATCTTCCAAATAGACGACAATAAGGCTAGACACTGGCCACGAGATCGAACCGTATAAGTAGTGACTTGTTGGTGCGTGAAGCAATTTTTTAGATTGTCGCGGCATTTTAACAATAAGCAAACATTCATAGTGGTGATATTCGCAATGCATCGTGTATTGCTATCGTGTTATAGCCAGGGGTGTCATTTAGGGGGAGGCAGACTATGGCAAATGCCCCACTCTAAGAAATTTTAAAAAGTCGGCAATTCCTTGTACGACAAATCAATTCAAATGCTAAAATTGGTAAATAGTATATTTTTATTTACTATTTTGTACTCAGAAATTAAATAATATTCTTTTTTAAATACGGTTTATTAAAAGTTGAGAAACATTGGCTCCTCCCCGGTTTATGACAATCGTTACTAAGCGAATCTTATATTTTATATATAAGATATTTTATATATAAAATCTTTATTTTTGATATATTTCTATATATGTGATCTTTATAAAACAGTTTTCGTGAAAGCGATACTAATGTGTAATGTAATGTAATGTGTATCTCATATATTTGTATAATTGATTCCTTAAATATGTATTTAGGGAGGGCGACCGCCCCCTTCGCCCCTGCCTATAGGATAAGTAAATAAATTAATGACTTACTTTAATGTTATTATTTAATTAGGTAAATTGAAACTTTCATGTTCTTTGTTTATCATCATGACATCATTATTCATTACTAATCCTTGCGTGTTTTTTTCCGAAAAAATATTTTATTGATATTCTATCGTCCATAAATATTAAATATTTAAATATATAGGTTACCATAATTTTTTAAATATTATTAAGTCGGCAAATTTAATCAGGTATTCCACCCTTTCAAAAGTTGAAATGATGTTCCTGATTATAGCTCAATCTAATGTAAACGATCTAAGTGACGGACTAAGATTTCCTTGTTTGTCCATGAAAATAGCACCGTCCACTCTGGTGTGGCTCCGAAAGCGGGTGGGGGAAGATAGGTGCCCCTCTGGATTTTTAAAAATTTTAATTTTTTAGTACATTTTTGTCCTTGTGAACTGTAAACTCCCGATTATTTAATTAGATACTTACCTAAAAATTTTATTTTGCTTAAAAAACCATATTATGACATTAGTATGAGGTTTCATAATATATATGTATCATAATATAAGAACGAAGTCGGGCTCTGTAGCTCAGTACTAATCTGGGAAAACAACTATTATTAAGGCTGGAATTTGTAATATAAAATAATTTATTAAATAAAACCAAACATAATGTGTAAATACAAGACATTATTTATTAGCAAACTTGCATTCCAGGTTAGTATATTCTCTAAGCCCCCTCTGTAATTTAGCGATAGCTAAAAAAATGGCCCCCTCCCAACGGTAAGTCACTGAAGCCGCACTTGTGTCCACTGCATGTTACAATAGAACATTCTAACATCTAACATAAATCGACAAATTTGATAAAGATCAAAGTTGCTCAAAAAAAAAATAGAGCAAACCAAATCCAGTGTCAAAAATGATGGTTCCTATTTAAAAAATTTTTATTTTACTGCGCATGCACAAATAAAAAAAAAGTTAAAAATTAGAATTTATCAAAAACATATATATTTATAAGTCCTGTACCTTGTAAAAAAAACCCGAATTAAATTCAAGGTCTTGCGTTCGAAATATTTCCTGTTACCTTTAAAATTGAACACACAGTATAAATAAATTGTTATCACCAATACTGCTTAACAGTATTCAAACCGATGGGACGGTAAGTGGTAACACGTGTGCTATGGCAATCAAACAACAAAAAACTGTTTCCATTGGTCCATTCGTATTTTGAAAAATTATTATGTCGTTAGTATTTTAGAATGCCATTAGAATACTTTAACTTTTCACTTTAGTGCCGTCATTGTTTTTTGTTGCTTACCAGCTTTTACACTCTAAATGCATTATTAATTTATTTCATCGTCTGAAAAATCTACTTTGTTGTACGTTTTGCATTTTCTACTTGTTTTGAACTAATTGTGTCCTCCGTCGACTGTTTTTATTGTATTTCTAGTGACCATATTCAATTCTTTCGTTTGTGTAATGAAATACGCATAATATACAGAAAGTTGAAGCATAGAAAATGAGTTCTGTAAGTATTACTTTTTTATTCGTATTTTGTAGATATGTTGTATGAGCAAAATTAATTGATTACATAGGTATCTTCGAAAATTAATCAAATTATACAAGTTTTTTTTTTGTCTAAAAAACTAAAAAAACTAAACAGTTTTTATTAGATTATCACCATTAACAATACACTTTTATTACAAGGAATCTTCAAATTTTGCTAATGTCATTCTAGTTATGTCACCCTGTGGCATTCGGTACATTTACGTTTATTATTTGCAAAGGTTTTTTTAAACTAGATTACAATTGATGTATGTTATTATTTTGAAATTCTCAACATCTATTTTCCGATTAGAGATTTCCCCATTTCCTTTTTTATCCTGTGTTATAATCATCAAAATATTACAGTTATCTCAAATAATACAATTATAATATTACAATTATTTATTTTTAAATCTTCCAACATTCCCTACAATATTTTTCTCATTTTCCTTACTTACAATTCAACCTAGCATTATTATCATTATATTATCTTTTTCTCAAATAGACTTTATAACTATTATATTTTATGTGTAAATTAATTTTAATGTTTATTTCTCATTATTAATTGCAGCAGTTATCTGATTTGAATGTTCCATTTTTTCTTCTAGATTTTTACAGGATTTTAAGATCTATCACTGCAATTACACATTGTCTCCATATGTTTTATTTCTTTTTTCAAAAATAAAATACACTATTAATCTTATTATAGCTGATATAATCCATATTTTGTACTTCTGTATCTTGGATTTTTTATTGGTTGATTTACATATATTTCTAATTTTATTATAAATAATATTATTTGTTACAAGAGTAAAGTGTTATATTTAAGTTGTTTAATACAACTCATTATTTAATTATAATGTATGATTTCATAAAATATAAATATTTATTTATTATTGAATTTTCTTTTTCTATTTTTTTCACAAAAAGTAGATTAATATACACAATTTGTGCTGTGTTGCATAATAAGCAAAAAAAAAATTGTATACACAAGAATTAAAAAATTAAAAATACTTAAGGTGGAGACTTTCAGTCTTGTAACCCTCTAATTATGACCTATTTATGATAACAGTGTAATGTAAGTTTGTTGGTATGGAAGATAATTAACGGCTAAAAGCATTTAATTTTAATTTTAATTAATTAGTAATGGTAAGTAGGTATAATCCTTTTATAATCAAAATACATTTTATTTTGCAATACAATAGGTGTTAAGTGAACATAATATTAAGTACATTAACATATTAAAGGTTAATAAAAAAAAAAAAAAAAATGTTTTTATTTTATTTTAGAAAAAGAAAACCACTTTGGAAATACAATTAAAACATGAAGATGTATTTTGTATTGCATGCAGATGCATCTATATACAACCAGTAACAATGCCATGTAAGCACACACTTTGCTTGGAGTGTTTCAAGAATATGGTAAACATAACAGCCTATCAGTGTCCATTATGTCGTAAACGTATTAGTAATTGGCTTCGTAAGTATAAACATGATTGGAACTCAATGGTTAATGAAAGCTTATGGGAAGCTGTGCAACAACAGTATTCAATAGAAGTACAGAAAAAGTTAAATGGTGAAGAAGATGGACTTGATAAAAGTAATTAATAATATTATTATTTAAATGTATAGTGCGTATAAAGAATGTGAAAGCTCCTCTTACATTAATTATAAGTACAATGTACTTATTGTTCATAGTTCTTTCAAATATTTTATTTTTTTTATTCTAAATCATCAAAATTTGTTAGAAAATATTTGTAATTTAAAAGTATAAAAGTAAATGTTTTAAAACTATGTTTTATTTTTAAAACACTTAAATGCTGTAAAATTATTTCAGTTTTTATAGACTATACCAATATTTAATACTAGTAAAATTTCCCGGTAATATATGATTCACTTATTGACTTAAATTTTTGACATTTTTTTTATATTAATAATATTATATCATCTATTATTTAGAAATATAATGAAAGTTATTCAATACATAAATTAAGATACAATATGTATCTATTAATTTTTATACTATTTTGTTTTATTCCAATATATTTTTAGACTATAAAAAATTAAAATTAATTTAAAAAAAGAGTCTTTCATAGCAAATAATATTATTAAATTTTTTATTTTTAGTTATTTCTTGTCAAGGCTTCACCCGTGTTTTTAACCATGGAGAAGTAAAACAAGAATTCGACAGTTTTTTGTTGAAGTTTGATCAAGAACAACAGGAAGTAGAACTACAGAGTTTGAATGTTGCTACAGAATTACAAGTAACTTTAGCTAATAATTAAATTTTATTGACATATAGGTAAATACATACCTATTTTTATTACTGTAATAGAAAAAAGAAGAAGAAGCACAACAGACTCTAACAATGTTGAATAATGAATTAACGCAAAATGATGAAAGACTTGCAGTGTCTATTCAAAAAAAGGTGAGAATATAAACAGAAAGGTTGATTACATTTTTCCACTGTACAGAAAAATATTTAAGCATATATGTATTTTTTGGGGTTGCAAATTATTTTTATGATTAAAAAGCAAAGAAAAATGCATGGAAACAATTTTTGAAAAATCTTCGATAAATATCATGTATTATATTACTACTATATGTAATATTTGAAAGTCCCACGAGAAACTATGAAATAAGTATTAATTTTGTAGCTAAGGTAATTTTTTTCTGATATTTTGGTGGGTGAACCCCTACCCACAGCATTTGCGTCAGTTTCAATTTTTTCCATGCAGCCGAGATAATATAAAATAGCACTATATTTTTCTAAGTTTATTGATCAGAAACTGTTTTAATCTTCATGTTTGCAATAGATTTTTTAGTTTTTTTTAACATTTTAAGATAATAAAAAATTTCAAACTAATATTGTATATTAATAAATGTATCATTTATGGACTGATGTTGCTAAACCAATAAATAAAATAAAAATTTAAAAAATTGAATTCAGCCTAAAAACAACCATCTTAGTATAAAAATATTTTAATTTTTATAAATTGTATATTTCTTAGTTTGAGGAAGAATTTCAACAACAATATCATTTAAATTATGAATCAGATTTGCTCATGGCTCAACAATTACAAAATCAGGTAAAATTATTAGTTTAAAAAAATTATAATATATTTAAACATATGTCATTTGACTGTAATTTTTTCAGATATTGCCTAAAATTTCTTCTAAAGTAAGTGATTTTAAGTATTATTTTTATTTTTAATACTATTTAAATTTTACAATTAATTTTAGCAAATCCCATCAAAAAAAGGGCCTCTAGATAAAATGTTAAGTAAGTTTCTAAAATATGTAAATTATATAGTTTTAATGTAGTTATTTATGTTTAGTTAGAATGGGTGTCCAGGTACAATGCGATAACATAGAAAATAATAATTTGACTAATAATCTTCAATCTTCAACAACTTCATTTGCATCTCTTGATGATGTATCTTTAAGTACATCAACTTCATTATCGACTACAGATACATCTTCAGGTACTGTGCATTATTTTTTAATAGAAAATTTAATGTAATAGTAATATTTTATTTTTTTTCTAGGTATTTGTTCAGATTTATCTGTAACGTCTACTATTAGTTCATCTGAAATATTTAACAAAGAAAATTCAGATACTTGTACTTGTGGACGTTTACAAGATAATTTTAATAGTAGCATACCACCATGTAAATTCTGTACTGCTCAAATAATATTCTTAGATAATTTGACTAACCAAAAAAATGACTTTCTAATGGCCAAAGAATTAGAGAAAAAATTGAATTCTGAAAATTTTGATGAGTATAATTTAAGAAAAAGACCAAGCTCAACTCTATCTAGTGGATGCAAAAAAATCAGGAAATTGTCTAAAGGACAAAGGACATTACAGCAACTCTTACAAGAAAATGGTAGAAAGAAATGATTATATCCATATTTAACATATTTTTTCTACCATATATAAATTTTATCTATTTTTTTAATCTATAATTTTCTGATTGAATTTATGAAGAATATCTTAAAACATTAATTAATAATAATATATAGATATTAGTATTTTTGTTCTTCAAAAAAGATTCAACTTTAGTAAAAATTAAGATAGATCAAATTTTATTATTTATCAATATTTTTATATTGTTACACTAGTATTATATTAAGAATTAATTGTTTAATATTATTAAAACTTAGTTTTGGTTAAAATATAAAATTTCACTGTTTTATTTAACTTAAAATAAGTTTTATTTGTTTGTTTTTAAAATATTAGTACAGAAACAATCAAGATTCACTCAGTAATTATATTCACTCATTTAAATTAAAATATTAATACAAATATTAATAACAAAAATATAACTAAAGCCAAACTATTTTTATGACCATTTATGTATGGTTCGAAGTTTGTCCTAATCTATAAATATTTCAGAATCAGTATCCTGAAAGGAGTGAAGGAATAATAGATACATTACAAGATTATAGTATCAATTGAGTTTTTATACTATAAATGTACAAAATCTAAGTATTATAATTGATATTTTTTTTAACTCCATTACCAAATTTAAATAAAATATAACACATTTAATAAATTTAAATTTGAAAATGAAACACTTCACATTACACAATTATAATATTTAATAATAATAAAAACAATACTAAATTTGTATCTGATCAATTAAAAAAAAATATATATATATTTTTTTTTGTGATCAATAAATTTATACAATTGTGCATTTACAAAGTAAAAATACTTATCGCTCTTCCAGTATTAATGTTTCTTGTGGATAAAGATTTAGCTCTTTCATGGTTTGAGTAACTTCTAGTGTTGTTAACTAGAAAATACAATAATATGTACAAAAATATTAAACGTTGATAGATTATTATTTATACTTACATCTCTTCTTGGCCAACTAGAAATAACTTTGAATTCCTCTTGACTAAAACCATTGACATATAGATAGTCAAACAACACCTAGAATATTTAATACAATTAATATGTTTTCGTAAAAGCAATTGGGAAATAAAATTCCTTGAATTATAAAAATAGTTTTCTTAAGGATTTAGTCTGCTTATTTAGAAAATATGATTTGTTAAAAGTATATAAGTTTGAACCCATTAATTTTTGCAAATATCAGGTAGATTAGGCAAATTTTATTTTTCTCAAAACAATCAATTGCGGTCTGAAAAAAAGAATTTGGCTAGATTTGAACTGGGAATATACTTCTTCCCGAACGAATTTCGATTATATATATTTTGAGGTATTTTAATAAAAAAAATTAATTAACTGTAAACATATTTTATTTTATTTATTAAGCATTTTTAGATATAAAAAATGTATTACATTCAAAATTATATGAGCATATTACAATTGACCTTAAATAAAAGTCTAATTCCTCAAAAATGCAGCATAGAATATATTATGATTTATGGTCATTAAAAATAATTATTAATAATTTTTTAATTAACAATATATTACACTAAAATGTCTAGTTATATATGTTAGAATAGTGGGTATAAATAAGAAACAACAAAATGTCCTCTCTTCAAGGAGGTGATATTGGAAACTAATGAAATACTTAAATAAAAATAAATGGGTAACAAATAATATCAGTATTATTTATAATTAATATATTTATTATAAGATGAATACATATATCTGTAATAAAAAAGAAGATAATATTTAATTATTTGTTGTTTTCCAAATATCTCGGTAAGTTACAATATACTTTTATATGTATTTCATTCATATTTTATTTCACAAATATTTTCAATAGTATATATATCATATATTTATTGATGGTGGTTATTTATATTTTCCACTAATCTGAAGGTTATAATTTCAATTATGTTCATATATTTTTGTTGTAAAATTTATGTGTGTTCATTATAAGGAATGAGTCCAACTAATACATTTTTCACAATATATTGCTTAGAGCAGTGTTACCCAACCTATGGGTCGCAACTATCAACCAGCTCTATCAGGCAGTTCAGTACTATGATTAATAATAATACTATATTATCATATACATATATTTTTTTAACATTGGCGGGAATGGGTTGTATAATCAACAAGCAGTAAATTTGTGGGTTGCCATTACAAAAACGTTGAGAAACATTGGCTTAGAGTATACATTTTAGTACCTGTAGGCTGTCAGATGCCAAAAATCGTCTTTCTAAAAACTTCCCAAGTGGAAGTCTAAATCTGATTTTTGCAACTTGGTCTCCAGCTTCTGGTTCAGCAGGAAGCGATGCTACAATACGTTGTCGAGTTGCCTGTATGAATATTTCATATAAGTACAAGATTAAAATTATAAATATTTCTTTTTACTTCTTTTTCAGCTGCAACTTGTCTTTCATGACTTTCAATTTGAGATCGAATGGCTTTTTCTTCCATTTCTTGCACTTTTTTTGCTTCTTCTTTAGCTCTGAAAGATTATTTATTTTTATATTCATGAAACATGTGAGCGCAAACAAACATTAATGTTTACTAGAATAATCCTTAAAAGCATTTAAAAAAAAAAAAAATTTATATAATAAAAATGTACCGATCAATAGCTAATGATTGTTGATAAGCTTCATCTTGTTCTACTTTAATCATCTCTCTCATATTCCGTTCTCCTTCTTCTCTAATTTCTATTTGCTGTTGTATAGTGAACATTTCTTGAGCATTTATTAAGCTCGATAGTAATTCGCTGATATTGCAATCCCCTAAAACATAGAAACAAACTATTAAGTATATTATGTATTATGAATTTATAAACTATACAATTTAAAATGTAAAATAATACCATTTATAACTGATAAGATTTCTGTATTAGATCGATTTCGTGTAAATAATACTAGAGCAGGTAATCTATTTATGTCAATAGCTCTTAAAGTAACTTCAGCCATTTGACCCAATGATTGTGAAGCTGAATATAATATTCTAAAAATTAAAATTTAGACTGTCAAAATATTTAATAGTTTTAATTATCAAGATCATAATAATTCTAAATGGTTTATTTAAAACCAAATATATATTTTTGACATAATATCTTAACCTCCAATATTTTTTAGAAACTAACGTAAACTGAAATCTGATCTAATGAATTTGTTAGAAATACAATTAGAACAGTTTAAATAAAAAAATTACCTATGTTTTTACAAGATTTAAAAACATTTACCTATTCCTATTGGCTGGATGTGTCATATCCCAACCCCATACTAAGAAATTAGTATTAAGGTACTGCACAACTGATTCAAAACATAGTAATTGTGTACAAAATACGTTTGACAAAACACTGCGATCGTGGTGTAGGTAAACAGCTAAAAGACGTTTCTAAAATAAACAAAATATAGAATATATTAATTAGTTTTTAACTACCTTACACAGATATAAAATAATGATAAGGTCATATTTAGAAATATTAAGTATATTGGATGGATTAAAACATGAAGTAGTCATACAACATTTCTTACTTCTTTAGCTGGTTTAAAACAAGCAATTTTAATAGCTTGATCTAATGTTCCCAAAAAGAATTGAGGTCTCATATCACCATAACGATTTTGAAATTCATCAATAAATTGAATGCACCCAGCAAGTTCATCAATAGTATCTTCAGCAACTAAACAATTTTAAAACGGATTAGTAATAATATAATCCATAATATAAAATCCAATGATATAAAACATGTAGCAACATTAAATTTCACAAGAATTAAACCTGCATAACCTGTATAATCCTGAAACCCAAGTGTGGGAGAGAAGGTCAAATGAACAGATAAAGCAACTATATGGGAAAGGAAGTATAACACAATTTGTAAAAGGTACAAGATTGGAGTGGGCAGGCCATGTCTGGAGAGCCGACAACAGTATTGTCAAGACGGTACTTGTAAATAATATAAACAGAAAAAGACCGCGTGGTAGACCAAAGCAACGTTGGTTATATACAGACAAAGAGATATGAAGGAGCTGAGACCAGATTGGAATGAAGACATGAACCATGCATATAATAGAGAATAATGGAAGAATTTAGTATTGACAGCAAAGGGCCTAAATGGCCTGTAATGCTACTTTAAAAAAAAAGAATTAAACCTACGATTCACAATTTTAAACACCTAAATATGTTATTTATTATTTACAAAAAAATATTTGGTAAACAAAATGTGAAACTTATTTATTTTATAAGATATAAAATTAAATAAATCTCAATTAATATTGATGACTCACATGTAATTTAAGAAAAAATTGATTTTGTACCATTTAAGATGTAATCAGGGATTTTGAACTAAAAAATAGAATATTTTCATATCGAAAGTTGAAATCTATTATCACTTACTTAAGGGACGGATTCTAGTAGGTGTCTCAGTGTCCATGAACATAGCATCTTCATCATCATCTATACCACTTAATGATTCAGCTGCGTCTTCAAATGGATCCTCTTCTGAAGATGATGTTGAAGTGGATGATGATGAGGTAGATGATGAAGGCATAGGAGAATCACTTGTTTCCATATCAACAGACTGTTATGAAAATAAAAATTAATTTAATATTTGTTATTAAATATAACGGAAGAAATGATATGCAATTAATAATAATATATTAAGTTGCATAAATGTATCTAACAAGATAAATTAATGTTAAAGATTTAACAATTAAAAATAAAAATATCTAACCTAAATATAATTCACTAGGTTCATAAATAAATTTTATTATTGAGAAATATAAGCACAATTATAATTAAAAAGAAAAACGAAATAAATCACAATATGTAATATTTGGTAATATTAAATATTATAAATTTATTTACCATGAACTTATACAATAAGGTTTAACTATAATCAAAACAAACTAATTATCTAGAAATGTATTTGAAATTTAATTAGCAACATTAATTATTAGTTTAAACAATTTACATGATGGTAAAATATTAATTAGTGATATAATTTTTCACTCAATTGTGTGCTAAACTTAATTTATTTTCAAAAAGAATAAAGGAGATAGAAAAAGGTTATTATTAGATATTAATTTATTGTTAAAATATTTATACTTATAGTACAAATACTAGTTAAGAAAAAAAAATTAACTTGTACAAAACAATTTTGAATTTTAATTTATGCAAAATACAATGTACTCTTAACAAATAAGAATATCAATGCTTACATTCAATCTAGTGTTATATGTTTTCCTGGTATGTTTGAGTACTGAATTGGATGGTTTCAATTTAAAATCATGTACTGGATAATTAATATGAGATTCATCTAAAGTTGTAGAAGGAGTAACAAAATGTGGCCATCCTAACCATTGTTGATTATTAATAGGTATGGAAGTTAGTCCAGCTACAAATTCCTTCACTCGTGCAACAGTCTCATAAGATGGGAATGTCAATTTGTAAACTTTATATTGACTTGAATTTGTAGCTTCTAATGTGAGATTGAGAGTGAATACCCTAGGAGATCTAGGAAAAAAAAAAGAATATAAAACATACTATTATCATAATAATTTTTAATATTTATACCTTCCACGCCAATCATTATTTATAACTGTGTTATCAACAGTAAGAGTTAATTTAAATTTCTCTGGAAGAGTAAGTTTGCAAATTAATTCTTTGGCAGAAGGGAATTGATTATTGGGCCAACCACTGAGGATCTGTTGACAACATGGTATGCCACATTTAGCGTAGATCAATGTTTTTATATCATCTAAAACAATAAAAAATTAATAAGTTATCATCATATATAAAAGTTTTGTTTTAAAATTAATAAATCATCATATGAAAATTAAATTTGATTAAAGCATGTTGCATTTAATATTGTAATGAGAACATTTAAAGTCTTATGTAAAGTACTTAATATTAATTATCATTTGATAATAAAATAATATCTAAATATTAAGTTTATCTTTAAATTTAAAAAATAAATATGGGTTTATTAGTATGGGTTAAAGTAAATTTACAAATAGTAACAAAGTTATGACATGCAACAGTTATTTCAGTAAATTTTGAATTCTATACCATTAATAATAATGTTAAAAAAGCAGACTATTATCAAACTAAACCATAACTATTCTGTATTATAATTAATTCTATAAACAGAATTTATTATAACATAAATGCATTTAATTAGCTGATGTCAAGGATTTATAACAATAGGCTGTACCAAAGAAATATAATTCAATATAAAATTTGAAAAACAAATACCTATTGTTGTTCTAGAATCCGGATTGAATGATATTACAGTAATAACATGGCCATTCTGTTCAATCTCGATGGTCAACAAACGAGATTCCTGTGATGTAGATGGAGCCATGTCAACAAAATCATCTGCTATCATTACAGACCGATCCATTCTACGAACTTCAGATGGCAAGTGTTGTGTGTGCTGCGGTGTAACGTGTTGCACAGCAGCCTAAAAGAAAACAATTAACATAGAAGTTATAGTGAAACCGTTATTTGGTAAAACAATAACAAAGAAAAATGTACCAGTAAGTCCCAGTTATGGTTGGATAAATGCATCAACGCTTCGCCAGCGTTGTCAATACCAGTGATGGCCTGGATAACAAATGAGAAAAAAAAAAAAATTAATAAAACGATTATAGGAGGTGGTGGTGTTGGTGATAGTTGGTGCCAACCAAAGGGTGATCTGCGGAACAACTAATTCTGTGAGACGGACACGAAAAACGTTACCTGGAAGTCGGCCACCATTCCGTTTTTGTCCTTATTATCGTCCATAACGGCGATTTGGTATGCGCGAGACAAGGCGAGAAAAGCTCAAGAGATTCGATCAGCCCGACATGACGACAAACATACACGTAAATGTATGTAGGTAAAGTTAATATCTAATATAAATATATATATATATATATATATAACGTATGATATATATGTACTTGACGTGATGTGTTACGCACTTCGGGCGGTGGTGATGGGTTGCGAGATATTGATGAGGTATTCGCGTCCGCAACAAAACGACGATGACGACGACAGGACGGGACAATGGGAAAAAAGGGAATAAAAATAAAATAAAGAAACCCGACTACGGAATAGTGGTACCGTTCTCCTACGCGTGTACGGTGTACGTGGTCGAGTGGAGAACAAAAATAATCATTAGACACTGCTACGACGATTCATTGAACGCACGCACGCGCACACACTCAGAGTGGACGGACGGACGCACGCACACCCGCCGTTACACGGTCGGACGGGAAAGGAACAACGACGCGGAACAGCTGTTTCTAGGAGGGGCCGCCGCTGCGCGATCCGTATTACGGATTACTGTTACCGCCACGGCTGGCTCGTAGAACCGCGGCGGACCAAGCACAATGACAATAATTGTCGGCGGGAGGGAAGTGTACGTCGGATAGACGGTTTGCAGTATGTGTCCGTTGGGTAGGTGGGTACCGCGGTGTGTTGCGTCAAAAAGTTTCCACTTTTCCAGCGTCCGATCGTCGGCGATAAACGTTCGAGACCGCCACCACCACTCAGCTGCTGCGGACCGTGCTCGGTGATTATATTGTTTGGCAGTGCAGCCGTCGGACGGTAGCGAAGGCAAATACGATCTCAGCCGCCTATGCGTCAAACCTATTCTGTGGCAATACTACTTAGTTATCTTTATTCGCGGGCATATTTCTTTGTTATCAACAACACAAGAAAAGACGGTTACGGGAATCGAAGTTGTTATTCCACTTAACTTTTTGTTTTCCGACGATTTCATTCACCACACGTTTAACCACGGTTTTTCGCTGCTCATTGTTGTTTGGTAATTATTTTACATTTAATTATATTATTTTTTTTTTTACCATTAAATTATAAATCGGTGATGAAAACGGATAATTTTTCCCATAGAATTATAATCGATTATTTATAATATAGTCTTGTTCAAAAAGTTGGTCCATTTAAATATTCAAATATTGTTTAACAATGAAATATCTAGTTTTATTTAATCTATTTTAGAAAATATGTTTGTTTTTAATTTTAAATACCCTACGTATTACTTACTGCGCTTTAAAGCAAAACGTTTTAGTTAGAGAACCCAAGTTAGTACAGAATTCAATTTTTAATTTATAGTCTAGACTTCATATTGTCCTGATTTATAATTATTTTCGAAATATTTTGTGCTTCAATTAATAATTTGGTTTAATACTATTGTAGAAATGATTATTATTTATACTAATTATTCAACAAATAAAATAATTCTTTTGAGTAAATAAATACTTGAGTAAGAACAGTTCATATTTCTGTTAAATTATAAATACCTTAATAATAATTACTATATACTATAATACTAATTAATAATACTTAATTAATACAAAATAATTATATACATTATTCTAAGGCTTATATGGTTATGTTATTGTATAGTTTGAGAGTTATTATTCATTATCTCTAATAATAATATTCCTCGTGTTTTTCTAAAAATTTGAATCGCAACACATTAAAAATATGGTTTAAATGTCATTCTATTGTAAATTCTCTGAATAGATTAAATTTAGATAGTATTTTACATTATTGTCTGGTCAATGGTCAAATATCATCAGACTAAAATCCTATTGATAATAAGTTTAATTTAGTAATACATAATGAGTTGACAAATGTTGCTCGTTTTCCCAATCTCATATGAAAATTGTCTGATCTTATAATATGCAATATTCTTACAACTAGATATCAAATTTATAAATTTTAAATTGTTATTAACATTATGCAGTTACCAATTTTGTAAACAAATTTACTGTTCTTGAGATTTATTTAATTACTGGGCTGTCTTAATCACCTACTATTGTACATTTCTACATTACTTTTTATTCTTACCTGTTTTTGTTCTGATATTTTCGACAATTTCTTATTATTTTCAAATTGATAGAATAAAATAAGGTAATGATTGTCTGCTTAAAACTTTACTTTTCTTAACAACAAATAAAAATGATCTTGATCAAAAATATTTGTTGACCTTTTATGGTTTCTTGTTTCTAGCCAACAATTAGTGTTTTATTATAATTTATACTAATATTGTTTTTATTTTTTAATAAATGTTGAGTCAATTAAAATTGAAAAATACTGATATGAAATTATGAGTATTTGTATTTTGTCAGTGGTCATTAGTACATGGATGACCTAATTAAGAAGATTATTTTATAATTGATTGTGATTTATATGAAATTTTAATGTTCTATAAAATTGGGTAACCTTCTATCATTTTTCATTTTGTAGTTGGTTAATTTAAGATCTTATATCTTGACTTACTATTTAATTCATAATTATTTTAAATATAATATTTCCTCATAATTGTAGTCCTTTCTAGAGTATATTGAATCATAGATAATATTAAGTTTTAAGTATGTTTTTTAAAAACAATATGTATATAATTTATATCTATAGTTAATCCAAATAAAAATAGTTTATCAGCGCATATTATTTACACTTGTGCGTTTTTCATATTTTTGAAAATCTATGATATGAATAAAAATATATTTATACCGTTTTATTTATTTGCCTAGGGTAATAATAAATATGACGAAAACTGCTATGCGTGGTGCATTAATTGTTTTGGAAGGCTGCGATAGATCTGGGAAGACAACTCAAAGTTCAAAATTAGTCGAAGCTTTAAATAACTTGAAAATACCAGCAAAAAAAAATATCATTTCCTGATCGATCTACTCCTATTGGTTCAATTATCAATGATTATTTATCTAAAAAAATAGATTTGCCAGATAAATCTGTTCATTTATTATTTAGTGCTAATCGTTGGGAACTAGAGCCTGAAATTCGTAAACAAATAGAAGCTGGTGTAACTTTAATAGTTGATCGATACTCATATTCTGGTGTGGTATTTACTAGTGCAAAACAGTCCATAGACTTTGAATGGTGTTGTGGTCCAGAAAATGGCCTACCGAAACCAGATTTAGTAATGTTTTTAAAATTACCAATCAGTGACATTATTAAACGATCTGGTTTTGGTGATGAGCGATATGAAAATATTGAATTTCAAAATAAAGTTGATAAAAATTATGAAAAATTTAAAACTGATAACTTTATTGAAGTTGATGCAGCTCAAGATATTTCAGTCTTAACAAAAAATCTATTAGAACAAGTTGTAAAAACTATTGATAGTGTCAAAAACCAAAAATTAGATAAATTAGTTTTATAATAAAGTTAATGTTAGTTATAATAAATTATTAAGTTTATTTTTAAAACATTTATTACCAATTATTTATATAAATGTTTATTTTAAGTTATCCATTTTTTTATAGGTTAATTTACTAAAAATTAAAATATATTTATGTGTAAATTAAAAAGTTTAAAATTCAAACTATGTATATGGGTACATATTGGTTGATGTTTCTCAAATCCTATCTTAAATTATATATTGTTTAGTAAATAAATATATTATAAATTATGGATATCAATTTAAAGGCTAAGTATATGTAAATATTAAATAGATAATATATAAATATATTTAATAATTTTTCATAAATTTTATTATTTTATTTTTCAAGTTAATTTGCTGTATTTGTATAAAATAAATTTTAAGGAAGTAAAGATGTTAAAATTTAATTTATTGGTTTTATTAAAAAAACAGATTCCTAGTGATAAATTTATTTTAAAATCACTAGTCTTAATTTATTTTTTTTGTATATGCAATGTATATTATACGTATATATAAGGTTCTAAAGTAGTGGTTTTCAACCTATGTGCCGTGAAAATTTTTTTGATATTTGAAAATACCAATTGATGAAACTATGACAGCTAAATGTCAATTAATTGTGCATATAAGATAGGGTGACCATATGTCCCGTTTAAAACGGGATTCTATCTTTTTTTATCATTATGTCCCATTGTCCCGACAAACTTTGTACGGAACGATTTTTGTCCCGTTTTTAGAATAGGGTCCCGTTTTAATCACGTTACTTCTATAAAAATTATAAACTGAGAGCAAAAGAAAAAAAAATAAGTCATGTCATATAGTATATTTTTATGTACTACGAACTCATGTAAGAGACTTCTAAACAAATCGATATTAAATACGAATAGTTTACCAATGTACAGTACTATTTATAATCAGCGATATTCGGTATATTAGGTATATTAATCGAAAAATTGAACATTGTTGTGAGTCGTTAGTGTTATCACTTGTATTGTTTTTTTTAAATGCCTAAAAAGAAATATACGTTTACTGTACCTTTGCAGATTAACTTATGCAATAATAGAAATAATATTATCAATCACAAATATTATATGGACAGACGAAAAAAATAGTTTTCTCGTACTAATTGTCAAAGCAATAATAATTCTTAAAAATAATTTTAAAAAATATTCTTGTAATGATTTTTATGATTTTTTGTTAATACAACCAAAACTATTAAATGCAATCAGTTCATCAAAAAAATATAATGTCAAAGAATGTAATTAAGAAAATTACGAACAATGGACTCAAATAATTCTAAATAATCAACTCAATAAAAATAAAGAATATTTTAAGTAATTTTTTTTCAATCTCACAGCAAAAACAGAATGCAAATCAATTTTTAATTAAAATACCAAACTAATTAAAAATTATTTTTATTGCATATAATATTGAAGTTAAAAAAAATGTCTTTTTTTGAGAACATATTTGTCCCGTTTTTTTCTTTCATAAATATGGTCACCCTAATATAAGACGATACATATTTAGGTAAATTGTACGGTTCTAACCTAACTGGATATCTTAGTGCGTAGCCAAAGTATTTGTTGTTGCCAAGTGCATGAGTGTGCCACGAAAACGTGATATATAATGGTGTGCAGTGAATAAACAAAAGGTTGAGAACCATTATTCTAAAGAGTAACAAAAGAGCAGTTAAAATTAAATAAATGTTATTTCTGTTCATGAATTAATTTTATATTATTTATTAGTATGTCTTCATCAACTGCGACACCATTGATTAAATATACATAGATAGCCCATAGCTATACACAATATGGAAACACGTAAATTAGTACGGATTATGTGACATTAGATAGCATTGGTAAATACTAAATTGTACACAATACACAAACCGGTAGAAGAAAAATAAACTGCGATAAGAAGAATTCTAATATAAATTAAATTGAATATTGTTATTTACTGAATCCATTAATTAAATATACATATATATTTAATCAATGCTAAATCTGAATGGCTAATCATATAATGTTATTTTATTTTCGAATATTATGTTTTCTCATGTTACGTACTACTCTGATAATTGCTGAATAAAGTTAAGTATAAAATGTTAATTTTAAGTAAAATAATTATTATTTTTAAATAATAATTTTTCAGAAGCAACTCAAGCACACTAAGGAACATTATTGAAATTTTTATTTAAAAATTTTTTAATTATTATTTTAATTACGATTATTTAAAAATATTTTAAATATTTTTATTTTAAACAAAACAACTTAAAAACTTACATATTCATCTAAAATTATTGATAATAAATTTTAAAAAGGCTGTGGTTTTACACTTTTACAAATTAACCAACACATAGATACATTATTTTATAATCAAAAATTAAAACAAAAGTAAACACAGGTTGGAACAGATCTAAAATCATAATAATAAATCATAAATTTAAGACAATAACAATTTTAAATAAAAGTATAGTATAGATAATGTAAATATAATTATTACATTTTACGTAATTAAGAGCGACGTTTTACACGTATTGATCAGTATTACAAAATAAAACATTTTAAATGTTTGTTTTGTTAAAAATAAATAGTATATTTGAAAACTATTTATATACTGTGATAACGAGTTAATACCCAATTATAATACATATACAGCACATAATATTCATAAATAGTAATATCATCGTTTTAATAGACTGAATATGAATTAACCAATGGCAATATTAAAAATCAATATATCATGAATAACACCTTGTTCATATTTTTATACACTATATTTATAAATTGTACACTTATATTATCATACTTAATTCACTCATTGCGTTAAATTTACATATTTGCAATTTTGAATTATATCGTTAATACGACATATAACCTTTTTTTCGAAAATTGTCTAGTAATTATGTTATAGGTAACAACTAAAATGATCATATATTAATTAAAAAAAGGCTCAGCCATGTTTAATTTATTTCAATATGAATAAATTCTTAAGATATACTTAGTCAATAGTCGTATTGTTAAGATAAATAAAAGAAAAAAAATCTGTTGTACTTTACAGGATCGAAATCGGAACCTCTGGGTTCAAAGCCGTATAATATGACTACTGAATAACAAAAATAGCGCATTCTGATGTCTAGCTCCCATACTACTAGATTTCTGGCTCCCCCGGTCGGTTATTGGGAGCTTCCATACATTATCATTGTATGGGCTATCTATGTATATTTAATCCATGGTGACACTATATTATTATGTTCTGTAAATCCTTACACAGATAACATTTGTTACAATTCTATGATGGCGTTAATACGGTTTGAAATTATAACCACAGAATAAATGAAATCTGAATGGTCACTGATAAGATTTTACACAGGGAACATAAGGGAGTTCAAAAATTATTCGGCCATTGCTTTGGAGTCCCACCAGTGTAACCACCTAACACATAGACTGTTCATTTAGTTAATTACAACTGCTGGTGTATTGTAGCATTTACATAAAATTAATGAAATTTAATTTTATATTTCAATTCATTAAATACATGCCAGTTTGCCACTAGTAACATTGTAAAACGAAATAATTTTAATTTATTCTGTAATAGAACTATGCCAATAATAAAATTACGAAATTGTTAAAAGTATCGCAGCATAAAATGTATACTACTTTTTAATTAAATTTAATACTCTTTGGATTTTTCTTATGTAACACTTCAGTATAACTATTTAGAAATTAACAATGTTTAATACATAATATTCATTGAGTCAATATAATGAACTATGAAGCACGTGCACTTCAATGTTTTCAAAACAATTACAGAATAAATTATATCACTCTTAGTGTGATAAGAAATTAGTACTCCAAAAAAATTGTAACTGAATTTTATTTACATTTAGAAGTGACCATTCTGATTTCATTTATTCTATGTTATGACCCATTAATATAAAGTAAATATTTAAAAATGATTAAAAAATGTAAACAGGTTTATCAAATGTACATATAAACACGGTAGATATTGATTTGCATTAATTTTTCCATGTTATCAATCAGGCGCGGATCCAGAAAATTTTGACAGGGGGTGCTCAAAAAAAAAAAGATTGTTACACCTTTCTATTTATTTAAATTAATATTTTCTATTTGATTTATTGGTGCTAACTTTTTTTCATACATCAGTATTTATTAAATATAAACTTAAAAATAACAATAATTTCTTACATATATTGTAACTGTAATTTTCTTGGGTGTTTTTTATTGAATTCTTCAATAACTTCCTCTGGAGTAATTTTAATATCCCTATGAATATTAAGAAGCATAAGTCCATTTAATCTATCCTCTCCTATTGTTGATCTTAAATATGTTTTTGTTTGTCGAAGTGAGGAAAATATTCTTTCTGCGGTGCAAGTGGTAACTGGTATAACGCAAATAATTTTTAGCAATTCCTTTATATTAGGATAAAATTCAGATGCATAAGTCAAAGCTTCTATAGCAGTTTTAGGTTTATCTAATTGGGATTTCCAAAATTGTTTCCACAAAGTAACTTCACCTCTAACCTCTTTTATCGAGCCAATTAGATCATCGATATAAAATTTGGCCGATTTAATAATTTTTTCGATATCTGTATCTTCAAGTAGGAAAAATGGTATTAAATATTGTAAATACATAATCGTTTCGTGTCCGTAACCTAAAAATCTATTTTTGATATCTGATATTAAATTATTTAAATTCCGATAACGGAATAACCGATATTATTTATTATTATTATTTTTATTTTGAAAAATAAGAAATAACATAATTTATAATATAAATTTATTTTGTTGGTGGCCAAGGCGACAGGGGGTGCCCGAGCACCCATAGCCCCCCCCCTGAATCCGCGCCTGTTATCAATGATAATAGTGTATCAATTATACACCGTGTATTTATATGTATTTGCATATTTATTCTTGTTGGTCGTATGGTATGCTAATTTAGCACAATATTTGTTTAATACAACGATTTTAACAATTACATTTT